ACACACAAAACACACAGAACACACACAGAACACACACAGACACACACACACTCACACACACACACACACACACACACACACACACACACACACACACACACACACACACACACACACACACACACACACACACTAACACTCACACACACACACACACACACACACACACACACACACACACACACACACACACACACACACACACACACACACACACACACACACACACACAGTCGCTCTGTCGCTCTGTCGCTCTGTCGCTTTGTCGCTCTGTCGCTCTGTCGCTCTGTCGCTCTGTCGCTCTGTCGCTCTGTCGCTCTGTCGCTCTGTCGCTCCGCCGGCTGTCTGTCGGTCGCTTTGACCATCAGTCGCTGCTTCAAAACGGGTGGAGGCCAGATACGACTTCCCTGTAGCGGGGAATGGCATTTTAAGAAGCACTTGACAGTGGTTGGATGATGATATTGAAAGGCCACAACCAGTGTCTGTTTGCATAAATTGCACATAGCTTTCTATCATTTCCGTGTCTTGTACTCAGCTGTTCAAAGCAGACCTTTTGACCTTTTGGTTTTCCCACTTTGGTCCAGATTTAGTCATGGCCCCAAAAGGTTAACCTTTTAGTTCCAGGTCCTTTGGGCAACTGAGTTTATTTTCACCCGAAGTCCATTTGCTGATGGGTGTTTCATGCTCCATTGCCAGAGGGAAGGGGCCGGGGCCCCATTTTTTATTTTTAGCCTTAGCTTTCGGCTTGGATTGAAGGGGAGCCAAACCACACCAATCTGGAGCCTGGGCCCCATGTGTTTCGTTATTTTTGTTTGTTTAGAGTTTTTCGGTTGGATTAAAGGTGGGGCCAACACACACCAATCTGGAGCCGGGGCCCCATGTGCGTTTGTTAAAGTTTTCGGCTTGGATTGAAGGGGAGCCAAAACGCACCAATCTGGATCCGGGGCCCCATATTTTTCTTCTTCTTTTTTTGTTTAGAGTTTTCCGCTTGTATTGAAGGGGAGCCAAAACACACCAATCTGGATCCGAGGCCCCATGTTTTTTTTAGGGGGGGGCTTGGATTGAAGGGGGGCCAACACACACCAATCTGATCTGGAGCCAGGGCCCCATGTGTTTTTTCTTTTGTTCCAAACAGCGAAGCGTTGGGGTTCTAACTTGAGGTATAGAGAATGGGAAAGTGTGACGCCGCTTGCGGGGTCCTGTTTTCCGCTTGTCTTCCTGTCTCCCAGTCTCTCCGGTCAGATGCCAGATGCTGTAACGCTGACTCCAGGGTCGTGTTTCCCGCTTGTCTCCCTGTGTCTCTCGTGTTGCTTGTCTCCCTGTGTCTCCGGGGTCGTGTCTCCCGCTTATCTCCTTGTGTCTCCCCAGTTTCTGCGGTCAGAGGCCAGATGCTGTGTCTCCCTGTGTCTTCCAGTCTCTGCGGTCAGATGCCAGATAGATGCTGTGACGCTGGCTCCGGGGTCGTTTCTCCCGTTTGCTGTGTCTGGAGCCAAAATCCTCTAACGTCTCCCTGTGTCTCACAGTCTCTGCGATGCTGTGACGCTGGCTCCGGGGTTGTGTCTCCCGCTTGTCTCCCTCAGTTTCTGCCAGATGCTGCGACGCCGGCTCCGGGGTCGTCTCCCGCTTGTCTCCCTGTGTTTGCCAGGTCAGATGCCAGATGCTGTGACGCCGGCTCCGGGGTCGTGTCTCTGACCCTGGCTCCGTTTGTTTTTTTTGGCTTGTGTCTCTGATGTCTCCCGCCTGTCGCTAGTCTCCCAGTCTCTCCCGCTTGTCTGCCTGTGTCTCCCAGTCTCTGCGGCCAGATGCCAGATGCTGTGACGCTGGCTCCGGGGCTTGTCTCCCTATGTCTCGCAGTCTCTGGTTCGTGTCTCCCGCTCTCCCTGTATCTCCCGGCTTCTGCAGTCAGAGGCCAGAGGGGTTGACCAAGAAGCGCGGCGCTGGCTTCCACAAAGCAGCTCAGTATCAGCCGGATGTCACGGTATTTGTCTATCTAAAACAGTCTACATATTTAAGGCTCGACAGGGTCTCTGCTGATGTGCCACAAGGATGCAAACCTGCACTTGGCCAAAAGTGCGGCACTGGCTTCCAAAAAGCAGCTCAGTGTCCTGAGCAAAGCAATCAGCCGGATGTCACAGTATAATCCCGACCCACTGGAATCACTTGAGTTGTTTCATGAGAGTCATTGCACGGTGTCATTGAAAGGAGTCATCATCATGAGAGTCATTGCAAGGAGTCATCGTCATGAAAGTCATTGCAAGGAGTCGTTATCATGAGAGTCACCATCATGAGAGTCACCATCATGAGAGTCATCATCATGAGAGTCATCATCATGAGAGTCATCATCATGAGAGCCATTGCAAGTGCAAGTGGCAAGTGCAAGCAGTCATGAGTGTCATTGCAAGTGCAAGTTGCAAGTGCAAGAGTCATGAGAGTCATTGCAAGTGCAAGTTGCAAGTGCAAGGAGTCATGAGAGTCCTGGCCTTCACTCTCGACATGACATTTTCCTCCTCGAAGTCGATGAACAACATCGATGCCTTTACCCGGCGTCAAGGAGATGGATGGACCCGATGTGTCCTCTTTGGGGACTTCCTACAGGGACATACATAGACTGATTGTAACTGTGTGTTGCTCACATAAGCTACTCAATTTCGTACCGTGCATGAAGGAGACCTGTCATGCTTTTTTGCTGTTTGGGGTCGAGGCTGGTGTATTGTTTGTTTAGAGTTTTTCGGTTGGATTAAAGGTGGGGCCAAAACACACCAATCTGGAGCCGGGGCCCCATGTGTGGTTGTTTTACAGTTTTCGGCTTGGATTGAAGGGGGAGCCAAAACGCACTTTGTTTCTTCTTCTTTTTGAGTTTTCCGCTTGTATTGAAGGGGAGCCAAAACACACCAATCTGGCGCCGGGGCCCCATGTGTTTTTCTTTTTCTTTTTTGTTTGTTTAGAGTTTTCGGCTTGGATTGAAGGGGAGCCAAACCACACCAATCTGGAGCCTGGGCCCCATGTGTTTTTGTTTGTTTTTGTTTGTTTAGAGTTTTCCGCTTGGATTAAAGGGGGGCCAACACAGACCAATCTGGAGCCGGGGCCCCGTGTGTGTTTGTTAAAGTTTTCGGCTTGGATTGACGGGGAGCCAAAACGCACCAATCTGGAGCCGGGGCCCCATGTTTTTTCATTTTTTTTCCATTTTTAAAGTGTTCGGCTTGGATTGAAGGGGAGCCATCCCACACCAATCTGGAGCCAGGGCCCCATTTGTTTTGAAAGTTTTCGGCTTGGATGGAAGAGGAGCCAAAACGCACCAATCTGGAGCCGGGGCCCCATGCTTTTGTTTTTTTATTTTTCGGCTTGGATTGAAGGGGAGCCAACACGCACCAATTTGGAGCCGGGGCCCCATCCTTTCTTTTTTTTTTGTTTCCTTTCTTCTTCTTTTTTAATTAAGATTTCGGCTTGGATTGAAGGGGAGCCAAAACACCAATCTGGAGCCGGGGCCCCATGTGTTTTTGTTTTTAAGTTTTCGGCTTGGATTGAAGGGGAACCAAAACGCACCAACCTGGAGCCATGCGCAGCTTGCCAGGACTCAGGGCCGGATGATCTTGAAGATGGCCTGGACGTGGGCCAAGTAGAGACAGGAGATGAAGTGGCGGATGAGGAGGTTCCAGGGGAGGAAGCTGAGGACGCTGAGGAGGAAGATTTTGAAGAAGTCGCTGTGGAGGAGGCAGCTGGAGAGGGCGAAGACATGGAGGAAGCTGCGGAGGACCCAGATGTGGATGACCAGGAGGGTTTGGGTCGAGCGGCGGCAAATGAAGGCGCGAAACCAGCAGTACGGTCCGTTTACAAGCCAGTGGATGGTGGTAAGCCGGCATTGGGTATCAAGCTTGTAGGAGGCAACAGGCAAGCGGTTGCCAGCAGGGCGGCAGTTGCCAGCAAGACGCCGGTTGTCAGCAAGGCGGCGGTTGCCAGCAGGGCAGCAGTTGCAAGCAGGACAATGGCTGCCAGCAAGCCGGTGCTCGGCAACAAATCTGCCACTGTTAGTAAGCCTGTAATGGCCAGCAAACAAGCATCTGCCACTCAGCCTGCCTTTACCTATAAGCCAGTTTCAGGCAGCAAGCCTGCCTTGACCAACACGCCAGCGCTTGCCAGCAGGCCAGCGCTTGCTAGCAAGCCGGCACTTGCCAACAGCAGGCCAGCTTCTGCAAGCAAGCCCGCGCTAGCCAACAGCAGGCCAGCTTCTGCAAGCAAGCCCGTGCTAGCCAACAGCAAGCCAGCTTTTGCAAGCAAGCCGGTGCTAGCCAACAGCAGGCCAGCTTTTGCAAGCAAGGCGTTGCTGGCCAACAGCAGGCCAGCTTTTGCAAGCAAGCCGGTGCTAGCCAACAGCAGGCCAGCTTTTGCAAGCAAGGCGCTGCTGGCCAACAGCAGGCCAGCTTTTGCAAGCAAGCCGGTGCTCGCAAACAGCAAGCCAGCACACAGCAGGCCACCACTTGCCATCAAGCCAGCGTCGGCCGACACAAAAGCATCGGCCAACGGACCAGTGCTCGGCTACAAGCGTTTGCCTACGCCCGTGCTTAGCAACATGCCCAAGCATGGCCACAGGCAGCCCGCTCCCAAGTTCTCTGCAAAGGCCTCGGCGAGATTGCCTTTGCCACTTCCCAAGAGGCGAGCGCAGATCCCCCTGCAGAAAGCTGCAACGCAAGACACGAAGTTGCTTGTGAGCATGCCTAAAAAGCGGGCAGCGCCCACAGGGCTCCACATGCCAACGCCCAAGAGGCGCTTGGCGCCGCCAGCAGAACCAGAGGAGCTTGACACGCCTGCGGAGCCTGAGGAGCTTGCGGAGCCTGACGAGCCGGAGGAGCCTGAGGAGCCTGAGGAGGATGCGGGGCCTGAAGAGCCTGAGGAGCTTGCCGAGCCTGCGGAGCCCGTGATGAAAGCGGCTCTCCGCATGCCCACGCCCAAGAGGCGCTTTGCGCCACCAGCAGAACCTGCGGAGGAAAAACCTGCAGACGCGGAGCCAACGGAGAAACCAGCGGCCGGAGTCCGCTTGCCCCTGCCTGTGCCAAAGAAGCGAGCGGCACCTCCGGCTTTGACTCCCGCCAAGCGGTTCAACGGAGGCAGCGGACCGGCTTTGCCAAAGCCCGCTGCACAGGTCAAGGGCTCTGTGGGCCAGGAGAGGGCGCAATGGAACGTATGAAGCTTCGGTTTCGGCACTTGACAAGCGGAGAAACTGCATTACTTGATAGCTCAGGCAAGGTCCTGGCTTGTCAAAGAGGTGTTTCCTCGCATTGGTGATGGATTGGCCCTGCCAAGAAAATTTGAAACATACAGACAGACGCAGCAACAAGACATTTTGGTGGCAGATTGTTCCGTACGATCATTGTCATTCTGTGATGTGTGCTTGCAAATGACAGAGGGGATGCCCTTGCTTTCGCCAAAGACGTCCCAGAGCCTCTTAGGCTTTCTCTTCGGCTACCCCAGGGTCTAAAAAAAATAATATATTACTTCAAAATGCATCTTGATCGGTTTATATATAAAACGCTATTGTGCGCCGTGATAGGAAAACGTACAAGTCACGAAATATTATGTGTTTAATCAATTTTTCGTGTTATACATACCAGTACATGACTACACCGTTGCAGTCTAAATAAATAAATAAATATATATATATATATATATAAATTTTAAGGGGTTCAAACAGCTAGAGGCTGAAGAGGGGGAAACCCACATATTCAGAATGCCAGAGGGATGAATCAGGAACATCAATTATTGTAAGAACTGGAAGGCTGTTGGCGGTCCAAAAAAAACAGAGGTTGCCTTCCTTTGGCGTCGAACATCTACCCCACCAAAAACGGAGAGATCGGAGAGAGAGACCCGTGCTTCCGTGGGAGGAGCTCCGGCGCATCGGGGAATTCATCGGGCAGTGGCAGCTGGAGCCACTGGCCGCGAAGAAGTGCCTGGCGCAGCTGGCGCCCGCCAGGAGGTGTCGGGGGGACATGTCGGGACCAATGGGTGGAGCCAGCAGGTGCCTTTTTGTTTTGTTGGGGGGGGGCCCAGTGGGCTGAAATAGAATCGATAGGTCCATAGGTTGGTTCTGCTTGGCTAAGTCCATGTTGGCGTTTTCCAAGTTTTCCAGTGAGTTTGGCTGAGCATGGGCAATCGGGCTTGATGGTTCCAGGTTGGTAAAAAAGCCCCGCGGAACCGGAGCGGTAGGAACTGGTTGACTTTGAGCTTGTCTTTCGGCATGTGGAAGGGGGTAGTGCTGGGCTGGGACTCGAATTTCCAAAACGGGGACCTGCGGTGAGATTTGTGTTGGTGCGACCAGTCCTGGCCAGATTGGCAAGCACTGCAACTTGGTTCAGATACGCATGGTTTTTCAGGAAAGGCACAGGAACAGGCCCTTGAGGTGGCACCAATGGTGTTCTTGGTTTCTCTTAGCCTAAGCCCTTGCCAGCCCAACACGCGTGAGCAGCAGCGGCATCCCTGGACTGCGTTTTGTTGGGCCGAGGCACCATTTGGATTTCGGAAAAAGAGAAGGATGCAGCACCGCACTAGCTCAGGTATTTCTCAAGTGGTGGTTTGGAGTGGTGGTTTGGGGATTTGAACCTAAACCACCAATTGGATGGAAGCCGGCCATGTTTCTCGGGCACACCGAATTTAGGGGCATTGCACTTGCGTTTTTGCTTTCTCATGGCTGGCTGTGGGCTATGCGCTCGCCTCTGCGCGCCTCGGAGGCAGTGGGTTTTGGAGAACTTTGATGGCTCGACGCTGCTGGAGGCGAGCTGCCAGCTGCGAGCTTGGGATGCGCAGCCGGGGGGAAGGTAAGCCATGGAAAGCCACCCACAGCCATCCGCAAGCTAGTCCTGAGCATTTTCTGAGGTAGGCGGGGGGATGTGGGGGGGGTGTTGGGCTCCATATTTGTTCACATCAAAGCCGCAAGTTGTCTCCACGGCCCCACCTTAGCGCCGACCACGGGATGCTCGCGTTTTGCAGCATGCCTCGCTGGACGCCCCGGTGGCTGACCACCTCTGACCAGCTTTGCATGATGGTCTTGTTGACGAGTTTAAAGTCCGCATGGAACTGGGATGGCTATTTGTAGCAAGGCTGAAAGGAACCTTGTTCACGACTGCAGAAGAGGCTACTTGGTTGGCTTGATTGCGGGGGCTCCTGCTTTTGACATGCGGCCAGCAGATGGATCATGCATGACTTGGAGCGTATAACTTATAACTCATTTCATGCCCGGAGGACTCGCTCGTTTTCATTCATAATTCCGATCGTTTTGCTGTGGCAGGAGAGGCTTTTCGCCATTAAGACCATGTCTGAGTATCTGGGATCCCTAGCTATCGTGGTTGTTTTCTTTCCAAGCCATGCAACAAGGGCATCTCCCTACCGTGGAAAAATATCACACGCTTACCCCTCTTCAGGCTTGGCGTTACGTTGCATTGAGTGATGCAAACATGGTGTGCTTTGATCAGCCCAATGCCAAATTCTGGACAGTTTTCCCGAGAGGACTTCGTCTGAGCTGCGCATTGCGGATCAGAAAGGAGTGGGAAAAGTGGCAGCGACTAGAGCATGGTCAGCGTTGCGTTTGTGTCAAGCGCTGTGCTTGTATAGCCTTTTCGGGTGGACATGGAGTGCGCGTTTCCTGAAGTGAGGCTTCATCCAGCGGCGTTTTTCAGCGTGAAGAACGGAAAACTACGGCATGTTGGGCAAGTGGCCCTCCAAACACTTGGGTGTCCGGGGCTTTGGAGCAAGGGTAAGCTTAGGAAGGCATGAGATCAATGTTGCGTTGCAATGGGTGCGGTTGGATCGGAGGCAAGTGACACTGTCGATGTGCTGCACCCTTCAAGGGCAAGGTTCCTTCTTTTTATCCAAGGCGCAAAGGCACGACTCGTTTTCTTCGGAGAGCCTCTTCAGGCGTCGTTGCAGCACCTCATGCCTGGCAGTCTGTAGCGTTAGCTGCTTGATGGCCCCTAGCGCAGCTATCTTTTTCCAAGCAATGCTCGATGGTGGTGGTTTCGCTTCAGCTCTATGCCGATTCAATTGACATTCAGAGCATTCTGGCGTGCTCCTGAGCGCAACATGTGCCAAAGTCCCATGGATTGGTTGCGACAAGTCTGTCCATCGCCGGGTTCTTGCTGCAGCCAAAGTAGCTGAGCCAGCGCTTTGAAGCCCAAGGTTCTGAGCCCTGAGCCCTGAACAAAAACATCCCTGAGCCTCTTTTCTCTCAGATCAGGCCCGATGAAAATTCGACCATTGTCTACATTCATTGACTGCCTGACCACCTGTTGCTGCGAGTCCTGCACCATTGCAAGGGGCTCCTTTTGTTTGACCGCAGTGCAAGAACCATCGCATGGATGGCAGGCCTGCTTTGCCCACCTCTACCCAGAAGGACGAGCATCAACTGTATTCTACCACCTTTCCCAACAACCAGCTTTTTTTGCGTGCTCCCTTTGCCACTATAGCAATGAACCTCAAGCCCTTTGCAAGCTTTGAGCCCAGCTTTGAGCCCGACAACGCGGTGCCTAGTCCCCCAAAAGTCCGTGGCTCATGGGATCCGCGCCATGCGCCGACTGCTCGCGGTCCGGCGCCCGCCTGGGGCGCGGGGCTTCTCCTACGAGGACACGCTGGCCTACCGCCTCTACGGGCCGAAGCCTTTGGCAGCGCTTCGGAGAGAATCGGGGCCAGTGGTGTGAGGGCCATGTGGCCATAGGTCAAAACCCTGTACTTTTCAGTGAACATCCCAATCCCCTTCGTTGGTGGCGTAGCGCACGAAACGCAGGTGGTGGTTCACCCGGTGATCACCCACAGCGGCACCAAACCCTGGCCGCAAATCCTGTGGGACGCTGAGGAGGCCCTAGGCTCGCACTGGGCGGACTTGCTTCGAGGGCTTTGGAAGTGACCAATGGCTCCTGCACGTAGGTGACCCTCGCAAGTGCCACGCCTTCGCCTGATTGGCTTGCCGAGCAAAATCAGGATCCGACGCTGTTGTCCTTGTTTGGGGGGAGGCCTTGCCCGGGCCAACCGCTGGGACGTGCTGCCGGGGCCAAACGGCACTCCGCCGGGTGGCTGGGACCATGAGGCGGGCTGCTTTCGCAAGTTCCCTCCATGAGTTAGCGGGGTGAGCCAAGCGCGGTGCCTGTGACCATGGGCAGCCCAGTGGACCTGAGGCGCAGCCAGAGGTTTATGAATCAGGTTCAATTTCACTTGTTGGACATGTCTAGTGGAGGGTTTCTTGAGGGCTTGGCAGGCATTCTTCTGGGCACCAAGGTCGCATCACTTGCACCCGCAAACTTCGGGTCACTTTCCCCCGCTCCCCCCCGCCCTGGTGTATTGTCCATGATGTTTCCAGGGGCCCTTTGGCTCCGGACGTCGGAACCCGCTTGGCTCGGACGGGGTCCCCGAAGCTCGGAGACGACGACCTTCGGAGGCCTTCGCGCGGGCAGAGGCGGAGGACCTGCTGCGGCGGAGCCAGTCGGGTGCCTGGAGCGCCCCGGAAGGATGGCACCTGGACCGCGGGGAGGAGGACCCGGACTTGCGGAGCGGAGATGGGGGGGAGATGGTGGGGGGGGGCCTGGAAGGGCGGGGGGGCTAGGTTTTCCGGTGGGGTTTTCCGGTGGGGTTTTCCGGTGGGGTTTTCCGGTGGGGTTTTCCTGGAGCTGGGTAAGACAGGAGGTCAGAGGTCTTTTCTGTTTTAGAAGCTTTGCCCGGTTGGAGGCTGTTGGTTTAAGCAGCCTCACGGTCAGATTGATTTGTTGAGCCGGAGGTTTGGAGACGTTTGGATCATGCAGACATCTTTGTGAAAAGGTTGCTTTCCACAGCTCGCCAGACCTGACCAAGGCATACGGCAGGTGATCAGATGCAGGTCCCTACGTTCGTTCGGGCTGCCGTATTGGAACTTCACAAGAGGTCAGCCGATCGGCATTACGGCACCACGACAGGCAACATGGGAGGTTTGGATTTTAGGGAAGGGTGCCGAAAAGATCCGAAAAGGATGCCCACCCCTGGCATCGCGAGCTGCCCAGGAGAGCGATGACGAGTACGATGTGCACGAGGCCAGGGTGTTTCCTTCCAGGATTTCGCGACCAACCTGAGGCCTCGCCTCCAGAAATGCATATCTCAGTGGCCGCGGCATGAGCCAATGATGGAATCCTGTCGGTGTTGTGAAGTAGTCTCTTCAAGACAGAGCAACAAATCAGCAATCCAGTCAAAGACCAGGGCTTGTCTTTTTTTGGCTAGTCTTTCAGTTTCACAAAGCATGAGCCTAGAAAGCGTAGCTCTACCTGGCAACTTACGGCTGAGACAGGCGGCCTGGAAGAATGGGGTGGTGAAGCGGCAGTGGGCCGAGACCTGCGTCGTGAAGGTGCGCCAGATCAATGCCAACACCTTCTTCGGCAGTGGCAAGGCCCTGGACGGGGCAAGCCTTTCCAGTTTCAAAGAAAACACACAACTTGAGTGCTCAGTTGGCCCATTTGAAGCTCACTGTTACTTTGTTGGTGTTGTGATCGCCGGCGTCCCTTAAATGCAAACCCGTCCAGCCGGGTGCCTTTTTCCGGTCTTTCCCGGGCCGCTCCAATTTTGGCAAGCCCCTGGATTCCTTCTCGAGATGAGGTGAATGAGATCGCGCTCTACCTGGCCGAGAACCCCTGCGACTTCCTCTTCGTGAATCACACGCTGACCCCAAACCAGGCCCGGAACCTGGAGAGCGCACCTCGGCCCCAAGTATCGCCAAGTGCCAAGTGTGCTGCCCAGGATTGTGTACAGCTGTCCAAATAACCGCTCAATCAACTCCATCACCCCAGACTTGTGAATGTGTGATTCTTGTTGATTTGTAAGGGCTGGTGGAGAACCAATCTCCATATGTAGATTCAAACAAACGTTATTCTTAAGGGCTGGTAGAGAACCCAGATTTACTAGTTTTTTGTTCCCCTCGGTTTTCCTGGCACGTGGCAGCCGCGTCGCACCATGCGTCCAGCGGAGGTCATGAACAACGCCATCGCGGCAGGGGACGCACAGCAGCGCCGAAGCGAGGGAAGAGGCTGAGACCTAAGTGGACGAGCAATGAGTATGGAGGGTGGTGGCCAAAAGGGCGAGTGAATTTACAGTGACCCAAGAGGGATCCCTTTCACATTGATAGTGTTCAGGCAGAGGCGATGGTGAAAGAAATCAGGAAATGCTGGGGCTTGAGTTGAGACCCTGAGGCATACCTCCTGGCAGCAAGTACCCAGGCCTGGAGGTGATAGATCGTAACCGCCTGGTGCCTTGACCGCAGTGTGCCAGGGTCACTTCAATGCGACAAATCACTACATGTGACTTTTGTGTCAGCGAGCTTTTGTCTTTACGATAGGCCGTACTGCGTTTGATGCCAGCATTGAAAAACAGCAACCGGATTGGCTTGTTCATGATCAGTTTTGAGGGTAGAGCATCCACAATTATACTTGCTGCTCCTCTGGGTTGCGCAGATATCTTATGCCAACGGGTGAAGGCCAACAACTTTCAGAGTGTTCAACCTGGTTTCTCGCGCGCCTTTATTACATCCGGGTTTGGCCACACAAGTCTGGATTTCGAGCTGGAACTTTAGCGGCGCTGCTGCAAGAACGCGAATCGCCCATTTTTCAACCTTCGGACCCTACCCTAGCCCCAACATCCTTAATGTTGACCCAGGATTAATAAACGCGTCCCATTGTTAGGGGGTTTTCCCTCCAAAAGTGATGTAATCCCCAGTAAAAGGGGACACCCCCGTATTAATCAACCAGGGGCTTATTAATCCGGGGTAAACATTAAAGGGCAGCCGTATTCGAGGTGCTGGAGATCTTCAGCCTGCGAGCGAAGAGCCCACAGGCGAAGGTGCAGGCAGGGAGCGTGCGTGGCAGTTGTAGACGGTGAGAAACGGTGCGCTCTTTGCGGGATTTGGGAAGGGTTGGCTGAGAGATTTTCCGTTGCTTTCCTAGTGAAGGGGGCCCTTGTCAGTTGGTCAAGGGGTTGCCGTCGATGGCGACTGGCGTTTCCAGGTGGGCCTGGCAAGGCTGGAGTATTTGAAGACCCGGCTTACTGTGGGAGGCAAAGTCCGCATGCGAGATGCTTGTCAAGCGGGCAAGCGGCGGGGCGGGAATTCAGGTCCGGATTCCTTTCTGTGTGTGCGCTGTTGTCGCAGAAGCAATCGTTGTGCTTCATTGTGAAGCTTGTGACTTCTGAGGAGGCACTTGAGTAATTTAAAATAATTCATGGCAAAGGGATCCTGTCCTACTGGGACCCCAGCGTGAAAGCTGAAAAGGACTGCCACTTGTGATTGCAATTTGGCTCTCCAGTGGCCGGATCTTAACCGAAGGCACCTGTAAACAAAAAGTTCAGTCAGGAAGGCCTACAGCTTCCAATCGTTTTTTTTTTTTGGTGTTGGGGGGGGGTACCCGACACCTGATTCGATGTCCTCGGGTCGGGGTGAACGTGGCACGCTGACAAGGAAACCATCAGGCTGCTTCAAGAGCACGTGGGGCCCTTTAAAGAGGTTACCGGCTTTCGGAACGATGTGGACGTGCAGTACCACTACGAGAGCCTGGGCACAAGTTTTGAGACTTCGGAGACGAGAGCTCTCACTTGGCATGCCTGCGAACGCCGCGGTTTTGAGTTGGCCATGCTTTTTAGAATTTGCTGTGAACTGGATGAGGCTGCACCCTGAGGCCTAGGTCAAATCACGCAAGTTGATTTGTCGGCACCTTAAGTGCGTGGAGATTGCAGCTAGCAAACATGTCCTGGACCCGATGGTGCAGGTCCTTCTTGCGCGCGTCTAATTCTGTTGCTGGGCAATGCTGTGTCAAGAAAGTGTTCCGGACATGGGTTTACACAGTCAGGGCGCACGTTTCCAAGGAGCAATTGCGCAAGCCTGAGTTGAAGAACTGCCTCGCAGGACGTCATCACGGGTTTCTCTGGCTGCTCAACTGAGGAACAAACCCTTTGAGGCTGAGCGCATGCTGCTGCGCATTGCCGAGGTGAGGCTGAAGAGAATGATGGAAACAGAGAAGAAGGCCATTCCAAGGGTGTCAGCTCCGAGTCTTGTTCTGACTAAATGTGGCTAGGTTGAATCAGGTGGGGGGCAGCATCGAAGCGACTCTGTTTTCTTCTTCCATCAGGACGACTGCAAGCCCTTCTGTGCCAATCGCTGTTGCTGCAAGATGGATTGCAAGCCTCGTGCAGCTGTTGACTCTTGCGCTTGGTTTTGGAGATGCCGGAGATGCAGTTTTCAGCCAATGCAGCCACCAGGTGAGGAAGCTGCATCGTCAGAACCGGGAGGGGGTGCCCACGATCGGCATCGTTGGCTACACCAATGCAGGCCCCATGCCTGGAACTGCCCTCATGCCGAGCATGTTGCATGGCTCTGGCGGCAGGGGGTTCGACTCCCGTCCAGTCCAGTCGCAGGCTTTGGATGTGAGTGGTTGAAGTACATGTGCAACTAGTCCACAAGATGGCTCTTCTGGCAAGCGGTGCCATGGAAGCACGTGCTGAACACACAGTCACACGAGCTGTTCCAACTCTCCTTCTGAAATGGGGTCATGTGCGAAGAAACGAGCTCCAAGCTCTGTTTGGCTGTAGGTCCTTTCTTGGGTTGAGGCCTGTGCCGGTGGGACGCTCGGATTGCTTGTGGGATGCTTACAGATCCAGAGCATGTTGGGTGGGATGCCCTTTCAAGCTGCGAGTGGCACGCTTCAACTCGACTGTTTTGCTCTATCGCTTAACCATAGCATGAGCTGGGGCTGAAAACCAGTGGTGGCAAAAGGACTTGATGCCGATTTGGGAGTTCCTTTGCCGTTGTGCTGACTCCCTCGCGTTTCGGGACTTGCCAGGATTTGCATTTCTTGGACTAGTTCCCCTAGCTTCTCTCCAAGGCTTTGTTTCCTGTTTGTTTGCCATCTATCATTCATTCATACTGTGGATGGACGAAAATTCTGCACCACCTAAGACCCTTTCCCACCAGAAATACCAACAAACAATGGTTTCCCATGGCTCAAAGTGTGCAAGCCAAGCGGCAGAAGTTTCTTTGGACAGCAGTTCAGTGGTTGCAATACATGTGATGCAGGGCAGGGGAACAGCACCCATTCAGAAGGAGTTTGAGCATCGCGCTCAGGCACGAAGATACAAAGGGCAGACGTTACTCACAGGGTGATGCCTGGTTTCGCAAGCATTTGAGATTTGATACGTCCAAGGCAAGACGTCGCTGATGAACCGCCTCACTGATGCAGGCACTGTGTTTGCTATGCATGGCGCCTTTGTCTTACAGAACAACTTAGAATAACTTAGTACCATTCTCTTGAGTGCTGGCTGGCCTGAGCATAGCCGCATTTGCCGGGTGAAGGCGAGAGTTGTGATTCTTCAAAAGCCCTGTGGATGTTACTGTCCCAGGCTTGCCGTTTTTCCGTGGCATGCCTTGTGTATAACCTGACTTGGGGCCCGAAAGGCCGGGCGAGGCACAAGTCGAGTTGAGAAAGTCGCCAGGGCTTCGGGAGCGGGATTTGCTCTTCCAGACCCTGGACACCACCATGCGGAAGGTCAAGCTGCCCTCGGGCGGGCCACCTGTCATCAATCTTGTGGTTGGTGCCGCGGTTCCAGGGAGGGCGATGCCGGGCTTAGCCCTAATGTTGACCCAGGAGGAATAAACCCGTCCCATTATTCTCCAAAAGTGATGAACCCCCACTCAAAAAGAACAGCCCCCTATTAATCAACCAGGGGTTTGTTAATCCGGGGTTAACATTACTCATTTCATTTTGCGTCGTACTTAAACGCTCATTGATGTTTCGCCACTCTGTTTCCACCGCGAGGCATGCCATCCTCGCAGATAGCATTGGCTTCATCCAGCACCTGCCGCACAACCTGTTCGCCGCCTTCCAGTCCACCTTGGAGGTCCGGTAACGTAGGGGCTGCGGGTCGTGCCATGGATTCATGTCATTTTGATTGGCTTCAGACTTCAAGGCCATGGATCAAAGGCTATCCCTTGCGCCCTCCGACCTGCCAGGTAACCAAATACCCTGAGAAGGTGCCCTGCATACCAAAAACGCCAGCATACATATCAGAATATGAAGGTTACGTAAGCACACTACCAGGGGCACGGTGCATGCGCCAGCATATTGATAATATCAACACAGCCTCTTTTGGGATGTGTTCACAGCAGGTTCTCACTGAACGTGGCAGGCACCGGTGCATGTATAGCTGGTGCTTTCTCAGCAACGGTCGCGAGCTCTTTTTGATTTGGTCTCTTTTTTTTTCCGCTTGGCAAGGCAAAGTGGTGTCGGTAAAATTGACACGAGCGTAGTCCAATTCGAGAATCAACGGGCTGCGGCGCCTTTATCCGGGTGGCCTCCAGTCTCAGAAACTCGCCAGGAGCTCATCGATTGCGATGTGCTGTTGCAGCCTGACATGATAGGGGCGGCAAGTTGGTGTGTTGGGGCCAGGCAGGTTTGCGACACAAGCATTCAGAAAGTATGTGCGCTGCCTTTTGTGCTTGCTTGCTTGCGTGCTTGCTTGCTTCTTTGCTTCTTTGTCTGTCTGTCTGTTTGTCTGTCTGTCTGTCTGTCTGTCTGTCTGTCTGTCTGTCTGTCTGTCTGTTTGTCTGTTTGTGAGTGAGATGGTTTTGCTTGCACGTCGCAACGCAGCTCCAGGCGGGTTCTTTGTGAGGCGACGGTGTTTGAGCCCAGCACGGCGAAACATGCCTTGCCACCGCAGCTAAGCTCTTGATGACCTAGGCGTTTACTTTGGGAAGGACTGGACGTTGGTGAAGCCCAGCGTGAGGCCATAAACTGCGATGGCATGTGGAGGAGCACTTGCTTTGTTCGTCCTTATTAGTCCTTCAGACCGCTTGGCAATTCGGTGTACTGCTTGGCTTCCCTTCAGGAGAGTCATGTGGAGCCTCATTTGGTGAACAAGTGAGTGAGGGTCGGGGCTGCATGAAACTGCGCCCCAGGCATGTCCGCGATATTGCTCATCCCCAGCGCACCATGCAGAAAGAGATCGCCGCTTGATTCGCAAAAGCGCCTTTGGAGCATTCGAGCCTGAGATCTAATGTGGCAGTGGGATCAGAACTCGCCCCTTCCCAATTCTGGCAGTTTGCAGCCGGCGAAGGTCTTGAAGACACTGCGCAGCGCTGGCATGCCAGAGAACAAGCTGCAGTCTGCTGTCATTGAGGCAGCAGCGGCAGGAGTGACGCACTCAGGTTTCCCTTGTGACATGCTTACTAAAGTAGCTGTCTAACAGACTGCTGTCAGGGCAGAAGGGCACAAAGGCTTAGACACCGCACGTTGTTTCGCGCTTGATACCAGTTGAGCTTTGGCACATAGAAGCAAGCTCCAACGCCCAACCGGACGGCCAAGGACCTTACCCGTGGCTGCAAAACAAACCCTTGAGTAGCGCAACGCCCCCCCCCCCCCCCTTGCAATATTGTTTGGGCAACCAACCTGTTGGCCTTGTGCATAATTGCAAGCTTGGAGGGTGTGAAGGCCACAATGAAGGAGCGGTGGTGCTGCCACATTTGCACCTCTCCACTGTTTTGATGCACTTGTTAGCGTGTTTGCCACGCTTCACTTCCGTCTCCACATGTTTACCTAGATTTTCTGCTGATTCTGTACAACAAAAGCAACCCATTTTGAAACCCAAACTAAGTCCATAGGAAAACGCAAACTCTGTCAAGAACAGGGACTTGGACCCCGAGCAATGGCTTCTGTTGCGTTCCCCTCAGGGATGCAACACATTCGCTTGTTTGCACCCGGGTTTGCTACGTCCTACCCAGAAAGCCAAACTAAACTAAGCAAATACCGCATTCACGTAGTTGACCTTCAAGAACTCCCAGGAATCACCCTCTAAATGCATTGGCAAGGATTGATACTTCGAAGAATGGCCTACGGAATCCTTCAGGTCATGGAAAGTCCAGGCATTCGTCTGGCAGACGAAAAGCCTGAGAGAAACCTCACACGCCTTCAAGCCTTCCAGTGGTACACCGGTCGAACCAATTGGGGTCTCTCTTTCAGGGCAACCACGAAAAAGGGGCGGCCTCCTTTTGGCCTCCAGAGTCTCAACAAAAACTCAAAAAGGACTGGCGGACAACATGTGAAGCTCCTGAAGGCCAGGGAAAGAGTGAAACAGTGCCATATCGAATTAGAGCCCGTGTTCGGATGGGGAAAAGAGGACACCAACCTTCTTCAGGTGTCCCTATTTGAGAAAACACCCAGTTACAGTTGAGAGTTTATCTCTCCAAACGGTATGAGCTCGGAACATCACGTTGACAAAGCGGGTTCGACCCTTCGGCTTGGACCGGACAGGCACGGCACAATGACATTCTCATTGAAGCCAAGAACGTCAAGCGTACGCAGCCAAATGATCTTCCTACAGAAGTGAAAAGGAAGAGAAAGATGGGCCGAAAAGCAATTCACCTGGCCACAGGCATGTGAGTATGGAGGAACGCACGAGCATACACATTAACGTACACATGCAGGAACACAATCGCACAAACCAGGCAAGGGAGTCTGCAAGGCGATCAGCATCCTTTGAGCCAGAAAGGGCCATTTTGGCCCTGCGTAATGCAAAACACCCAAAGGACCGAAGACTTTCGCTCGGACCGCTCCCACTCCCTTTTGTTTCCCTTGAGCTTTAAACATCAACTTTTGGGCAACTTTTGGATGAGTTTCCATTGGGGTCAGGGTGTTTTGGGAGATCTCGGGAGCCGTCCTTGATTTACACCCATCAGAGTACACCCATCAAAGCCAACCAGGTGCCACTTGCATCCGTTCCACTTAAATCCTGAGCTCCCATACACACACAGAGATACACACACACATATATACATATAAATATAAATAAATAACAATCCCCCTCTCTCTCTCTGTCCATAAATATATATATATATATATATGGGAATTGACGTTTCCCTAGCCACTAGCCCATGAAGCCCCACCCCACCCCAACCCCACCCCACCCAGCTTTTGTTCGCAGGTGTGGAACAAGATCGACCTCTTGCAGTCCATGAGCTTCGTGCCCCCCGAGGCGGTGCCCGTGTGCGCTGCCGATGGCACCGGGGTCCAGGACCTGCTGCAGGTCATGGACGCGGCCCCCGGGCCAAGCAAGCGAGTGCCGGATGGGGGGTGGGGGGGGTGGGGTGGGGTGGGGGACAGGGCGGTCTTCAGATGTGTTTGCGTTTTTGTGTTTGTTACATTTTGGAAGACAGAGAGAGAGAGAGAGAGAGAGAGAAGAGAGACCAGTAAGGGCGCTTTGGAAGCATAGCCGCGTCCTTTTTTTTGAAGTGCTTTTTCGGTGTTGGATGTTTGGATGTTTGGACGTGTTCTTTCAGTCCTCCAAGTTGTTGCCACTGCAGCTTTGTTTGCAAGGATTTGCAAGGTTAAGCTTGTTTTGGCTGGGAGATGGTGGGAGGCAGCTTCCAAAATCGGGGACTGCGGCACCGGCATTCAGTTAGTGAGGGACATGACATGTTAAAGGTTCGTAGCTCCCGCCACTGCCAGAATAGTTGTGTAGTTAGACCTGGTTTCAGGTAACCCTTGGTTGGGTTTTGGATTGGTGGTTGGGGATTTAAACCCTGGTTCTTGTAGAGGGTAAACGAGAACCCCCCCCAACCACCCAGCCACCAATCCAACCGAGCAATCAGAGGGAACTGATGATTGGTATACCGGTGGCGCGATTCGCCACGGCTTCAACTTTGGTCAGCACAAGCAAGTCAGGCCCCCCATCCCGGCACTGCAACAAAGTAAAAACCGGTTAGCAGTTGAATCAAATCAAAAGATGTCTAGACCAAATGTCACTACCCCTTGTAGTCGGCTAGAAAAGGTGCCCGTACACACTGAATTAGATGTGGGTGTGGAGAAAGACAGCTACTAGGTGGGAGCAGGGATTCCCCAAGCATCGGAAGTCAGCGCTGAAGCGTGTTTGCCAGCGAACCCTTTGGAACCGCTCCATTCTCCCAGCTTATGACGTCTCAGCATGGGAGTGCAGGAAGGCAGCTTAAGCTAGCACGGGATTCCATCCCAGGTCGTCAGCGCGCAAGTCGACCGACAGCGCCGCACCGTGCAGTTCCCAGAGGAGCAAATGACGCAGGCGAGCGGATCTTGGGGCCAAGGGCACAGGATGGCACGGGTGTGGAGGGGCCCCTTGATGGGACAACCGCTGTTTGGGGGGTGTTGGTGTTAGGCGTCTCGCGGGCCGACGGACGGTTCTGTTGTGCTGTCATGCTGTGGATGGACGAAATCCTGCACCACCCAAGAAGCCATGAAAACCACTGCTTGTTGGCATTTACAGGGGAGTCATAACATAACGCAGGGATTCTTAGGTGGTGCAGGATTTTGTCCATCCACTTTATCGACAGGCCCAACCCGAATAATTTGCGAGAGGTGGCACAGGCGGGCATGTCAGGAGTATGTGATGGAACAGGCAGCAAGCGAACCTCAGCTCGATTTGTCACGTGTATCCTTTCTTGGTGGTCCGGGGCTGCCTTCCCATTGCATGCAACTTCGTATGCGTCCTCCATGGGGCGTGCAGAGGAAAGCCGCTTACTGCTTGGACATTGCTATTTTCGTCAATGCTTTTTGCCCCTCTGTGCCAGGGCGAGCAGTTGGCTTTCAAGGAATGGCTTTCCGGCAAGGAACGGCTACACACACCTTTGCCAGAAGCCATCAGGTTGCCAAGAGGTTTGGGGCAATCGTGGGCGGTTGATTCCCCATCTTCAACCAGACAATCTCAGGCTGAGGCCTCCGGAAAGCAAAGTCACCCAGCATGCCCAGACGGGTTACATACTCAAAGCCAACCCTATTTGAGCTGACGCCGGCTTTTGAGCAGCCTTCCTCGGCCGGCTATTGAGCGCCGTCGAAGCCGGGTCAGGTCATGGGCTTCTTGCGAAAGCAGGGGACGGTAGATGAGGAGTCCTTCGTCTTCGAGGACTCCTTGGCGCCTCGGAATGTTCGATTCCGAGCGGGGGAAGAGCGCAAGCGGAGTGAGGCGTTTGGATTGCGTAAGTTGGCCCGGCCGCACTGCTCACTGCTCGGCCGGGCCAAAGAGTTCTTCCAACAAACTCATGGCCTTTCCTTTGTCCATCTAAATCAGCACGGGCAGCTTTGCACTCGGCTGTCCCAGCGTTAGTAGAGCTGCCGAGGATGCAGGATTGGTTGTTTTGCTCGAGCTGCTACGTTTCCAGAGCTGTCCACTTTCAAGATGGTTGCAGGTCATTCCAGATAGGAGGTGCACCAGCATACTTTCCAACAATTCTAGCGATGTTGGAAGTATTGAAGGTCAGCCTGCTGATGGGGCTTGTGGCTTGATGAGTGAATGTTGGTGATGTTGAACATTCAGGAGGTAGATTTTGCGAAGGTGCTGCCCCCAATCCAAATTGCAGGGTTGTGGGACAGCTGGAGCTGGGGGAGTGCTGAGCCGGCATTGCCAAGGTTACTGGCAAGGGAGGAAGTTGCCCTTCTTGTTTCAGTTTCTTGATCATGTTGATTTATCTTGAGCAGCTTTGGACGGACAATCCAGACTTGAAGCTCAACGCCCGTTTTTGCAACATGGCCGCGTATGTCAGCGGCATTGTTGGCTTCAAGTTGCTTATCAAGGTTAATGTTGACCCTATATGAATCAACCCCAGTTTGTTAACTAGGGTGTCCTTGGGTTTGGTGGGGAATCAGAATAAACTGGGTTGGTGTATCAATACTGTGGACGGACAAAATCCCGCACCACTGACCCCATGGGAAACTTTTCTTCATTGGCATGTACAGAGGAAGAATCAGAAACCAGGGTGCCTTAGGTGGTGCGCAATGGATTTTGCAACCATCCACAGTATGAGTTTTACTTTACCGCCACGAGGTTTCCCAAGGGCCACGAGAGGTGAGCATCGACGCTGTGCTGCCGGCCATCGCCTGGAAGCGCTGGGAAGCGGAGCGCAAGACTCTCCAGGAAAAAAAACCGCGGGCGGCGGAGCTTCGGACGAGTTCCAACTATTTCGTTGCCGACAGTTGCAACCGTCCACTTAGATACGGGGCGAAAAACAGAAAGAAAGAAAAAGACACGGTCCAGACGGTGCATATGTTTTTGCACCTGGTATGCTGAGTATGCTGGGTGTTTGCAATGTCCCAATGAAGTGGTTTACTATGAGGAGTCGAGGTAAGATCGGGTGGAAGTGGGATTGGCAGGTTGCGGAGTGCAACCAGCACGCCCCCAGTTGAAACTGCAACCTTGTTGGTGGGAGCCCAGGGTGCATAAAAAAGAGTGGTTTAATAAGGCTTCCTTATTATAGTCTGCCCCAAGAATGAACGGCTTTCCTCTTGCCTTTCCTCGATTTAACTTAGCCCAGCAAGAATGAATTCGGCAGATTTGCTAAGCTCGCACCCATTTCTCGACACCCCGAAGAACTGATAGGTTCAAAGAACCGGCACCCGCAAATAATTCTCCCGCGCTGAGATCCAGATAGCTGATAAACGATGGCTGCTTTTGGGATCCACGAGCCACTGCTTAACGAGCACGGCGGAAATGAAGATACAAACAAGACGGCAGAAAAGAGGTGCGCCGTTGAGGATTTCAAGATGCCGCACGGGACATTCAAGTCACATCCAGGAGGGCAGGAACACCTGAAGACAGCGGCGCAGTCTGAGTGTCCGGCCCTGCTTTTCCTGGCCTACCATATGGGCTGCGATCTGGAGAGGATAGGACGTGCAGCCAAGGCACTAGGAGTTGAGATGCCAGACTCTGGCCAGCTGTGTGCCGATGTTCATGCTCTTGTCCGCAAGGTGAAGGAGGAACACAAAAGCCAACATTGGGTCTTTGTGGTCTGGAGCCTGATCATCACAGCAGGTCTCTTCATAGTTTTCCCATGGTTCCTCCTCCGTGCGAGTGTGGCTGCAAGTATCGCGGCTTCCTTCCTCTTTGAGGTCTATTTCCTGAACATCTTCCACACCCGTCACCACAAAGGCGGAAAGCTCTACGATATCCCATGGCTGGACAGGCTCACGGCACCGATCTATGAGGTAGTGGACAACACCTGGGGCTACAATCCAGCAGCCTGGTGGAAGAATCACCATGATTACCACCACATGAGCACCAACTCGAATTGCGATCCTGACATGCCAGCCATGTATCCATTGATTCGGTTGTTTGAGGGCCAGGAGAGGCTTTGGTTCCATGTGGCGCAGACGTTCTACTACCCCCTTCTGCTTCCATTTTCGATTGCCAGATTTCCAGTTCAGAACGTGTTCCAGTATGGAGGCCCCTGGGGCTACTTTCTGCTTTGGATAGTGCTGATGTGGGTTTGGCCTTGTGCGATGCACGGTTGGACTGGCCTGAGTGCTACACTATTGGTACAGGGCTTGACAGGTGTGACCCTTACAACAAAGTTTGCCGTGTCCCATTCCCACGTCGATCTTGTTCCTCACAGCACGAAGGAGGCTGATTCACTCTTGACCACGAAGCAGATGAAGATGGATGCTTGGATGGTGAACCAAATTGAGGAATCTATGAGTTGGGGTGGCTACTGGATGACCGTCATCTTTGGCGGTATAAATATGCAGATCGAACATCACGTGGCACCAGCGCTTGACCCACCGCTGTTGTGGTGCATGGCAGATGGTTTGAAGGAGATTTGCAAGAAGCACAAGATTCAGTATACACGAGAGCCCTCCATCTTCCATGCTGTGTTTGGCCTTCACCGCCGGCTTTGGGAGCTGGGCAAATTGTAGCTGATGCCTTTGAAATGAATTTGATCTCTCTGAGAGAGTGTAGCAATATTCCGTATCTTCATGCCCATGTTTGATCTCATGTGTCACAACGCTTGGTGTGTCACGTCGGCATGTCAAACCCAACTATGAGGAAGGAGAAAGGGGCGGCTGCAACCGGTGCTGTGCTTTGCAACACGTTTTGCCTCACCCTTGGAAACGAGCCAAAATTAAGGAGTCGGGGCCCTTAGGGTCTCATTGCAAATTGCTCTTTCTCAATATTCTCAAAGCACCTCTGTGCAGCCCTGTTGCGTGGGGCCGAGCTGCAGTCGCCTGTGGGGAACCCGCCTTGTTTGATGTTTGGCAGGGCACCCAGGAGAAAACCATCTTGAGCAACCACTAAGCATGTGTTTGGCCTCCAGGAGCGGTCCTAGCTTTTTTCCAGGTCGCAGATGGTCACCGAGCTGGGCCGCGCGGCGTCTCTTCAAGGCAGGGCAACGGATGTCTACCTGCAGTGGCCAGTTGGTTTTGGGGTGGAGTGAGGTTGGGTGCCTTGAGTTAGCTGCCTCCCTGGGCACCCCTTTGGGATTTGCTGGCTGTGCAGGCGCGCGGGAACCACACGCCTGTCAATCAGACAAGGTTGGATTTTCCACACCAGACTGGGATTCATTACGGCAATCATTGTCCGACAGGTCTACATTCCTTCGGCTTGCATCTAGCACTCACAGACTACTCTCAAGGCACAAGCGCTTCCGCGGCCGTGCGAAATGCATCGACAATGGCACCAGACCACATGGAGATGCTCGGGAAGTACCAAAGGAGGATGGGGTGCGATTCGTGTGTACGCAGGTGGAAGAGTTGCTTGGCGAAAGTTTGGCGAAAGGCCAAAATTTGGCTTGAGTGGCCCAGAGAATGCATTTGAAAGAATATGACTCTAAGATACTTGTCTGATCACAGTGGGCTGGTGGGGTGGGAGCGTTCAACCGAGAGGTCGTTTCAAAAGCTGCTTTCCATCCCCGCCACGGACAGCTCTTGACCACTGTCCACGTTGCAAGGCCACCAGCCTCGGCACCTTGCTCCGCCTTGTTTAGGAGCAGCGTGTTTCGGGTCATCCTAACGTTTGCCTCGAAGAGGCTTTGCTTGAGGTTTGTTTGTGGGAGAAGGGGGGCTTACGGTTGTGGGCACAAAGTCCCGATTTGCCATTGGTACAGACAACGTCTTGTTTGGGCCCTCCTGCTGCCGTTACATCTTGCCCGGACACAAGCCTGGGGGAGATACGATATGATCCGATACCTACGAGGAGGACTTGTCTGGAGCAGGCATCGGAGGTGGATGAAAAGCCAGCTTTGGCACTTCTGGCGGACCAACTGCAAGCTTTCCGTCCGTCTCTCAACTGGCCAGGAAGCTGGACATGCGCCAAAGCTGGAAACGCACTTTCCAAACGATGGTCACAATGGCGGCATGTGGCCCAAAGGCCAGCACCGCAGATCCTGTCCGGGAGATGGCGAATCTTTGCCTGTGGTTGACAAGGCCACGGTCCATGAAATTCCTTTCTCCGACAAGCAGAGGTTCTTTCAATGAAGAAGCTAAAGATGTGTTTCGATTTGTTTTCTTCCATGTAATGGTTCACCAGACAGATGAGCTTTTCACCGGAATATCTTGATTGGGGTGGGGGGAACTGGTTGGACATTCATTGGATATTCATGGGATTTTCACCGGAGCTGGTTTGGAGTGGTGGGAAATTAGAGTTTCATTGGAATTGCGCTGGAGTCTCACGTGGATATTCATTGGATTTTCCGTGGAGCTGTTTTCGGGGGGAGGTGGAGTTTCATTCGATTTTTTACTGGATATGTTGTGTTTTTCACCGGAGCGGGGTTGCCTGCTTTGGAGCGGGGGAAGCATTGGAGTTTCATGGGTATGACCAAGTCTTCACCGCGAGTCTGTTGGACTCTTGGCGTTTTGCTTCTGAGGAACGGGCAGGGAGTGAGTTGGGAGCTACGGTTGGCGCGGTGCTTCTGCGGTGCTTCCTTGCGGCTCGTCGGTTTTCGGCCAGGCGGCACGCCCCGGTTTCTGGCCAGGCAAGGGGAAGCCCACGTCCTGGCCCCGGGTCTGGGGAGTCGGCTTTGTGGTGGGTCTGTGGGTAAGGGGCGGCGGCTTTTGAACATTTTACGTGGTAGAGGCGGGCAGGCGAAGCCTTTGTGTTTTCCATGGTTTAATTGCAAGCCCGATAGACCAGGGGGGTTGGATTGGATGGGCCTCGGGGGCAAATCGGTTGGCGAAGCTTGCACGTGTCACTCCAACTAATGTCTCAGAAAGTACATTTTGTGTCCATTCTTTGTCAAGAATAGGTGCGCAGCATTTGCTGTTTGGCACAGAAGGAGGCCTTGCACACGATATATAGCTCCTGAGCCCTTTTGAAGGACGGTACATGCCCTGCTTGGCCGCCACCAGTTCGCAATGGCTGGACTTTGGGTTTATGGCGCTTTAATGCAATCAAATTGTGATGAGCTCAGAAAGAACTTTGGACGAGTGAGCCACGAAACCACCGGACACTGAGCTGCAAAGCCGGCATGGGTAGGCTGTAGGGCTTCCTGCCCATGGTAACATCATTTGGCTGCGGCGTTGGGATGTCCCTCAGCCACAATCTGTCACTCAGCTTGGAAGTCATTGTATGGCGGTAGCAGCAACAGCCCGGCATGTCAAGTTTGGTCGTTTTTGTCAGGAGGGCAACAACTCAGGACATTTGCTTTGCAGGTCGGCGCACCTGCCTCATGGCACCCTTCCCGCGGCCATGCAACACCGCTTTCTCCCTGCCTTCGCAAGTCTCGCCCGTGTGATTGGCTCAGAGCGAGTGGCCGAAGCTTGGCGCGTTTGAGCGCCAGCATCTCCATTACTTGCTGACGTGACCCATATATCCACGATCCATTGGCACGCGTTTTTTTTTTGCAGGATGTCTTGGATCTTCTTTGCTTAGCCAGGTTGGGCCAATACTATTGTGCGTTAGCCATTGCAGACAGCCCCCGATGAAGCTAGGACAACGCTCATGGAACAATTGTCTCAGGGTGGACATGATTTCCAGGCATGCATCATCACAAGCTTTGTGCTTTTCACGCTGGACAGCTGCACAAAAACAACGGCAAAGGCCCCGCTTCAAAGGGCTGCCCTTTGACAGCAGCGCCGAAGAACTCGCCGAACGAACGAAGCTCGCGCCATGAAGAACTTGATGCGGCGGAGCAGCTTGAAAGCCATGTCACCTCCTGCGCGCTTTGAGCTGTGCATCAGAAAACAGGTCTAGTTCGATGCCTAGGGTCCTTCTAGTCGCACTTTGGCCAGGAGTCCGGCGGCTTGACCGCTGCTTACCAAGTACCAGGTACAAACTAGTTGAGAAACAAGAGCTAAACCAATGCGACGCTGGTAACGTGTCTGAACAGATGTGCTTGGAAAATGACCATGCTGAGCAGCTTTTCCTCCCAGAAGTTTCAGAAAGGAGGGAGCCCGTTTCTATGAGAACTGAAGAGAGCCAAAGGCTTATTCTTGGAAAGTCTCAACTCTCACTGATGCTTTCCCCTGTTGACTCCCCTATGTGCTTGGGCGGGGGCACTCCACATTGGTTTTGAGGGTTGAAGGTGTTGAGACCTGAAAAAATGGGAAGCACCTGAGAAAATGAGAACTCGGCACCTGAGAAAATGAAGCCCAATACTAGGATTTTTTTTGAATGGTCTCATGCCTCGCGTGAAAGGCGAGTTGCAGCCAGGCCCGCAGCAGGGCCGCAGGGCACCCCCCTGGAGCCAGGGACGATGGTGTGGGCAGGGGTCTCAACAGATGGACGTGGAATTGTTGGCCTTCGCACCAGTGACTCAGTTAAGCATAGCCACCAGGTCATCATGTACTGGGCACCTAGTACATGTCTGCCATGCGACCAGACATTTGATTCTGGCAACCACTTGTTTGTTTGGCGCACCGGCTCCAGAACCAGTAGCTCGGGGAACTGGCAATTGGGACGGTTGATGTTCATGAGATCCCTGACTTCTAGCTGTTCACAGGTGTCAGAAGAGAGCACCTTGCCGTTTTTTCCGTCGACACACCAAACACATTTCCGTCTTTGGCGCCGGAAGTTCTGAGGCAAACTGAAGCGAGACCCTCCAGGGTTTTCCCGACCCCGGCGGTTTTTTCACTCGCTTCGGGCGCTTTCAGGTGCGGGACAGCGTGCAGGTGTGGACCAAGGCGGAGGTGCAGGCCATCGACGGCTCCAATGTGCAGGCGGGCTGTAGGCAGCGCTTTTGTCGCCTGGTAACCTGTGATTTCGATTCGCTTCTCCAAGCCTTGGTTTGGCTGCAGCATGTTGAGTGGCTAGCATGTTGAGTGGATTTGCGCGACACGATGTTCAGCACCGAGCCCTATGCTTGTGCAATTGCCCGCGTGACAGATGTCATTGAACGCAGCACTTAGCCAAGCAGGCATGACAGCCTGAGTCTGCCAACTGGTCATGGGGGAAGGTCAAACACAGGCATACAGAGGTCAATGAATGCATGTGTCGCACCTTTGCGCTTTGACAGATGCGCAGGTCAGAACTGACGACGGGGATGACATCACTTTGACAAGTGCGGCTTGGATTAGGCCAAGCTTTGCCACTGTTTGGATTGGCTTGCAAAAGGCCCCAGTCATGGACTCCAAGCAATGATATGTTCCGCCACCGAACGGCGAACACCAATGCGGCCAGCAACCAAAACAAAGTTCTTCAGGCACCTTCTCAAGGGCCAGAACGCACAAAGCACGTGTCCTTCGCTGAGAATCTGGAAGCGAGAAAGCACAGAATGCCCATGCAGTTACTTTCTCAGAAGAGACAGAAGCCACCAACGCGGCATTAAGCACAGCCTTGGCGATACCCCGCAAAGCGACTCAGCGTGGTTCTGGACATTAGCGAACATGGCTTGGGCATGGCAGCCTGGCAGCGGCATGCAGCGGCCATCAAGAACATAGGCTTCCATCATACCCATTGGCGAGAACAGCTGTTAAACATTTGTCAAGCTCTGCTGCATTCACGTCGCAATCTTGATCAGTTGCCTTGGTCACATATTGTGTGACCGACGCCCTGTGAAAATTCATGATTTGATGATAACTCCCTGCAAGAGATGCAAGTTGACTAGTGGTTGTGAGAAGACGGTGTTTGCTGTTGCTTAGACGAGCGTCGTTTGTCAATTTGTGGCTTGCAATGGCAGCGAACGGCTATTGAGTTGTTTTGTGCTTGAAGGCAGAAACTCTATTTGCATGCCTTGGGTGCGTTCTGCTGCTCCCTGTTGAGTGGACCACTTTTAGTACGTTGTGCCAAATTCTGAGCTTCCATGTGCAAATGCGGGGTGCTTTTTTGTGTTTGACTTGATGGCTATCCTTGCAAAATGATGGTGGACCATTGGGTCAGTGGAGCCACAAGCCCCAGCCATTGAAGCCATGCACTTCAGCCGAACGACTGTGCAAGGTTTGCCAACCCATGTTTTCCACGTTTTTCTCGCAGCTTTTGCATCAGTCCCGCCACCGCTGCCACTTGTGTTGCACACAACTGCCAAGGCTGAGAAAATCTACCGTTGCAGCTTGGCTCAGACATCGGAGTGCGAGATGCTGACGAAGCATGTGTTTCAGTGGGTGGTTGTTCTGGTGCATGTCGGCGTTTCCCTAGTTTTGTGCAGTCAAGCTCGGAGGCGTTGAAGCAGGTTGGGCAAATGCTGTGCATTCTTCCGGTGAGCCTTTCCATTGATGGTCAAGATGCAAGGCTTGAAGCCATCCATTGCTCGCTGTTAGGTCGGAAAGACATCGGTTGGCTTTGTTTCTCATGTGGTAGGTGCTTGGCAGTTTGCCAGCCAGGGTGAAGTTGACTGGCCGCTCGGGGCCGTGTTGGCGAGTTGTTGCGATTCTGATCCCACACATATCCACACCAATATTATTTGGTCAATATGTTTGTCACATTGCTCATGCCAAAGTTGCAGAGGTCATTTGGGAAGGGCCTCCACGTGTTCGCCCATTGGGATTTGTGGGTATTGACTTCTGAAGCTCCGCGCACGTTCGAACCGGTGAGGCAACCCGGAGACCTGGAAGACGGAAGGCCTCACTGGCGCGCCTTTGGCAAAGGGGGACAGGGAAGGGCGGCGCTTCGGCCCCTGCAATCCACTGGCTGTGGGTCAAGAATAGGTACCCCAAATGGCACCCTGGTAAATGGAAACAATGACTAAAACCTGTGGTCGCTTGGTGGTTTAATTTTGACCCATACCCAGCTGAGTTGTCTGCCTTCGAAGGATCCAGCTTGCGGAAGGCGGCTTCGCAACAGTAAATACGCATTCCTTCGACAATACTGCCCTTTGCCATGAGGGGTTGACAGGCGCGAGAGCAGTAAGAATTGGCGCCCCAGGTGTTGGTTTTGGCTCCGTGAGCCTCGTTGCCAATTTGGGTTCGTCCCCAGTGAAACTTCAAAACATGTGCTTGTGTGGTTCCCTTGACCCCAAGACACGCCCGCTTGGCATGGATCAGCTGGGTCATGTTGGGCCTGTGCCACAGTGACTGTAGTGGTGGAAGTGCAGCATGGCGATTCTTGTGGGATGAGAACGTGCAGGCTTTGTGCGCTACCATTTGGCAACTTTGCAAGTCGTGTTCGTTGATTCAATCGTGTTGCAGAGAGAGGGTGGGCAATGGTCGTACATTTATTGAGCCAAAGGGCTGTGTGATGCCCTGGGTCAATCGAGAGCCTTGAAAGTCCAAAGCCCTTTCCAGAAGCCATGTGCACCGACATCGCAGGACCTTGAAACGGAGACAAGGTTCCAGTTTTTGTAAAAGGACGATGTTTCGAACACCATGTTAGCACAAGTCCACTCTTAATCCAATCCAGCCACAATGCGGACCCACGCTCAAGCCGAGCCTTTCTGAGAGTCAAGTCCACCTCAGGCCATGTGTTTGGGGCCACCTCAGGCCTAGTCTGTGTTCAGGGTGTCCAGGGTTTGTCCAGCCCCCAGGCTGTGCCAATATCTTTGTCCATCCTTCTACTTTTTAGCAGTGTGGCAAGCAGGGTCCGGAAAGATGCCCGGGAGTACGAGCTCGGTTCAACGGAATTTCCGGAGGGCTCATAGTCGAGGCCCAAGGGCCGTCGAAATCTTCTAGCCCGATCAGCCATGAGCAGCTGAAGCGCGAGACTCGCAGAAAGCCCTGACTTTTCTCCTTTGAAATCCTGAGGTGCACGATCTTTCCAAGCTGACGCACCTTCATGAGCCGGAGGACCGCAACCGAATACATCGTGCAAAGGGTGGTGGGCAATGGCTGGCAGAGGTGTAATAAAAAGAGCTGGGTAAGGACCTCAATGTGGGGGTAAAGGCGACTCATATCACCAGAGGGCGACAGTTGTATGAAGTGAGCGCGCCTTGTTATAGTGCTTAAACTTGCTGCTGGGCCTTGAATTGTGAGTTTTTTCAATCTGGTCTAAAGATGTGGGCCTTCTTTCAACGAACAATAGCTTGCTCCCTAGAAGCCGGAAATCTGCCGCCTTGATGTGCAGGTATTGCACGCCCTGCACCTGCGATTTGATGTGGTGCCTCGACAATCCATTATTTGGCCTGTGCCTCCAGTCAGCAGGGCATGATTTCTGTCAATCTCATAAGGCTGTCCACCAATTCCCGGGCGACTTTCAGGCAGTTTCTTGCATTTATTTGGCCAGGTTTGGTTTTCTGCGTGGGAAGATATTTAGTGCACCTCGCACTTTTCCCAGCGGTTTTTAGTTCATTGGTGCCAGCCTTTTCTAAATGATTGGAAGGCGAAAGGCGCAAAATGGCAGCTCCTGCAGCCTGCTGAGCCCGGCCCGGCGTGGGGCTGGCATCGATAATCACTATCCTAGATCAGATCAGTCATTGGACATCCGCGCTGCAACTTCCAGAGCCAAGGATCACATCTACACCTTCTGCGGGCCCATACTCATTGCTTCTTGGACTTCTTGTTGGCAGACTTGAAAGCCATTGCTAATTGGAGGCTGAAATGTGTAATGTAAAGGCACGCGTGACGTGTGTATTTATATCTTTGTGGATGCGCACGCTTTCCACTGTGCCCAAGATGGCCCTGTTGCGCAGGCCCAGATGCCTGGAGTCACGTCCCCAAATTTACGGGCATCTCTTTGGATGATTGGAGGCATTTGGAGGAACCCTCCGGGATTGGAGGCTTTTGGGTCAAACTGCATGCTGATTGGTAGCAGGAAGGTTCTCGCACCTCTCCCCCGGCAAGGCCGTGAATCCCTTCAAAGACCTCGGGAGCTTGTATGCGCCTTGGCGGGATCCATGCTGTCGCCCTGATGAATTGTCGCCTTGTGGCAGGCAAAGCAACCGAACGCATCCGATTCTCAACATTTGCTCTCCGCAACTCGAACATGTCACCTTGGGATTGTCTCATCGACGGGCCTTACTGTGAAATGGCTGTCATCAAATTGCGTGTTGGCCCGCGCTGCGTGGGTAGTCCACGCGTCGCATTTTCAGGTGGCTCGAGGCACCTGATAGGCCAGCTTTGAGTTTTTGGCCTTCGGGGGTGATGTAGGGAACACGTATTCACCCAACTCTTCCCACAACGGCATCCAAAGAAGCCCAGATGTGGCCGTCAGGATGTTGCGTTGCCCTCCTTTCTTTGCCATGAAGTTCCTAGACACTGAAAGTGGAGAGCAAGGAATACCACGAAGTGCACTATGGGTTGTAATCTGCTTACTTGCGCTGTTCATGTGCCTGCCACTACGAGTATTGCTTGAATGCCTCCGCTGGTGCTGGCAATTGATTGCTGTTGGCATTCGGCAGGAGTGCGCCATGAGGGCTGGTGTTGTACACGGCCGCTGCTTGGGCACCTTGTTGGCGTCCCTGCCAGGTACTTCCTCAGGGGGGTTGGGCCATGATCCGTCGTGTCAGGGTGCAGGGGCAAACAGCAACCGGACCAGAGCGAAGAACGATATGACGTGAGCGATCCCAATCCTGCTTAAGGCCAACGTGCACGACAAGAAGTTCAAGGACTCTTGGCTATCGGAAGATCCAACCATTGACCTTTTGAATCAAAGTATCAGACTGCTCAGAGCTGTCGCGACAAGACATGAGCCTCACCATTTAGACAGAGCCTGCTTTTCCAGAGCCCTCCTGACAGCTTCCTGAGAGAGCCTGATGGGTTGATTCCTACTTGGCGTGTGCAATCACGTGCACGATAGGGTCAGCCGACTGCCAACTCAGGGCACGGACCAAGGCCCAGGCAAAATGGAGCCATTTGCATCCGAGGACCTGTCGAAGCCACCGCCGCACATCTACACCGTGGCCTCCAGAGCCTTCCAGGGTCTCTCAGGGGCGCGTCAGTCCCAGGCTCGCATGGGGTGGTTCGGTTAGCAGTTGCACAAGTCGTCTCTGCAGCTTGGTGGGGCTTGCTGCGCCTTGGCGCAAAGCAAAGAGAGCAGTGGCGCGCTAGACACGAAGCCGTGGCAAGCGCTTGCAGCAACGCCTCCGCAACTAGACCGAACTCTGCCCGACAGAAGCAATCAGGCTCGGCAAGCAATCTTAGCCCTTAGAATATGATGTTCGTCTCTTGAGTGGGGAGCCAAACCAAGCAAGAATTGGGATTAGAACTTTCGCGAGCACCACGCAATCTTTCATGAATTATTGCGAGCTTTGCCATTGAGAGGCGCACGACTTGGATCACGGCGACCCTGCAAAGTAGGCTATTCGTTTATTGCATGCATCCAATCGCAGGGACCGATAGAGTTGCCATCCATGTCATCCACGGGCGCGAGCATTTCTTTTTTACCAGCGATATGTGCTGGTTTGTTTTTTGTTTTTGTTGTTTTTCCCTCAAGTTTCAGCCAACAAAAACACCTCGTTTTGCAGTTGGCAATGCTATGCCAATGCTCGCAAAGAGCTTTGCGGCCAGGTTGTGCTGATCAGCGGGGAGAGCGGAGCTGGAAAGATGCTTGGTCTGCATGGGCATTGTTAGGACCAGGCCATAGAGAGTGTGGGCGCCAGTCGGCTCGTTGCAAATCCCGTGGTCGCTTGTGTGTCCACCCTCGAAATTACATGGTCCTCCCCCGGGGTCGGTGAGGGAAAAGAGCCGTGCGCCTTGGGTCATGCCGAGCTCGCAGAGGGTCGCTGCGCTTGCGCTTGCACCAGAGGGGTTTCCTTGAAGCAATGCTCCCAAATGCCGTAGTAGTGTCCGCACGTCTTCGCTAGTTTCCTCGGGCAAGCACACCTTGGCCGTTCCCCCATTGGAAAAAGGCTTTTCCAGAGGTTTTTGTTTGTGGGGCAAGTGTGCCAAAGCATCCGCTAAGCGGCAGAGCTTGGTCAAATGGGCTTGCACAAACGTTGTCTTTCGCAAGTTTGCCTTGAGTTCCCGAAAAACAAGCAAAGGATTCGTCAATCTGTCTCAAGGGATGGCATTACTTGGGCTCGTGGAAGAAGGACCCCTTAGGCGCCGAAAATCGCTGGAGCCTTCCCACATTTGACCGCGACAGTAACTCTTTTTTAAACGACGTGTGCTTCATCTAGACTGTTGGGTCGGCACCTTTTGGCTGCGCTTTGAGATTTCCATTGCCATTGAATGTCTTGAGAGTCTTGAGATGTCTTGAGAGTCCGAGTCTGGTGCCGAAAAAGCTGGGCCCTTTCCGTGCCAAGGACCGAGACCACGAAGCACGTGCTGAAGTTCTTGACCTCCCAGCTGGGCGGCGCAAAGAGGCGGCCATCTGCCGTAGGCCGGGCTGAAGGGGGGGCTGTCGGCTAGCGGCTAGCCAGCGGCGGGAGGGGAGGTAGTGCCCCAGTCTGGGTGCATTGCAAGCAGAGCATCTCGAAGTATATCGTCCCAGTGTCATGTAGTTTCCAAATTTTCGAATCTGTGCACATGTTTTGTGCGTTCGATTGAGCCACAGGGGCCGTGCCTCTCAAAAATGAGTTGATTTAAGTCACGCACTGTTGCGCTCAGACTCAGTTTTGGCGGTTTTTGCCGCTCCAGGCCTGTTGAGGGCCGGGGCTCGGGGTTGGCATGATCTTCCACTTCCCCCTTGCTCATCATTTTGGTGCAGGTGTCCAGAAATTGCCTTGAGCACTGCCTTTTTGGGAGGTTCAGGCGTGCCGCGACACAAAAGCGACCGACCGTTCTCTTGCCTTGCTGCCGGATTGCCAACTGTGGAACAGGAGGGCATGTGGTTGGCATGGGTTTGTGTAGCCAAGCGATCCGCAGACAGCAAAAGGGCAAAGAGGGATCCGCTGCCTTTGAGGCAAGTCGGAGTCGCTTCACTCCGGCACCGAGAAGAAGGCTGTGGCGTGTGCTGCAAGGAGGGCTTGAAGGAGCTGGCCAGGGGAAACCGAGGGCTCCAAAAGTTCTGGCGCCGTGCCAAGGGCATCTTTGTTTTTGAGGCAAGTGGCCATCCCTTGAAAGAGAGAGAGAGAGAAGACGCTGTAGATGTCGGGTGATTATGAAATGTAGGAGTTTAGACGCAACATGGCTGCGGGTCAAAACCCTGTACCCCTGGTGAACATCAAAACAGGTGGTACATGGGTGTTCATCCGCCCCAAAACGGAGGCATAGGTTACGACCCACGGCCCAATGGGTCGTAAAGAGCCCAGCGCCCAGCTGTGCACACCTGGTGCTTGGGGCTCGCGGGGCTTTCGGGCCGGTAGGTCCTGAGCTCCAACCCGATCTTGGAGGCCTTTGGAAACGCTCCCTGCCTCGAGTTTGGAGCGAGTCTGGGGGGACTGCCGAGTGCCTGGGGATGGGAATTGGAGAGGCTACGCCCACCCTGCGCGAAGATCAAACGCCCAAGACACGGCTGGAGTAGCTTTGTGCAACCAAACGCTCTGGCCATAAAAAAAAAGGACTGACGAGTCTTGCGGAGCAGGCTCACTCCTGTGACAACTATGCTGATTGGCGGCCGGGGTGGCCCCGTCAGAAGGTCCTTTTGCGCAGATTGTTCACTTTGCAGCACGGACCCCAAGGGGGTGCAACTTGTCATGAACCAGTTCGCAGCTTTGAGGCGAGTTGGGACATTTCAGGCAGTGCGCAACTTTTCCCCAGGCGACATTGAACAAGCGCAGCGCTTGAGCAATCGTGCTAGGGAAGCAAACTGCGCGAGTTTGACAGAGTCAGGATCAACAGCGGGAAGGTTGTTTAAATGTCCTATAAACCGTTATAAACCCCATACATGGTGGCAGAGGCAGCTGTATGTTTTCCCGCGCGCCCCTCCCCAATGGTCCATTGGGACTTGACACACTGGTCCCGCAAGAAACCGGAGCCAGAGCCAGGGTTGAACAAGGGGCCAGCGCAGCCAAATGTGCTTGAACACATCAGTGGCTTGAGTTTCTCTTCGGGATGAGGTTTTGTCTCAACTCGGAATGGATGCCTCGCCCACCTAGCAAAAAGCGGCGCTTGGATCTCCCGTTCGAGGCCTGCACTGTGCGGAACAACAACTCCAGCCGCTTCGGCAAGTTCATCGAGCTGCGCTTCCAGCTCGCTTCAGGCCAGGTAGGCCAAAGCGCACAAGAAGGGCACCAACAGAACACCTTGGTATGTTGGTGATATGGAACGAGGGGACGTTAGGCGATTGAGCCTTTTGGGAAAGGTATGAAAGGTTTTTGTGGTACAGAGCTGTGCTCCTAACTGCAAGACAGGAGCTAAACCCGCAATGGCTTTCTGAGTAGGAGATTGCTTCAGCCAACTTCCAACTGCTCAAGTTGTTTTCTTCTTTTCAAGGGCATTCACATGAAACTGCCCCGATTCCCTTTGGTTGTGGGTACAGGGCGTGCTTCTTGCTAGATCTAAGAAGGGAGCCTCAGCCGCTTCCTTGCGCTTTGGCCTGAGCAGGTGCTGCCACCTTTAGCAATGCTGGCATCGAGACGCCGCCTGGAGTAGAACAGAGGCGCATGTCGATGTTTCTTGGGGTGCACGCCCTCGATAGCTTCCCGATGCCTCCCCTGGCAATCAAGATTGCCTTTTGCCTTGGGACAACTGTGCCTGGGCGAATGTCACACAGTCTAAAGATCGAGCAACTTGACATGCGAATCCGCAACTCACTGTGTCACTCCATTCAATCCATTCATTTGGATTTGTTCTAGAATTCCTCAGCTGAGTAAGAGTCCTGACTGGATGCAGCTTCCGAGACAAAGTGCTGACTGATGCTGCAATTGATGAAAGTGGCAAGGGATGATTCATTGTTCGTTTGGAGGCATGTGTGTGTGTGTGTTTTACAGTAAGTCGGCCTTGGCGGCTTACCACACATGAGTGTTACGTCGAACTCGATGATTGTGAGGGCAGATGCTGTGGTGGTAGCACTTAGTTTTTACTGCTGCAATGTGCATATCGGTGCTGCGGTGCGGTTCAGTCAAGTAGCTTTCCTGCAAGAACCAAATGGCGTTGGGCACGTGCTGCCTGCGCACCAGTGAGCATCAGCGCAGGGAACCAGGGTAGCCCACGAGCAATGCAGCAATGCTGGACTGATTCTTGCTGCGGACTCGTTTGCTAGCTACCCTTTATCAGGTGCTGCCCACAGAAGTACGGTATGCATGCCTTTATGTTCTGTTGCCAGAAGCGGAAGGGAGAGGTTTGTTGCCAAGGTACCTGCTCGAGAAAGTCCGCGTGACCAAGATTGACAAGCAGGACACGCGTGGTCTTGAATGGAAATCATTGGGAGTGATGTTCACTTGTTACGCAGTCAAACCGAGACATTATCCATGGAGCGACTGGTGGGTCTATTGTTGAGCTAGAAGTCATAATTTGACTGCTTTGAATTAATTTGTGCCCAGCGCATCCACGGTAGAACTCTCTCTGGCAGCTGGGTGTCTTCTCAAAGGGGCCGTGTTCATGTTCATGTTCATGTGTTTGAGAGAGAGAGGCAAACATGTGCCTCAGTCAAATGGCCTTGGGCTTATGCCACGGTGCAACACCAATCTGAGAACAGCCGCCATTGCGGTTAGATGATAGGCTGCAAGTTTGGGATGAGTTCTCCCAAATGCGACGATCAAATGCCGACAGCCGTTTGCTGCTTTATAGTTTGCAGAACCACTACTTCAGACAGAATGGATGGCTGAGCATGTTTGCCTTGGGCGTAAGTCAACTGACTGCCAGGAACGGCAAGCTTCCAGGGACCTGGGCATTGCCAGCCAGCAAGCAAATGCGCAATCAAAGAAGTCCACAAGTTGCCACTCGGCCCTTTGTGTGGCCAACACAAACCATTCATTGCCAGGAGCGATCGTACCACATCTTCTACCAGGCTGGAACCATGACGGGACTGCCGAGGGGAGGGCAAAAGTCTCGTGTGCTGAAATCTGAGAAACGGGGCTTCTGGCCTGTTGCAGGTTACACGTGCTATTATTAAGCACAATTTCATTCAGACAAATTTGGATGGCGGTGAGTCCGGTAGCTGCTAGGTCCTCGCCCAATTTCTGCCAGTGGCGTTTTGCTTACTCCTGGGCCGAGCCGGATCCCTCGCATCGGGGGATGCGAGGCCTGCGCCGCGCACGCCAACTTGGACCCATCGGATGTTGAGGGCTTACCGCTGGAGCACTTCCCTAGCCCAGAGGTGGGGGGAGCCTGGTGCGCTGATCTTTGGGGGACCCTCTATCCACAGTAGATATACTTGAGATTACTTGAAGACTTGTTCTTGTTGTTGTTCTAGAGTTGGCTAAAAGAAGAGGATTTTTTGATGGACAGTGAACAATGAGGTACATTCTTGGCCAACCAGGTCCTACATGAGCATTGTAACGGTGTGCGTGTGTGTGTGTGTGTGAGATGTGTTTTGTTTGTTTGTTTGTTTGTTTGTTTGTTTGTTTGAGTGTCTGTGTCTCTGTGTGTCCTGGTATGTGTGCATGTGTGTTTGTTTGTGTGTGTGTGTGCCTCTCTCTCTCTCTCTCTCTCTGTGTCTGTGTCTGTCTTTGCCTTTCGGAGGGCGCCCGTCCGTGCGACTGGGCTTGTAGGGTGTGGCGGCCGTCGGGGATGGAAATCTGTTCTTAGCAGCTTTGCTGGGGCACTATTTTCCATGAGGCATGTTGGCACTAGAGTTCTTGACTTCGAAGTGCAGGGGCTTGAATTTTAACAGCATTGGAGGGCCACAGCGACACTGTTTACCCAGGGCTCTGAAGCAGTTGTGCGGGCGCAGGAGTTCAAGTACCTCAAGCAGTCAGATCGCTTTGAGACACTTGGCACGCGCTTCGGGTTTTGCGTTCGCAGTGCCGGAAAGCCTTGTTGGAGAAGGGGTCAACTCAAGGCAGCTGTAGGGAGCTTTCAAGTTGAGTGTTGCCCCACTGGGCGCGGGCCGCATCTCATGATTCCAGGGTTGTTGTTGCTAAGGCCTGGTGGCCCCTAGCCTTGGGGGCTGAAGGTTTGGATAATTCTTACAATGCCCTCGTGCCTGGTCGTTCCCTTGATCATCAGCAGCCCCTATGCTGAGTGGCCATTGCGTGCCTGCTTCAAACACTCATGACATCATGAACTGATGTAGCATGACACCGCCAGTGCGGAAATCAGTCCACAGCTGTGCACCTCACGGCCTGGCTCAGATGGCCGCTTTGTACAAAGTTCCTAGTGTAAACGCATGGTCAACGCCTGCTCTCGGTTCTTTCGGCGCGTGCTAAGCTATTCTCGCCCAGTCTCGATGGCGTGGACGACGCCGAGGAGTTTCAAGCCACGAGGAGGGGGCTATACAAACATGTGGCCGTGAACATGCCTTGCTCACATGACCCATCATGATTGCCTATATTCCGCCAGGCGGTTGAAGCGGTTGAATCGGTTTCGGGCCCTGCCAGTGGAGAATTCTTCAGGCGCTCGATGGAGGCGATGGAGATCTCCTTGCAGGAGCAGGCGGGGCTGGTTGGGATCTGGCACAGGTCGAACGGGCGGCGTGCCCGAAGACAGCGAAGGGCGCTTCATGAGCTTGCCGAGTTTTGCCCTCCAGCTGCGCCACGGCATCTTTGGGTTGTGTAACATGTGCGAGGCAGCCGCCGAGCAAGTCTAATGTGCAGGTCTCAACTTTGCCTCTTTGCACCCTCTCAACTCAACTGGAGACATTGCCCTAGGGGTGAGAAGCTTTCTCATCAGCGTGCTTTTTGGGCCAATGAACCTGCTCTTTCTGCATCAGGGATGGTAGGATCCATTGCTTGCCCTTGCATTGCAAGCGCGGTTGGGCGTCTCAAGCATCAAGGCTGGAATGGCTAGGAATTTTCATGGCGAATCCCTAATCTTGCTGGTTCTCAGCAGGGAATGAGGGAATGACTCCTATAAATTATTTTTGCCTCATCCTTCGCCTCATCCGGAACCCCAGGCTGAGATCCTGCGCGTGGTCGCGGCGGTGCTGCACATCGGCCCCTCTGGCTCAACTGAATTTGTTGGATGTGGGCGATGTGTCCAGCTGGCCCGCTGGCCGTTTTTGTTCAAGAAGTTGCCTTGACACCTTTGAGCCCTCAGCTTTACCAAGGTCCCTTGGCTAACTTTTTGTGTTGAGAAGAGGTCCGGGGACCGGGTGCAGGCAGGCATGAAAGCTGTTGTTTTTGGCAGAAGGCACCGTTGTGTGATGCAACTAGTCCGGAAGTCAAAGGGCTTGCTTGTTTGTTTGGCTATGTCTGCCTTTGCTTCCGCTTCCGAGTCAAGTTTGACCTGACTGGCCCAAAAGAAAGCGGCATGTGTCTCAGGGTGCTGGCAGAAGCTCCGACGATTAGCTCCGTCTCAGCCAAGGCAACATCCCTTTGGTAGGAGAGGAAGGGGCCGGGAGCCTCAAGCCGTCTGTGGAAGGTGGTCAGAGTTACAGGGAACGACTGCTGCGGAATGCCCGGAAGAGCCAGGGCGCGTTTTTAGGTGGGGAATTGGAATGTGGGCAGGCAAACTTGCGCTTGAAACAACGCAAAGTTGCATGACCATGCCCTGATTGTGGGAGTTGCAGTCATACATAGTCATACTATCTTGCAAAGGGCTTGAAACTTCAATCCAACAATAATTTTAGGGTATGTAATTGTTATGTAGATGGCAGTGCCAGTCATTGGACAGTTGACCGTCGTTTTTAGAGCTGCTCATAGGGGTTTGTGTGCACAGTCATGTCAACTCAGTTCCTGACAACGCGGCCAAAGTTCTTTTGGCTCACACAGTATGCAACACATAATTGTCATTGGGCGCCACGTTCACATGCTGAGCCGTAGGGGCCGCAAAGGAGTTGCAAAAAAATGGGTGTGCCAGAATGGCCTGTGATGAAACTTCAAGAGAACTGGATGATGTTTGGACGTAGTGTGACTTTCTGCGGTGCCACCGCAGGAGTTCTTTCTTCCATGGGGCCTGGGATCGTGCTGACACTTGCTAACGTGCCAGGGCGGCGGCAAAGTGAAGGTGCAAGCCAGCAACAAGTCCTTCCAGGACAGACTGTTTCGTAAGTGCGTCATTCAGGAGCATCTGACCCCGAATGTTGCGGGGGTTGCCCTCCCATGATGTCCCTTGTTTTGTGAAAAGGTGTGGCCGAAAGGACAAAGCAGTTCGTGAAATGGAGGCAGTAATTATTTGTCAGCCAAGCAGAAGGCCACCGGCTCAAACCACGCACGTCTTGAAGAGGAGGTCAGACGTGTCTTCCTTGACTTGTCGGCATTCTACAGCAAGTTGTCAACTTGGCTTTCAGCCCACCACTTTAAAGAAAAGGATGGCGCACTACGCACAGGCCTCTCGGAAGAGTTCAACTTCGGTTTCAGCCTTTTGGACCCCGAGCGCAGAACATGGCCTGCGTTCCGAGCAACAGTCTTGGCACCTCGGCAGTTGGGCTTCGAGCCAATGCCTGCGTCCGCCCACGCAGCACAACCAGGGACTGCCCGGCAAGGGGGGGCGATGCAAGGAACAAACAAACCAAGACATCAAAGCTGACCCACTGTGCCATGTATAGGTGCGCAACAGACGGCACACGACACAGTGAATCCCAGTTCGGCGCAATTCCCACCAGCTTTCTCCACCAACTTCGCACCACCCCAAGAGTGGCCTGGATACCGCAGGCAGTGTGCGACATCATGGGTATCCAGCCCGAGGTCCTCACAAGGCCCACAATGCAAGGGAAGATGCGGTTGCACAGCAACGAGATCACCCGTTTATGGGATCCCATTCTTTTTTGGATAGAAAGTGCTTAACTTCAACACTTGGACATGTTGCTTGTGCACCTTCCTTTAACACTCAAGCATGGACCTTCCTGTTGTTGCATTTTCTTCAGGAAGATCTCTATGGTCCTGCTTCACCGATGAATTTTGTGTCCGCTCGTGATGCCCTTGGGTGTGCTGGTTTTGGGGGGAGCGCCCGTGCCCAGGGCCATGACGCACAAGCACATCATGGTGTCAGGCGGGAAGTGCAGGAACAGTCTCTCAGAAGCTGAAAAAGGGCCGTGGCGTCCTTTGTTCGATGCCTCCTTAGGAAAATTGGATGGATGTGCCATGGTATACCCGAGTGGTAATTTTCAGGGAAGCAACACTTCGGCACATCCGGCGACGCAACTGCACCTTACCTGCGACGCAGAGCCTCGAAGCCCTGCGATATTTTCGGACGAAGCTTGAGGCGAGAGCTACGACTCCCCTTTGACGCTGGACCAGTGTGAAGCCTGGTGCCCCGAGTTGCGCGCTGGATGGCGCTGGCATGGGCTCAGTCTCCATGGCAGTTGACCACGTAACCAGTGGTGTAGAATTTGAGTTCACTGTCCACTCAGACCAGACGTGCGCCCCACATGGCTCAGGCCCGACGGGAGTCCTTTGCTCGAATGATCTACTCCTACCTCTTTGCTGCAACCTCAGGGTCAGATGCCCTGTTTTTTGACCAAGGGCGTTGAAACGAAATGGGTTTGGCAGCCTAGTACTCTAGCTTCTCTCTGCTGCCCGCGTAGGCGGGCCTCCGAGCTTGTCCATGCCAAACAATTGAGGGAACATGGGTGATGCCACTCTTTGCTGCCCGCTAAGAATCACGTCGTCTTCCGGATCAACGAGTCCTTTGCCGCCAAGCGCGGAGGCAGAGTGTGTAGTACGGAGAACTTCTGCACATCCACTGTTTGCCACCCAAAACACAATTCCATGGGAACTGCCTGCAAGGATTTTTTCTGTTGGTGAGGGTTCCAAATGTCCAGTTCTGCTCCCGTCTTTCGGTGTTCGGCGTTCTGTTGTGGGACAGGGGCTAAGCCCTCGAGCTTCATCGGGGTGCTGGACATCTTTGGCTTCGAGCACTTCCAGGCCAAGCTGCGGGGCTCGGGTCCAGGGAGGTTTCGAACGGGGCGGGGCAGGAGAAGGAACCACCACAACGCCCAGCTGTTGATGGCTGAAGAAGAGTAAATCAGCTTCATGATGCTGCGGTGGGGATGGGGTTACCTTTGGCCGGAGCAAGTCATTCTCACAGACTTTGCTTCGAACGATCTACTCCTCAGCCTTCTCCTTTGTCCGGGGGCTTCAGGACTGTTTTCCCGAAAGCGGGCCTCGAAGCTGTGGCACGGTCTGGGGGGCACGGCGGGGGTTCGACTTCTGAAATCTCTGGGCTGGACTGGGGCCACCTGGGGCCGACGTCGGCAAATTTGGCGAGGACGAGCCATGCTGTTATGCCGTTGTTTGTTCAACGAGGCGCTAGAGGGTGGGGCTGGTAGTCTCAATATTTTCCCAGATGTTTTCTAGACCTTTCTACCAGCGGCCTTTATCAACTCAGTCGGCGGGTATCGGCGGGTGTGGACATGGGCTAGGCTTAAGTTTTCTCAGACCAGCAGTTGGCAAACCTTTGGCTCAACAATGGCTTTGTGAACGCCTTGACCGCTGAAGACCGCTCTTTGAGTCAGTGTCACCACACAGATCTTGGTCATCAGGTCAACTCCTTTGAGCAGCTTTGCATTAACTTCGCCAACGAGCGGCTGCAACAAATGCTGCCTGGCGTGAAGCACCCCCTATCCCTACTGTGGATGGACGAAATCCATTTCGCGCCACTTTGAAACCATGTGAAGCCAGTGTTTGTTGACAGGGGAACCATCATTCCAGGCTTTTGAGGTGGTGCAACATTTCGTCCATCCACAGTATGGAGATTCACTTGTTTTTGCCGGTAAAGGTCTTGATGTGCTGACACTCTTTCTTTCCTTGCACCAAGCACGCCCTAGTTTTTTTTTGGGGGGATTGGCTTGATTCTTGCTGAGCACTTTTCTTCTGATGAGTCAACACTTGCACCAAGGTTCAACCACTTCGTTTTCGAGGTGGAGATGGACCGGCCAGGGTTGTTGCCCTCTGTTGTCAGGGCATGAATGCGCGTTTCAATTGTGGCAGGCGAATGATCGCATGTGTGCAACGAGGTTGGGCGGAAGGATCAGGATTCGAGGATTGGCACACAATTCAGCCACAACAGCCGTGTCGAAAGTGGTAAGTTCAGCTGAGAAAGTAATTTGTGTGCCTGGCCGCGGTTTTGTTCCATAGCTAAAGTTTGCAGAAAGATGTTGACAAGTTGCAGTGTTTTTTTTGGCTGATATTTCTTGTTGGTGAGCGGCCTCTTGCCAGGAGCTCTACAAGCAGGAAGGCATTACTTGCGACTTCTCAGACTTTCCGGACAACCAGGCGTGTGCGTGCTCAGGCTGCCCAGACCTCGCACAGCATAGACGAAAGTAGTGGCTCTTTGGGGTTTCTGGTCCTGTATTTGAAGCTTTGTGCTGGCTTTCACCGCCATTGGTCGGTTGTTCGGCTTTAGTGAGGTGGGCTTGGTGGGCTTTGACCGCAAAATGGCGAGCGCAAACCGGCAAACCGGGCGGCCAAGCCGATTATGGGCCCAGCGAGGGCATCATCGACTTGATCCAAGCCAAGTCCATGAGCATCTTCACGTTGCTGGACGAGGAGTGCCGCATGCCTAAGGCCTGGAAGTGCCTTGGGGAGGGCGGTGGGGAGGGCGGTGGGGGGAGGGGATGGGGGGGTGGGCGGCTATGGTCTGGAAGCCGGAAAACCATCATGGACTGTGGTGCCTCACCCTCGTTTGCATGGAAGCACATGCGTTCTATGTTCTATGGCCCAGGCAACGTTTGAAGAGGTGCTTTGTCGTTTGGTTGGCGGTTGTACTGCGGGCTGCAAAAGGGGCAGGTTTGAATTGAGATGCTGCAATCATTGGTGGGACCTGGTCCCAAACCCAGAAAGGCGAAATGAGGCAACGTGTTCTGACTAGATCTGCCCAGGCAACGTTCTAGACTGCATTTCTGTGCCGATTTCGCTGCCCTGACTTTCGCCAGGGCAGCGACAAGGCGCTGGCCGCTTGGCAGGTCCTGTGAGGTGGCGAGGTACGCCTTTGGAAGCTTTTTGCGCGGCTCCCCCATCGCCTGGGGCGAGGGAATCCCTCAGCCACGCCCAAGATGAGCTCTTGGACCCTTCGCTCTTCCCTACACGTTGCTAGCGCAACTTCGCTAGCAACTTGCGCCTGGTTTCCTGCACTCACGATGAAGGCTCCTCCCCTGCGTGCTCAGCGGTTCTGTCACGAATTGGAAGCGGCCGATGTAGATTCAGATGTGTTTTTTCCAGTAGACCTTCTTGTCACTGGTGAGGCAGCAGTGAGTGGGGGCTGCAGTGACGCGGCTTCCTTCCGTGCCCGAGGTCCAGAAGCTCTGGAAGCAGTTCGACAAGCACGAGAACTTCAAAATTGAGCGGGCGCCTCAAGACACTGCTTGTGGGCGGTTAGGTGGCCAGACTGCTAGATAGCATTTGTGTTTTCTTCACAACAAATCCGGAAGGAGATGGTAGTTGTTCAAAATTTCCGGACCCCCTCTAATGCACCTGGGAGCTGTCCCCTGCTCCATGTTGCTGCAAATCATTTGGAACGAATGTCCTCTTTCTCCATGGCCACTTGTGCGGTTGGGGTGCGATCTGGGATGCCTTGGTCCCTGGGTCCACCTCGCAGTTTGAGTCAATAGATGGCGCATCGATTTTGCAGTTTCTGGCAGGGACACGTGCCGTTTGGACGGGACACGTCCTGGCAACATCATTTTCCTTGCACTGGAAACAGGGAAGCAGCTGTTTTCGTGAAGGGAACGCATGGTCCTTGATGGTTCCACCCATGTTTGAGTCTTGTCCGCGCGCGCCCAGGCCCCGGAAAAATATGTGCTTCACCGTGGTCCACTTTGCAGGGCCAGTGAGTTACGACGTGACCAACTTTATGGACCCCGGCTGGTGGTGTGTTCCTCGGGATTCGCAGCCTGAGATCTCGCCGTGTCCGGGGGCCCCAATCTTGGCAAATTTGAGGCCGCCAAGAGACACTCGCCAGTCCGCATTGGTGCGCATTCGTTGGCAAGCTAGAATCCATTTCCTGGCAACGAGTGGCGAGAAGAAACGTGACAGCGGAAACGAGGGGGGGGGGGGGGAAAAACAACAACTCCCAAAATAAATCCGCACACGTAGATACCTCAGTTGCCGCAGCACTGAGCAAGTCTCTTCCATTTTTACGGCAAGACAAGAAAAGCAACGTGCCAAAATGGCCCAGTCATTTTCTCTTTCATCTCGGGTAGCCTAGGCGTTCGCATTGGTGGTTTGGATTAGGGAATCGGAAATCCAAATCATCAATGAGAGGGAAGCTGGTTGAAGGGGCATCAGGAGCGGACATTAGAAACTTGGTCTACCACATGCATTGCGCATCAATCAAGCGCTGTTGCTCCTGCAAGTTGCTCCCCACAAAGTGTCGAGCTGAGAGCCGCGCAGGACAAGAACATGGACGAGCTGGGGGAACTGCTCAAGAATCTGGGCAGCACTTCAGCTTCGGCGGCTCGGGTTTTATCAGAGCTTCACCCTTCTGACCGCAGGCAGCTCCAAGGATGGCACTGTGGATTAACATGAGTTGCCTCAGAGGGGGAGGCCCATGATGAATTTGAGCAAAGGCCCCCCCTATGCTTGAACTTGAGAAATCACTACCCACAACAAAGGTTCCCATCTTTTCTGAGGAGATTCGCCGTTCGCCGCGGGACTCTTTGCCTGCCCCAGCAACGTTTCCACGGCCTACCTACAGTACTCAGCACGTTTGATCGAGCTCGAGGCAGCTCTTGCTTTGAAAGCCTTAAGCTGCGAAGAGTGGCCTGGGGCTTGTCATGGTTTCCGCTTTGCCTGTGAACGCGGTAGACCCCCTCACAGGAACGCTATGAAGGGCTCCAAGAATGAGTTTGTCCGAAGCCTCATCGAGCGGGCGGACGAGACAGCCGCTGCTGCCGGGCCCCGAGAGCGCGGGCAAGTTCTTCTTGCTCCCGTTGCATTTCTGGTCGGCATTTGTTGGACTCAGCCAGGCTCTTCTGCAATTTCTCGATGTTTCTTCCAGAGCTCAGGCCCCAAAAAGGGGTTCCTTTTTGCTACCCGCGGGCTCGCGGGTCACTGGGCAGCTGGGACTGTGGCAGCGCTCAGGGGAAGTCGCCCTCGCAGCAGAGCCGAGCCGCAGGGGGTGCCCAGCGCCCGTGATGTCGTCGGGTTGGTTTCGGGAGATGTTGGGTTTTGTTTGTAGCCTTTGTTTTGTGCACCCGGGGGGTCGTCCCGGCAGTTCAAAACCATGAGGGCTTTAAAGCCAGACAGTGAGACGCATGCATGCTGCATGTGTGCGCAACACCGACACATGTGTTTGCTCGCACGTGCACGCAGAACAAACGCGCAGTTGCAGGCAGAAGTGGCAGCTCTCGTTTCTGCCCCCAACCCAACCTGTGAGAGGCCAATTTCCTGCGCAGGCTCGTTGCAGGCCCTATGTGTTTGTAAGCCGCCCCCAGTTTCTGACGGCCGACCAAAGTTTCCAGCCGGTGCCCCCGAAGGGCCGAAGGCAGGACACTCCTCCTCGCTCAGGTTGCGGGCCGCGGCGGCAAGACCCTGAAGCCGCACACGGCTTCTTGGGCAGCAAGGAGGGCACAAGCGCTCTATGTGAGGTCTAGGGGGCCCGGCATGGGCGTTGTTTTGTTGTTGCATTGACTGGAGGGGCTCTCTTTCATGGTAATCAGCTTGAATAAACACAATCATGCAATATACGGTTTCCGTTGAGGTTTAAATTGCTTTTTGTATATCACTTTTCGTCTATTAAAGCATACAAGGGTCACTCCAAACAGAGCCAGCGGCAACCACCGGAACGTCCGGGCTTTAGGTTGGGTTACTGTTGCTCTGATGACTTCTGGAGCTACTGGCATTTTGCATAGGGTTGTTGGTAGAATCATCCATCCCCCCCCAAACACCAAGTGCTGTTCTGGAGTTCGCTGAAGCCAGCCGCCACGAGCAAGTCTGTCGGTTTTTCTATTTGGGAGCTGCAACTTCATTGTTGAGAGGCTGAGCGTTTCCTGGCCGAACGGCTGGTGATCTGGCTATTTTCAGTTCGCTTCTGTTTTGTTCTTGCCAGGGACACCTTTGCTAGTGCCTCGCCCCACTCACCAGTCCAGCGGTTGCAGTATCTTCAACAGCACAGAAACCCGCAGAAAGTGGTTGGTAGTTTACAAGAGCGAGAGATGACAATGACCCGCCGAAGGTTTCTGGGCATCCAAAACACACGCGGTCACGTTGCCTAGGTGGCGGCGGACTTCAAGGGCCGCGGCCCTGGTTTGATTCTTCAGCATGTCTTCGTTGCAGCGACCTGTTAAAATGGAAAGAAACCGCACGGGGTTACTTCGCAGGATCCTGCGTTCTTATTGGCCGGCAGTCGCATGCTCACGCGCTCATGCCCGTCAGCATGCCCGAAGAAGTCAGCGGCCAGCACCCGTCAAAGTTTCTCCTGGTGAGCTTCTAATCCCGCAAAGGAATTGCTAGGCTTTGGCTCCAGATCATTGAGTCATTGAGGCTTAGTGAATCAGGTCATCGACCTTTGCCCCCAGCCATGCCGGCGGTCGACACTTACATGGAGGTAGACAAGAACGAGAACCTCGAGGGCTTGGTTGAAGAGACCCCGGTGCAGAAGACCCCGTGGCGCTTCCTGGGCCTTTTCGCGGTTGCCGCTTTGGCGCTCTTGGCCCTGGGCTTGGCGTCTACCCACGGTAGCGTCTTGCGTGGCACGGCCTCTGACATCGTCAGCGAGGAGTCCGTGGGCGACGACGTGGATGTGCACCAGGAGGTTACGATCAACGGGGTCCCTTTCTTCGGGGTACGCGCGGGCAAGGCATCGGCGCCCTTGGGGAAATGTCGCACATTCGCACCCGGCTTCATCAAGCGAGGTCGTGCGGAGTTTGCCACGTGCGGCCAGCACACGGAGCTCATCCTTTTCGAGGATGCCAAGTGCGATGAGAAATATCCCTACAAATTGGGATCCTGTGGCGCGAACTCCAACAAGAACTACTGCTCGACTCTCAATGACCAAGGCAAGCATACCCGCTGGGCGGCCGACTACAACGCCTTCGTTGTCAGGAAGTGCTAATTCAGCTGGTTCCTAAGATGGTCCAGCAACCTTTGACTCAAGGCACTCGGTCATCACCCGGTGGCCATGTATATAAGCACTAGCCAACACGAGAGTCCTTGAGTCCTGCACTGGAGAACCTTTCGAAGCCATTATGACGAGCTTGAGAGGAAAGAAGGTGTCACGGCCTCAGCGTCTTGCAAGAGACACATGTTTTGACTTGAATAGGATCGATGCCAAGTTGGGAAAGACTCCCAGTTCTACGTCCCTGCACTTCCGTACTCATCCAGCTTCGGGTAACACGGATTCATGCCAGCAAATCGAGCTTGCGTGGATTGACCAGACCAGGGCAAAGATCACTTTGACTCTGGATCCCTCAGTTTTATCTTTCTTGTTGCTTAGGTCCTTGACTTGCACATTTCCAGCCCACAGCCAAGGCCAACTGGAGCAGCTGGCGCTTTGGCTATGAACATTGATGCGTTTCACTGTTGCCATATAGACATCCATCACTACAGTTTGAAGATCCTCCTGGATACTGATAGCAATGACCCATCTTGCCTGTAAGGCCCGTGAGGCAGACGGAGGGGCGCCATTGTGTCAAACAAGTTGGCCACAGGCTGTCTGTAGGTAGGCCATGCGCGATGGGGCAGGTTCGCTCCAAGGCCTGCTCACCTTTCCATAGCTTGAGTGCAGGTGTCATGCTGATATCCTGCTTGTTGGGGATCCCGCTTTGCAAGAAGGGGTCAGTCCAACTTTGCCCAAGTTAGGCTTAGTAATCCCGAACTTCTCGGTGGGTCTTCGGGGGCTGGTTTATGGAGTTGATGGAATATCGCCTTTTCGCACCTCGTGAGATCTCTGCTGGGTGACACGTGTTTGTCGAGATTTGAACGAGCCCAAATCACATGCTTCTCCCTTGCCATTTCGACACTTGAAGACTTGGCTATGCATGCAAGTGTGTCACCATGCATCACCATGGCACTTCTGTGAGTTGTTGTTTGCAGTCGCTTTGCGTGCAATTCTTTGACTACCGTGTTTTCTAAAATCAGTTGTCTCATCCATTGCGGTTTCGTAACATCCTGGATATCCTTTGGTCTTACCCATGCGGGCTTCCAAAGGCAGCAAGGTGAAGCAACAACATGCTTATTCACATCCTTCAGATGAGCTCTTCCTCAAGACCACGTCTTCAAATGAGTTTGGCCCACCACACCTCCCGCGGCAAGCGCTCGGATCCAAGGTCACCAAGATGCGCTCGGCCTCCCCGCACTTCGCTGGAGCCTCGGAGCCTCGGAGCCTCGGAGCCTCGGAGCCTCGGAGCCTCGGAGCCTCGGAGCCTCGGAGCCTCGGAGCCTCGGAGCCTCGGAGCCTCGGAGCCTCGGAGCCTCGGAGCCTCGGAGCCTCGGAGCCTCGGAGCCCGACACGCCTCGCAACCTCGGGGGCCGGGAGGTAGATCCACCCCACGTGTTGGGAAAACGTCTCCTTAGGCCATCGAATATTTTCGGCTGAGGGGAAAACGGCCATTTGGGTCCGACAAGTTGAGACGCTCGGCCAGCTGTCTTGAGGGGGCGGGGGTTGGCAGGTTGACCGAAGCTGTGCAAAGCCGCCTGCTCCAAATACAATCCTACCCCCAGTGAACATCCCAATCCTCACTAAAATCCCGACTAAAATGGGTGGCGCACCTACCCCAAAATGGGATCCCATGGGTTTTGACTTGCGTCCAAATTGGCTCCAAGTGCCGTGAGAGGTGGATCCGAGTCTCGGCCGATAGGTGCGGTGCATCAAGCCCAACCCCGAGAAGCTGCCAGGACTTCTTGGCTCGGTTCGACGGGGTGTTCCAGCCTCCTGCGACTTGTTGTTTTCCCCGTTTTTTCTTTCCCTTCTTTTCTTCTCAAAGCCAAAAACGGCCAGGGACTCCTTTTGGATTTTCCAGGGATGGCCAGAATTCAGGGTGAATTGCTACTTGCGGGTTTTGAGAGGGATTGTTGACATAAACGCAGAAACATGGGAATCGAAACGCGTTGGCGCGGGTGGCACGCCAATCTGTTCTCGGTGAGGGTAACTTTGCCTGTTCTCGGTGAGAGGCATGGGAAGGAGGCTGCCAATCATTGCCATTCATTGCCAATCAATGTTGTGCTTGCTTCTGGGTTAGAAGCTAGACAAGCCATAAAATTGCCATCCCGGAGGGGTGAATCCCAGAGTTGCCGCCCAGCAATCCAGATCCCTGGGTGAATTCACCCAGCAGATCCCCGTTTTGGGGTCGGTGCACCACCCATTTTAGAACCTACTTTAGTGGGGATTGGGATGTTCACTGGGGGCTACGATTTGGCTTTCGACCCACGGCCAAATGACTATGGCTCAAGAAACCGGAATTCCAAAATGGGTTGCCCTGGTAAGTGGAAACATGAATCAACACCTGCGGTTTGCCCCTCCTTCATCTTGACCCCCAGCCCAATGGCCGAGCCGGGCCGATTGGTTCGCAGACCGCCTGGAGCGGGAGCTGGTGGTGGAGCAGCTCCGTAGCGGGGGTGTCATCGAGGCGCTGCACGTGCAGCGCGCCGGGTTCCCCTGCAGGCGTGGGGGGGGGGGGAGGGGAAGAGGGGAAGAGGAGAAGAGGGGCTGTAGGTTCCCGGCCGTGGGTCAAGGTACCATCTTGGGGTAGGTTTGCCACCCATTTTAGTCGGGATTTTAGTGGGGATTGCGATGTTCACTGGGGGTACGATTTGTTTTGACCCATAGCCGGTTAAAAGGGAGCAGAGCCGGAGCTGGACGCATCCACATTTGCAGGGAGCCTTGTGGAGCCCGCCAGGAGTTCTGTGAGGACATGGTAGGTCCATCACCTTCCGTAGTTCAATAGTCTCCCAAAAAGGGGTGTTGTGTTGCGCGTGTGTGACTGCAAGGGGCATGCCCACATAGTGAAGTGATAGTTTGGTTTTTTGTTGTTGTTTTTTTCTCTCTGAAGAGAAAGCACCTTGTGACATGGGAGGGACTGCAAATGATCTATGGGATTCTGGACGAAGCACTTGGCACTTTCGGCCTCTCTAGACTGGCTGGTTCAGCGGTGAACGCCACGCGCACCAGCTCTTCCCTCGTCACCCAAGCCCGCCCGGGCAACAGCGGTGCAGCATCGTTTCGTTTTGTTTTTCTCCTCCAGGGCGCGCATGCTCCCCTCAACTTGAGTGATGCGGCAATTGCATGTGCTCGGCTGGGGTGCAAGGACAACAGGATATTGTTCGCAAACTGGTTGATGAATCATGTCGGGCACCGAGAGCCCACATGTGTTGCACGGAGCCGTTGAATGCCAGCTAACTGTGGTTCACGTTGGCGGTCCCCCTTACATCCAGCAAGTCCGATGACGGTTGGAATTAAGACCTCATATTCTCTCGGGTCCCCGGCTAGGAGCCCACTGAAATCCTGCTGGAAGGAGTGGCCGCGAGCAGCGCTTGACCATTATTTGTTTGGTCTGTTTCTGGGGGTTATCAGGACGTCTAACCTACCATGACCACGCGGGTGCGAATTGAAGTTGGTAGGATACTGCCAGTTACCGGTCAACCAGATGCAAGGACGCCGGCAACTGCAGAACTTTGGGAGTGCTTTGCAGTCAGGTTTCACTCAAGCCTTTCGTGTTTGAAACGGTTTGGGCGTTGCGTTTCGCAATGCCAAGAACAAAAGGCTGCTGGATGCATTGGTTTTTTCAAATGCGCTGCTACTTGTTACAGTCGGCACGGACCATACACCCCCTCCTAGTGAGGTTAGCACTTAGTAGTGTAGCCCTTGCTGCGGCGGGTCTCAAAACCTAACTCGTGAGGGTTACCTGCATTCAAGACAGCCTTATAATGCTACAAGCCTACTAGCCGGCGCTTTGTTAATCTTGTTTACGGTCAGGGGGTGACAAGTGAACCGTTTTGCATTGTTATGCTCGTGCTGGACATCATGCACATGGTATCGCATGGCTTCTGCCCGGTTTGGATCTAGGATCCTTTTGCGGCCTGCATTGGGCTCATGCATAAATCGACTAATCGCGTGGCCGACCTTCCCCCGGCTACGGCCAGTCGCCCATGACGGAAGAGTTCATGAGGTGTGCGGCATTTAAACTGTAATCATGTAACCATCGAGTCGCCCCCCTCCCCCGAAAGGAAAGAGGAACATACATACTCAGCTGCTTGCATGTTGCAGGACGCTTGGCCTTGGCCTTTGAGTCAAGGATATGTTTAATCTCAGCCGCGGCCCGTGGTCTGAAGGAAAATTCCCAGGCCCTTCGAAGGCCTTGCGTCGGCTCCAGGACTTCCTGAGCCTCATCTTCAAGTCCGCGGGGGCCCCCGGCCCCGGAGCTCGCGATGGAGAGTTGGGCCAAGCCTCGCATGGGACAGACTCGCCTGAGATTGGTGCGAATTCTACCGCTTGCTTGTTGAAGCAGTCGCATGCCAGGAACAGACACACAGCAAAGGCTCACGTAAAGCAAGCCTTCGAAACATCTGTTTTGGCATCATCAATCTTGACTACTGGAAACTCCGATGCTTGGACTTGGGTTAGAAGCTGTAGCAGCGTCGCTGAGAGCAATTAGCGAACCAACCACTTGACTGGCAGGTTGCCACACGGGGTCTCACTCTCTTCTGGAAATTGGAGGCACTCGTCGGTTTCTTCAACAGCTTAAGTATATGGCTGTGGGTCAAAACCAATGGTACCATTTTGGGGTGGATGCACCACCCATTTTAGTCTATTTTAGTGGTGATTGGGATGTTCACTGGGGGTTCGGACTTTTGACGCATGGCCATATTGCTCTTATCATGGCCGTTGCAAAGTCAGCTGTCTGGGTGACAGCAGCCTTGTTTCGCTCGAAAGGCGTGTGGTAACTGCGCATCAAGCCACGCACACTTCCAGCTCCCCATAGTTAACCCAGTCATTTCAGTGGCACCAAGGGCCCCCTTTTAGCTTTGTAGGTTGCCAACAAAAATGGCAACAATGGGTCACCCCCCCCCCCCCCCTCACCCCCAATGTGGCCCTTTTCATCAGAAGCAACTTTGCCCACGGTGCCAAGAAGACTTGAGAAGCCAACGCCGTTTTACTTTTGGGACGAGCAACCGGTCCCACAATGGGAGACCATGTGCACTACCAGACTGCCCTTCAGCTGAAAGGGTGCCACTCTGTCCTATTTATGGCCCCTTGCCCTGAACGACGGCGGCTAGGTCGATTAAGTGGCCCAACAAAACCAGCGCCAGGAAAAAACAGCTAGGAAAACAAAACGCACCTCTACCATCAGTCGGGCTCTGAGTGGTTTGGTACTTCCTTGGTGTTACGGGTTTGGGCACGAACATGATGTGCAGAATTGCTTGATGCCCCAGCAGGGTCATCGTGAAGGGCTTCAAACGGAAGGTTAGGATGCTCCCACACGCACACGAACAACTCCGTCAAAGGTGCGCGCGCACGAAAAGGGAGGAGGGGGCGCACCCTGCGCTTGTCGCGAGGACGAGAGGGCCCGATTTGGCGCCATGTCGTTGGATGCCTGCCCGGAAGCCTGGAGAACGCGGGCTGAGCGAGCGCTGGAATCAGGTAGAGGCCATTCTGAAGGCCCTGTCTAGCAGCAGAAAGATTCTGACCAGGTTTGGGGAGGGGGTTGGAGTTGTAAGCTGCAGCTCCCCCGATACAGCTTGAGACTATACTGAGCACATGGATGGCTTCGTACCTTGAAGCTGTCTCATCATGCTGTTGTTTGCTCCGAGTTGCCCAGGGCAAGCATTAATCCAGACTCCCCGGCAGGAATGAGTCCTGCTCGGGATTGGCTTGTGCGTTTTGACAGAAATCGACTTTGCTTCCATAATCGACCCGATGACAGCCAATATGGTGGTCAATTGGAGCCAATGACTGCTATGCCAGGGTCCAATTGGGCTGGGAGGCAGGGGTAAGGGTTGGTTGGTTTGTTTTTCCGGTGGTTTCCAGGAGCCATGCTGTTTGAAACTCAGTTCCAGCACCAGGAACTGGTGCAGTACTTGTTTCACCCGACGCAGGGCATTTCAACGGTGGCTCTTGGATTCGCAACCCTTGACCAAAACGGCCGGGAGGTGGCCTTTGTGGACAACGGATGCACGTTTCTGGGCAGCCTGACCACCACACGGTTTGGATCGTGTGGCGATGCGGGAACGGAGCTCCGCACAAGGGCGCTCCGATGCCGGGGCAAGCACCTGTGCTCTGAAATGCGCCCCCGTGCCAGGCCTGAGAGAATCCTTGCAGCAGCTGGCCAAGGAGTAGAAGAGAGCTGGCCGCATGAAAGGAACAAATGTAATATGCGTCTACATGAAGCATGGCATGTGCGCAGACCTGCAGGCATATACACATGCATACGTATGGGCTGACTAAGACTGTAAACAGTAGGTACATGGGGCCTGAGGTCCATGCAAGACCCAGCAACCAAAAACATGGACTTGCTGTGGGTATTTGAGAAAATACCAGGGACCCGTCTGGTTTTGACTATTGCCAGAGAGGTATCAAAGGCTTCGTTCTGTGATTGAAAGCCAGCGCTTGAGATCCCAGGGTTTTGTGCCGCCTTAGGGTGATTGAGCTTACCAAGTCAAGCCAACGACTCCCTTGTTTTCTTTGGAGGGCGGGACCGCTGCGTTTTCATTTCGGACGGTGACGTTCCGGAAATGAGGTGGTTACCAAGAAGGGGCACGGAATTTGCAAGCTGAGTGAAGTCCTCATGTCAGCTGACTGGTGATGCTAGGCCGGTACGGTCGCGTGAGGAGCTGAAGTGGCCAGCCAGCCAGCCGCTGTACGCCATCGGAAAGACGACGGCCCCCGCCCCTGGGGCGTCGCGCGCGTCGCGTTTGGCTGGCGCTGTGACACTCCTTGGACTCTCCCCAAAGCTGCCCGCAAGTGTAGTGTTCAATGGTTCGGGCATCCGGCAAATAATTAAATGAAGCCAAGAGAGCAGGGCTTTAACTTAGGGGTTGGCTTATGAGCTGCCTGAACCAAAGCAGGGAGAGATTGGTTCTATGAAAGCTTCGAGGGTTTAATTCTGCGTTCGGCTTGCTTCGTCCAGGCTTGGGTTGCTTACAACCTTGCCATTGTACCTTGAATGTCAGCCCTGCATTGTCTCGCAAGGGTGAGGCAAGATGATGGACAGGTCTGCGGCATGTGCAAGGTGAAGAGTCCATGGGGGCCTTTGGATGGGCCCTCAAGATCCCTCAAGTGGCTCAAGTATCAGGTCTTTTTCAAGCAGGTGGCCTACGAGACGATCGAAGGCGACGTGCCTTGGGGGGGAGTCGCCGATGCCAGTTCACGCTTGAGGGACTTTGATGGCCAGTATGTCAAGGCTGGTGCGCACTGGTTTGGGGGGGGGGGGGGGTTTACGTGTACGAGATGTATGTTTATGTGGCTCCTTTGCTTGTGTGGATGCATGCCCCGTGACTAAAACGCTGGAGGCACGGGTTTCAATCAATCATTCAGGCACCCTGCTTGATTGCCACAGAGGCCAGGATTCCCGCACTCATTAGGCCATGTGGCTTCTTTCCAAGTCCCGTTGATTGAGTCCAGCAGCTTCAGGTCTGGCTGCTCGTGTGCGTTTGGGCTCTGGAGGCTTATTAGCATGGCCTTGCGCTGACACATCACCGACAAAGCAAGATAACAAGGTGGGACTTTGTAAGCCCAAAAGGCACTCTAGGCAGCTGGTTCGGCATCGTAACTTCAAGGCATGCCTAACAAAGTCGCTGGATATCGGATAGGCTGCACGCGGAAGCCAAAAGCGGCTGGCCAAAGCCATGGCTGGACAGATCACATGGCGCTACTGGGGAGCGCCTCGGTTGAGTGGGGGAAGGGGGGGGGGCGCTGAGCCGTGAGGGTCCGAGGCTTTGGACCCAAACAAGATGGGATAGACCTTCTCAAGAAGCTTTGGTGGGGACTCGGTAGAAAGGTTTCGGGCAATTAGCAACGTAATTAGCACCAGGCATCCTTTGAGAAAAGCCATCAGGCTGTCACGGCCTTTCCCCCGATGAAGAAAACTGCAAAGCATTGGAACTTGGATTGTTTACCGCACGTCTTTCTCAACGAGCAAGCTCGGACACTGCAACCGCTTCTTATGATTGATGCTCAAGTTTCAACCAGGTGTCCAAAGGGCCTTCCTAAGGCATAGTTGGGGCAGTTGTCGCAACCCGACTAGAACATATTGCCACTCAGGCTGCTACATTCATGATTGCCTTGGGCCCAGGCATTTTTGCGCGCCAGGCTGCATCTTGGTGGATCTCAAGTGGCGCCTGCGCAGGAGCGTTGCCCCGCAGCACGGCAGGAAAGAGAGGGAGTGGGGCAGGGGCATTCTTGAAAACTTTAGCCTGAAGGTCAGCAATGATTTGCCACTTCAGTTTGAGTTTGTTTGGTAGGAGGCTCCGGGCTGGCCCTGGGCACAGAACCCCGTATCGCACAAGTCACCGCTGAAATCGCATCAAATCGCTCCAGCCATGAGATGGGAGCGAGTTCTTTCCGGGCTTCCCTTTGTTTTTTTTGTGTTCTTTTTTGGGCGGAGGCGCGGAACAAGCTGCCCATCCCACCCTGAGCTCAAAAAATCGAGCCCCCCGGGCCTGGCACCGAAGCCGAGGCTCCGTTGCGACCGTTTCGTGGACGTCAGCTTCCCCACCTCCACGGCCCTTGGCCCTTTGGAGCGCATCTCCGTGCCGCTCACCTGGCGCCGGGCCGCGGATCTGCGGGGCCACGGCCAGGTGGGACGTGGGGTTTCGACACAGGAAACCCCACCAGACTGCCAAACCACCACATCACACCACACCCCGCCGCAAAAACAGGAAAAGAAGCCAGCAGCTTGTTTGCTTGTGGCCTTGCTTCATGCGTGTGGGTCTGACTTGCTGTTTGATTGTTCGGGCTGAGCTGGAGGTTGGCTGGACGTAGCCCATGGATCTTTTTCTTACACCCACGGAAGCACTCCGTCTTCAGAATTTGTTTGGCGATCCTGGGTGGATGGGTCTGTGGAATGAACAGCTTGTTGCATGTGAGTGGCGTGTGTTCCTTTGGGCTGGGGATTGGGAGGCATTCGCTCGCAGGTGAGGTCTCGCGATGCCAATTCACACTCCGGGATATATCGGGATCCTTTGCGCAGGGTCCATTTCCCTCAATCGTGCAGGAAGCTGCCTCATGTTGGAACGTAGATTATCTCAGGCTTGCCCGTGCAGGAAGCTGCCTCATGTTGGAACGTAGATTATCTCAGGCTTTATCATTTTGCCCGAGCACGAGTGACGAGGCATTCTGTTGGGCCTAGGGCACTTTGGCCCTTCTTGCAGTTATGTGAGACTGCATTTGTTCTGCGACGTTCAACCATGACAAATTGGAGAAGCTCACAAACCAGGGCCTAGGAGGCCCCAATTCCCTGGCTGCCTTTGCAGCTGAGCTACCGCTCTGAGGGGTGTGTCCAAAAGAGTGCCAAAAAGACGTCCTCAAGCAGATGCGGTGTTTCCCTGAAGGACGCACCCCATTTGATAGCCTAAGACTTGGAGTTTCAACCCCAGGTTTGCTTGACGCCAGCTCTGAATGCCAGGTGCGGCTTTTTGGGACCGGCGGCGGCAAGGTGAAGCAGGGAGCGCTGGGGGACTGCTGGTTGCTTGGTTTCCCCGGATCTGACGTGTGCACACTGGAGCCTAAAGGCATTTCGAAAGTTCTAACAGGGACCCTCTCATGTTTTTTTCAGGGTAGTGGAAAGCATGCTTAGGTTCCTGGGGACGTGGGCAATGATTCCAAAGAGAACACATAAGAGTCAGTTTCCTCTGAAGTTTTGGAGTGCGTCAGCCTCATTCATGCATGCAAGCTGAGCGGCTGCCCTTCAAGTCGCACACGACACATGTCGAGTTTTGCAAGATGCACGTAGATATCTCCACTCTGCTAACATGAGCAGGCTGAGCCCAGTCTCATTGATTCTCTCTCCCAAGCACGCTCTGTGTTTGGAGCCTGGCGGCTTCCGAGCAAGCCGCCACCTGCCAAATGTTCGCCCGAGAGGGATGTTTTGTTTTTTCCTCAGGAGACGTCCCATGGAGCATCCTAGTCGCAAGCGCCTGGGACGTAGAAAACAATCTCTCCGAGGGAACCATGGGCATCCATCGGACCCCTTTTCCAGAGTTCACTTCAGTTCAGCTAGGCTCATTGGCGCCATCGCCTGCCTGGCAGAGTTCCCTGGCCACGTGGAGATGCTTTTCGACCCCCCGAGCCTCAGCGCGGAGGGGCGGTACCTGATCCACCTCTACCAGCCCTCCTCCACGTGGCGGCGCGTGGAAATCGACGACCTGGCCGGGCCGGGGGATGGAAGGGTAGCCACGCTAGCCTTCAGACGCGTGGGGGGGCTTGTCCCGTTCTTTGCCCTATGGGCAAGGGTTTCTGATGATTGCTTGAAGCTTGACTGGGGTGAAGCAGACTTGATCATCCCATTGGCGGCGGTTGTGGCGGGCAAGTGGCAACAGCTACGCATGCGAACTTGATATAATGTTATTACGATAAAAATGATATTATTCTTTCGCAACTTCAAGGTCCAAGGCCGTCGGATTCTGCTGGCCATCGGCCACAATTCCGAGTGAACGAAAGCTCGTGTGATTCCGGACGCCACAATGATCAATGCAATATGTTGACACTTCTGCACGTAGAAGGAGGAGGTCGCTCAACACTGGGGTGCGCAGGTGCCCATCATGCCTCCGCCCTTCTGGGCCTACAGCAGGCGGGCGGTGCAGGTGGACGTGCCCTGCTTCTCGCAGCCGGTCCAGGGGGAGGTGTGGCCTTTGTTGCTGGAGAAGGCTTTTGCCAAGGTGGCCGGGCGCCCGGGCCGGAAGCAAACGACGGGCTCGGGGCTGGCACAGGGTTGGTTTCAGTGAGGCACATTCCGCGTAGTAGAGTCTCGTTGAGCTGTGTTCGCTGGTGCAAGGATTGCACACTTCAGGACAGATACACTACATGGACTGCCCAAGTTGGCAAGCAGGTGGGACTGCAAAGACCTCCCAATACCACCCCGAAAAATGTTTATGGGGTTTCAACCAAATAGATCATGAATAAGCCTTATTCGAGGGTGCTGTCAAATGTTGCGCTCGTGTTCCATTGCAATCGTTTTTGATCAGAAGCTTCTTTCCTCATGGTTCCCTGCTGGTGAGTACTTTCCCAATGATGGCAATCCTGGGTTCGCTCACACTAATGTAATATGTGTGTGTGCTTTCCCTTTGATTTTGATGACCAAGATGAGAGACCCACCTGGAGCAAGGGATGGCCAGGAGAAGGATGAACAATTGCGGCATGTTTCGTCCGGCAAGCTGGCAAAGCCATCTACACAGCATCCTCCGTGCCTGAGGGGCGCGCAGTGGCGCCTGAGCCGAGGTCCTATGCTGCGTTGGAGGGGGGCCTGCCAGAGATGGCCTTCCAGGCTTTTTGCACCCGGAGGGATGCTCAGACTTCAGCAGTACTCATCCCCCCCCACAGACGGCGTTGGAGTGTCATTGCGATGGATTGGCAAACTGCTCAATCCACGCCACCGAAGAAGTGCTGTCTCGCCAGCCAAGCACCCTGTGTGTCATTCCCTCATGCCCATGTCGCGTTCAAAAGAAGACGCTTTCATCGGAGGGAATTTGGGATCGATCTGTTTGCACGAGCATTCCAAGCCAAAGAAGCAAAGTGAGTGCACCAGCCTCCGTTGAATTCTCAGGTGCGGGTGTTCAGTTTAGCCATGAAAAAACGCATTGCCCATGGCGCTGCACTTCCAGCGCGGCTCAGCCTTCCACACCGCGCCAGGCCCTGACGGGGCAGAAGGAGCAGCTGAGGTGGCTACGGATGGGCGGCCACTGGCGGATGCTGCGATTCGACTCTCCCCGCTGGCAGGGCTCGAAGGTTGGGCCGGGAATTTGTTTGTCCGAAGTTCGGGCGGGTGAGGAGCCAGGGTTTCAACGCCTGACCAGAAATCGTCCCGACAAAAGCCTATAAGCATGTCATTATGGCAGTCACAAGAAATATCCGGAGGTTCTTGACTGGACAGGTGGCTGGGGCGGTCCATCGCCATACCCGACGGGTGCTGGATGACGAACAGCTCTTCCTGCGGCTTGCCTACTACGAGCAGGCGGGGTGGGGGGGGGGGGCGTGGCCATGTTTAAGGCGGCAAGGAGGTTCGAAAGCGACTTGGAAGGTGCAATCGCCGTTTTGGGCAACAGACAGGACCGGACCTTGCACATGACACCCCGCGAAGTAGAATTTCAGGATTCATTTTGCTTGGCTGCTCAGCCAAGCATTTCACACAAGACTTGAACCCTTATGCAACTCCATACCCTTCCACCAAGCAACATGGAACCTGACAGGGAAATGGTCTTCCAGCCCCCCCGCTGTCAGGTTGGTTCCATGTTAATTGGTGGGAGGGTAACTACCTCAGCCATATACAGGACAGCCCAGATCTTCGCCTTCCGCAGAATTTGTAGTTCCCTGCGTGAGGTTTCACGAGGGGCACTCTTGTTGCATTTGCAGACATCACATTTGCACTTACATGTTCTTCTTGTGTGATGCTTTGTTCGAAGTAGTGGAATTTGCTGAATTCTGGATGACGGGTTTCTAGGTTTAAATTTTGGGCTGCGAAATTATTATCGGTTGTGCAGATTGGCATGCGCATGACGGTTTGGTGCCGATTCAAGGGGAACCTGTCTTTATGACATGGTGCCAAGTCTGCCAGCTGATGCGTGAGTTAATTCGCAGACTCCCATGATGGGCAGCTGTAGTGGTTTGATCTATGCGTCCAGTCTCCGACTGCACGCTGATCGCGTGGGATTCCGCCATTCTTTGCTGGGTCGGAGGGGAGCGCTGATGGCTTGGGCTCTCGGCCTTGCCACTTCAATCCAGGGAGGCCAAACGGCAACCCTGAAACTAAAGGCCACGAATGTGACATCAGATTGTCAATGTCGCCTTGCCACCCGGATTCACCAGGGCTACCCTTGCACTAACATGGTACCAGACCAAACTGGGCTCCGGTTTGGACCAGTCTCCCCCAAAAACGGGGGGGGGCCTTGTCCCGGGGAGGGCGTGTGGGTTCCGGCCTGCGAGGCCAACTTCCTGTTGGCCGCCTCCATCAAGGGCTCGGGGGAGGTGAAGCGCCCGGATGGGCTGCTGACGGGGCACGCGTACTCGGTGCTGGAGGTGCAGGAGGTGCACTCGGTGCGTTTGGTGCGGCTGCGGAATCCTTGGGGCAAGGCCGGACATGGACACCCCCAATGCTTGCCACCCCCTTTTTCTGGGCACATGTTTGTAAAAACTAGCTTAAAAAGGAATCGTGACACTCCCAAGAGTAAGGTTGAGAACCCCTTACGTAACATGTTCAATTCAAGGAACCCACCACTGCGGAATTCTGCAAACGTGCAAGAAGAAGGGATCGCAGCTAGTTGAAGGCGAACACTGCTATGGGCCTGCCGGTCACATGCCCTGCCCCCATGAAAGCGCTGCTTAGTTTGATTTTGTTGGGCGCATTCTTGGGGCTCGGTTGCTGATGAAAATCAACGGTTGCGCAAAGGATGACCCCGCTTGGTGCAAAGTCGGGGCTGCGCTTGCCCGATGAAGCATCCAGTCGGGATTGGCCACACCAAAGGTCAGCACGTTGGCAGTTTCTGGCTGCCAGTGGGACCAGTGCACGGTTTGATTAGACATGGTTTGGGCCCATAAACTCTGGATCTGATTGCGGTTCTTGCAGCTGCTTCGTGCAGCTGGCCAGGTTTCAGCGGGCAAATTGACCAATGCGCCGCTTTTTCGGGTCGCCTGCCTGCTTCGACGACAAGTGGCTGTGGGTCAAAAATAGGTACCCAAATGGAACCCTTAAGCGGAACCATGAAATCAAATCTGCGGTCCTCTGGTGGTTGAATTTTGACCCACACCCAAATGCGGCTCAGGAGGAGTGGAACGGCGACTGGTCCCGCGGCTCCAGCGCCTGGAAGGACTGAGGGGGCCTTGGGATGGTAAGAGCAGCCGTGAGGCATGTGTATGGTTGTTTTATATTGTGGATGGACGAAATCCTGCACCACTTTAAAACCATGGACAACCATTTTTGTTGGTACTTGCAGTGGAATCATCATTAGGTGGTGGTCCATCCACAGTATGGCTGTGGGTCAAACATGGGGTAACCCCAAAATGGGTTGCCCTGGTAAATGGAACCCGGGATTAAAACCGGGGTCCCCTGGTGGTTTAATTTTGACCCACACCCATATAGCCCTGCTTTTACTTGCTGATTTCCGCAAGGCGCTTGTATGTACTGATAGGGTGGTACTTGTGTTGCATACGTTTGAGACCCAGGGGTGAGTTGACTCCGGGTGACTTGTATGCTGAAGTGGTCTTTGTCATGTTGGCCTCGCCAGAGAGCCGGCAACCAGCAAAGTAAAGGTTTGAGCAAAGGTTGGCTCGCAACTGGCGGCGCGCCGACGGTCCAATGTTTGTCCAAGTGGTCAAATTCCAGGCTTCTAGTGCCTTCGAGCCGAATGTGACGGGGTGAGGGAGGGCGTAGGGGTTGTTAAGCAGCTTTTGGCGTGAGCCTAAGCGAAATAGCTTCGGGTGCAGATCTTGGTGGTAGCAAATATTCAAATGATAACTTCGAAGGCTGACGTGCAACCTACCCATCGCATGTGTTTGCAAAGGCCCGTGCTCAAAGATCAAGCCCCAGGATCACCCCCACATCGCGCAAGACATCGCCGTGCGCGGCGGTGTCGCTGTGGACAGGGCCAAGGCCGACGGCTCCTTTTGGATGGCCTTTGAGGAGAGGGGGTCGCCCAAGGTTCGAGGTTTGTCCCCAAGGAGTCGTGCATGGGAAGGCCGAGATGGTGACTAGTGAGTCTAGTGGCACGTGGGGGGGGGCATTGTGAAGGTGACAGGACATGACGCATTTCCGGACCCCTCTCCAGACAGATGTATAGTTGTCCGCCCGCTGCCCAAAATGGCTGCAAACACTTGGGTCGAACTATGTTATGACATCTACTGTAGGTGCTGGATTTGTGTTTATTTAGGTTTCCGGTATTTTTACCCTTCCTCTGAGGCAGTCTTGGCCCTTGCGTTTGCTGTGCTTGTTGCTGGCAAAGATGTACCGCATGCTGCTGTACTTCATGACTGTTTCATATCATTTCACGGCTAAACTGTGGTTATGTTCTGATCATGTTGCGGCGAGGGGTTTTTGCAACTACATAATTGTCCAATAGTTTGCGATTTATGTTCGGCATCTTCATTTTTGCAGCAGCTCCGAGTGTCCGTGCCTTCTGCCGACCTTGTTGCCTACTATAGCTGCTATGTTGCGATTGCTTTTCGTTTTGTTTTTGCAATTATGTATTACTTCAGGATGTTGTGTGAGTTGGCAGGCGTGAAATGTTCATACGTGCCAGTTCTCACAGTTGGGAGCTGGTGTCTGACTGAAACACAGCCAACAGAAAATGAATATATTTTCTCTTTCATGCTTCTCTTACCAGCTTTCCTACGGCTGGAGGAGCTTATGAATGAGAAAGAGAGTGAAAAGAGTCAAGGAAACAGTCCTAAGACACAATTCATCTTCTTAAAAAAACACTTCTGTGAGAGGTAGTCTGTCTTCATCCTGTGCCTCGCCTCATCCCTTGGCTTCCACATCCTTCATTATTATTCCTCAGAATCACTCATCGCAGTGTCCACCTTGCAAAAAGGTCACCGTAGCGCCTTCTGCTGATCAGGCTGTTGCGTTTTGCAGATTGCCTTTGTGGCTCTGGAGGCGCGTTTTGGCCTGGCTTCTCCTTTGTTCATGCTCATTTGGCCTCGTGCGGCTTGGGGATCGCGGTTCGAATGCACAAGGACTTTGCCCGCTGCTTCGACTCCATCAACGTTTGCCCCGCCACCATGCCGGTTCCAAAAGCCTCCCGCGGCTTGGCTCCCGGAACAGCCTGGTTTACTCGCTGCTTTTGGTGTGTTCCATCCTATTGGGCCTTGTGTGTGGGGCCGAATGGGGCTGGTTTCTCCTCTTGCTCCGGGCTTGTTTTGAACTGGCTCCTGGGGTAAGCATTGCTGGAGCCTGGGTCGGAACCTCTGAAACCTGCCGCGGCCAGTGAATCCCCAATTTGACTGACATTCTGATGGCTAGTTTTGTTTTTGGGCAAACGCAAGAAGAGATAAATTCAATGGAGCCCCAACCCCGTGGTGTTAGGCTACGCGCAGCACTCCCACCAGCGGGGCTCTCCAGTGTGCGGGCGCTGCCATCAGCCGGTGCAGAGCTGCTGGCTGCTAGCGCCTCGCACGCGCAGATTGGAATGGGCATGCGTGCGCGGTTTCTGTGCGTCTGGGGTGAGTGGGAGTCGGCGTGCGGTGGTGGGGGTGGGGTGGGGGGTAAGTGTGGGGGTGGGGGGGCCTGGTGGGGCATTGTTTTGGACATCGGTGTCATTACGAGGATGGTGATGCTCGGTGTGCCGATGCGAAGTTTGGATTGGTCATTGTCGCTGGTGGGAGTGTTTTCCCAGGGGACTGTCTCAACAACATATTTCGCGAAGGCTGGTTTACGAGTTGGATAACGGAACCCTCATTGACAAACAAATGTGAGGCACGTATTGAGCATGCGTTCGGATTGTTGATCAATGTGTTCCTGCTGTGGGCATTGTAAAAGGAAGCAGCAATTCAGGCTACTGAAAGAGACGCAAACAACTACACAAGTAACAAGTTCAAGCTTAAAACAACAAGTCAAACAAAACGAACAACAAAACAAAAGAGTTCTCTTCATTGTTCTTGGTATGAGGTTTTTCGGTTCTGTTCCCATTTTTGGCTACCACGTTCATGTTTGGGGCTGCTGCCATGGCCAAGGGGTGTGACGAGAAGTCCAGCCCGCAGGTGAGGGGTCACGGCGGCGAGGTGAGCTCCCAGACCTCGGTGCCCGGCCTGGGCTGGGTGCGGCTGAAGGACGGCCGGACGGCCAGTTGCACCCAGCGGAAGGGTGGAGTGGGGGTTTGGGGGGGGGTGTTGGCTCAAAGTCGCACTCGGGTAATTTGCTTGTTTGTTCTTGTGTGTTTTGGGCTTTTCTATGGGGAATGTGTGTTTTTCTGCTCGAGCAAGGGGTGGTTGGTCGATTGGTTGGTTCCACCCTAAGCCAAACAACCCGAAACCAACCTGCAGTAAACACACACCCAAACATTCTCTAAACAAAGCAACCCGTGCCCAGCAAGTTTGTTTTTGATGCCTAATACGTGTTTTTTGATGCTGCAGTGTCCAGCCTTTTTACTATACTGCTGAGCGTTTGCTGCAACATTGTGCCCGATGAACTATGTGTGTGTGTGATGCTTAATAAGTGTCTTCTTGATGTTTAGAACTGGCGGCCTGGCGGCCCTTGAAAGAATCAACTGTTCCGAAGGTTGGATGCTCTCCCCCCATCATCTGCTTCAGCAGCCTTCAACCTGGGTACCAAGGTGTGGCTCGGCCTTCCCGACATTTGCCGACATGGGAGTGTGCCAACAGTCCGTCAATAACAATAGCAAGGGGAGTTTCACTTGGCAGTCATTTTATTGCAACCCCAGTTCTTTTTCTCGCAATTGCTGTCAGAATTACTACTAGTATAATTTGCTTATATCTATCATGTTTATTGTTGTTCTTGTTCGCCGCGCCCGGGACCTGCCGTGCTTATCAGATTCATTGCTAGGGTGGGGCCACCCATTGGTTTAAACATGTTTAAACCACTGGTTATGATGATTCTTCCCTTGTAAAAGTGGTGTTTAAACCATATTTTGCCCCACCCAGTTCCTGGCGCATTTTGCGTCGGGTCGCAGGACGGCGACCTTTGCCAGCTATGCCTGCAGGCAACCTCGTCCCAGCGGAGGGCATACTGGCAGCAGGGAGGCGGAGGCGGAGGCTGGGAGGGCTGAGCTCACAGGCCAGGTGGCCACGGAGATGTGGGTTGGTTCCTGGATGGACGAAATCCTGCACCACCAAAGAAACTTAGGAATGATGATTCCCCTGTAATTACCAACCAGCACTGGTTTCCCATGGTTTCAAAGTGGTGCAGGATTTCGTCCATCCACAGTATCACCGTATGATCTAATGCGAGCGCGATAATGATTTGTTCATCACAAATTGCAGTCGTTGCTTCAGGAGCTTGACTACAAGTCGCTAAAAGCTCGTATGCACGTGGATGTATATGTGTAGCGGTCGGGAAGGAATGTCCAGGGAGGGCCAAGGATTTGCCGGTTTGGGCGCACATTTCATGGTTTCCCAGGGGTTCAGCATCAGTGAGTTACCCGGCACACCATGCAGGGATGGAAGCCGTGCCGCCTTGCGACGTTTCCGATGGTTTGCGTTTGGAAGCGTTTCCTTTTCCTCCTTCCTCCGGGCCGGAGGCATCGTTGCAAGTCCCATGCTGTCGCGGGGGCAAAGGGTTTGGGGACCATGAGGCCCCATTCTCTAGTGTGCATGGACGAAATCCATTTTGCACCATTTGCACCACTTTCAAACGACGACAGACCATTGTTTGTTGGTTTTTACGCAGGAATCATCCTTCTAGGCTGTTTGAGGTGGTGTGAAATGGATTTCGGAACCAGTCTTGACCCAGGATTAATAAACCCGTCCCATTATTGGGGGGAGTTCCCTCCAAGAGTGATAAAGTGATGAATCCCCACTCAAAGGGGCCCCCCTATTAATCAACCAGGGGTGTATTAATCCGGGGTTAACATTACGTCCCAATTGAGCCCTGCCAGGCAAGGAGACCATTTGCGGGGTGAATGAGCGAGAGCTCACCAGGCGCGTGCCAGGAATCGACTACTTCCCCTTTGAGGCGCGGGCTCGTCCTGCAAGGGACTGGCGTAGGCCAAGGTTCGCTGGCGAAGGGGAAGTTCATTCAACGGGGGGTCCCTATATTTCCCTTTTTGGGGGTTTTCAACATCGCCTCTTTGGCCCGTGAAAGGTGAGTATCCCTTGGTGGGGGTGATGTTTCAAGGGGAAATATGGGGAGCCTCGTTCAAGCACAGGTGTCTCCTGGACGGCGATCCTTGGGACCTAGCCACACTGCCACACTTTGCAAAACATGACGGCTTGATCAAGACAGGCAAGCCCTTGCTTCGCCACATGCTCTAGCACACGGCATGCATGCTACTGCATGCTTGTGCAGCTGGCATGCGAGACCATCTGATTTGCCCGGGGGGGATTTATGAGGGACCTTTTGGCAAGCTATGATCCGGGTGTCGTGCTTGCCTTCCCTGGTTGCTTTGCGACGTGTCGGAATTGCGACGGGATTCAGGAACGAAGCTACAGCCTGCAAGGGTATCAGCAGCTTACAGCCTAGGGTTGACCAGATAGCCAGCAACTCATTCAGTGCGGAGATTGAGCGCTGTGTGTTCCCCCCAAAACCCTGCTCTGTCGAGCGCCGAGCCTCTGTCAGGCCGGCGCCGGCTGCAGCCTCCCCTGCAAGCGCCCGGTCTGCGGGGCTGGCGCGGCTTGCGTAGAACATAACCCCTCGCATCTGGCCAAGTACGACCATCCCTGGATGAAGCCAGGGCCAGAGGTGGTACTGGCAAAGTCCAAGGTACCGCAGAAATGAGCACAATGTTTTTTGTTGGAATGTTTTTCGCCAAGAAGTCTGGAGGCCTATCACAGCGTGACAGGTGGATTCAATTCAATTATTGAGTACGTGTGGGGTTCATGCTGAGCTCTTTGCATTTGCGAACCAAGCAGGGGAGCCTAAGCCGGGATTGCGTTTGATTCGGAAAGCTGTTCGCAGTTTGAAGGTTGTAGCGCCCAGTGCGGGGCCGGAACTCGGACGTGCCTCAGGCCCAAAGCTGGCTTGGGCAGCATGAACTGCTCTGAAAGAATCTGCTGAAGAGAATTGCAGCCTCCTCTATCCTGCCAAGTTCTGGCAAGCAAGCAGCGCGCAAAGTGCCAACAGGGGAGCGGGGATACTTTGTTAGAGGTGCCAGGTGTCCAAGGACCAACTTACACACCCCAAAACACACGTACCCCACCTGCAGGCCTTTAGGGATGGATTTTGGCATGTTGGGGTATGCAAGGTGGCCCTTAGAAGGTGCGCACTGCGCTTTGTTCACTGGCAAAGCCAGCATGTGACACCCTTGATTCATAGATTCGGGGCGAGCCCAATGAATGATTTGGAAGTAAACCAACCACCGTGGCATTGTTTTGCCCCACAAAATTCGCCGACAGCATCAGGCATGCGCATGGCCATGCTGGGCAGTTCCGCCAAGAAGATTCAGGCGCGAGCCTCACCCTCGCACCTCGATGAAGAGCCTCCCTCGTGGTTTCCACCTTACACCCTCACTCCTGCACTGCCCCCTGCGGACACACCTGACAGGCGCACGGCGCACACGGGATCACGGACACGAGCACACATCACCCGCTTGCCAGTCAGCCTGGCGCATCTACTTGATGCGGAGCCTCTTTCAGATGATCCGCGAGCGGGCGATCCTCGTCCAATCTCACACCAGGCGGTGGCTGGTACGAAACAAGGCGGGGGTGTTGTACAGCACTTGCCGATTCAGCCCTTGCAATGAAACATGTCAAGCTGTTGAAGGTTGCAAGGCAGATAGTCAATCCCTTCAAGCATGCATGGGTGCGACATCATACCGCGTTTGACCATGACCTTCCTGATACCTTCCCGTGCGGAGAAGTCACCGGGCTTAAAGTGTTGGCTGAATGCAGCAGAGGGAGACAGAGAGAGAACAAAAACCTGAAGGAAGGAAGGAAGGAAGGAAGGAAGGAAGGAAGGAAGGAAGGAAGGAAGGAAGGGAAGAAAGAACAAAGGAAAAGAAGAGAAGAGAAGAGAAGAGAAGACAACATAAGAAGAGAAGAGAAAAGAAGAGAAGAGAAGAGAGGAGAAGAGAAGAGAAGAGGAGAGAAGAGAAAACAAAGACACAGCACCTTCAAAGCTTCAACACCTTCGTAGTGTGCATTACATGTATTTACTGTACTTGTTCCATTCACGGTGGCAAGCTAGCTTGCAGGTCACAGACGGTGAGGGTGTCAGTTTCGGCGCATCCCAGCCAGGTCTGGAATGACATGAAGCCCAGCCAGCGGCGGCGGTCTGCCCTTTTCCGCGCCTACCTCGCAGCCAACCCCTCAGCAGCGAAAAGCTCCGGGGAAACGGACTCAGAGGACATGTGTGGCACCTGGGAGAGTGGGAGGGCACTCTTGCCAACTGTCATAGCCGCCATAGCCGCGGTAGTTATTGTGAAGCAAGAAGCAAAGGCTCATTTCTAGGGCCTAGGGGTACGGTCGGGATACGGCGTTTCCCCTAACAGGGTGCGTTTGTCGTAACGAACGGGTTTGGACACTGTGCAGCCAATCGGTTGCTCGCGGCTTCTTGGAGACCTAAACAAAAGTTCGCAGTACTGGGGTAAAAACCGTATCTGCTATATGGAGAGGAGGTAGTCAGGCCAACGTCGAGCACATCTTGGATGTGTCCGCAAGGAACCCCGCAGCAAAGAATTCTTCAACAATCCAGGGTTGTTTGGTATTCATAAGTGCCTTCCTGTGAAAAGGTGGCGAAACAATGTGAAACGCTGATCTTCAAGCACCTGCCTCAGATGAGCGTCTTGGTGGTTTGTCCACGGAATAAGCAGCGCAAGGGTCCCAGATGCTTTTGGAGCCCACGTGATCTAAACTGAACTCAACTGGCTGAGATAGGTCCCTTTTCCTGGGAAATTGGACAGACACAACTTTGCGGACGTGTTTAGCAGTATGACTAACAACCTGGGCTTTGAAGAGGTACCAGGGTCAGGCATGGTCAGGCCGAATAGCTGTCCCGCAGAGCGTTTGTGCTGTCGTGGTTTGCATGGCTGGGGTAGGTGCATTGCTTCCGTGTCTTTCTCCCTTTTCCCCGAACGAACAAAGGGAGAGAGAAAAGGAGAAGCATGTGGCCAGTTCTTCCAATTTTCTTACTGCTGGCCTGGCTTCCTTCATACCCACAACATATGCTCGCCCTCGGTAGGCAGCTTCCCTCGGTCGACCGGTGGGAGATAATAGAGGAGAAAGGAGAAGAGAGAAGGGGAAAAAGATGTCAGGTGACCACCATTTCTGCAGTCATTCTGGTCATTCCCTGACTATATATCACTTTCCTCTCTGTGGTGCATCCCCGGCAATCTCCGAATCCCAGCGTCTGCGTCATTTTTACTGGGTGTTCAAAGCATGCCTAGGTCCCCCAGTAGTGCCCTTTTACCCTTTTTTGGGGGAGGGTTCCCCTACTAAAATAGACTACAGAAAAAGTCGGTACCCGTATTCTAACTTCTCTACTGGAGGACCTAGATGTGCCGTGCTTGGCTGAAGGGGGCTCTTTCTCGCCGCCAGGAGGAGCGAGAGGCGGAGGCTGAGCGGCAGCGCCTGGAGAAGCTCAGAGTGAGCCGAGAGGAGCAGGCGAGCCATGGGCGTTGCTGGCCTCCCAGCCGGGCCCGCCGGGCCGCGCCGCGCAGTTTGCTTTGGTTTTTCTGTCGCCCTCCACTTGACTGCTGTTGGGTTGGATCTTGTAGACTTTGACTCTTTGGGAGATCAAGGGGTTTTCCACTAAACCCACAAAAGATCACAAAAGTCAAACTTTTTGTAGAGGGGTCAACAGCAACCTCCAGGAGGCTTTGACAAGCATCCTTGGAGCCACATCGCCAATGGGGCCTTTTCTTTTTCCATAGGTTTGGAGGAAACTTTGACCTTAAAGGTGTAGGATTCCTCTGCAAGAGGTGCAGACTGCACGAGCGGAATCGCACGTTCACTTGACCAGTGTCCCCGGTCCCAGCCAAGCCAGGGTCATAGATGCAATTGATGTCAAAGCTGAAAGCAGTCCTTCATGCATCCCGCCAGTCATGTTGGCTTGCAAACAGGAAGCTCGGATTTATTAGCCTGAGCTTGAAACGATAAACCCCTCCTCCTCGCACTAAATAAGCCGAAGCCGGTTCATTTCTGCCAAGAAAGCAGAAAACAACATGGGTCTTGTGGATGCACGCAGGTGCACGTTGCAACTTTGTCTCACAACACCCCGTGCCACTTATTCTGCTCGCATGTAGCTTTTTGTGATGGCAGTGTTTTGGAAGCAGGAGCAGCAACGACGCGAAGAAGAACGCCTGCAAAAGGAGATGGAGGAGAAGCCGCCCGGGGGGTGTACAGCTGGTCATTTGCGGGGAGTTTGGTGCTGGCCCTCAATGGACTGTGGGACTAAGGTTTGCGGAAAGCTTTGCCTCGCCAAAAAGGCCTCGCGGAGGGCTTCTGTGCGAATTCGGCGATTGTAGCACCGGAAGCAACCAACATCAACCGCAGTGTGGCCGCGGAAGCAAAAGCAACCAAAAGTTGCCCGCGGAAGCAGTTTTCACAAAAGCATGTCAGCGGAAGCAACGGTTCCCGCCGCGGAAGCTTACGGAAGGTTGAGTAATGTCATCAGAAAATCAGAGAATAAAAAGCAAAGCTCACATGACTAATTAGTAAGTGAAGTCTGGTTTGGCTATCAGAGACAAGTACTTGTGGATCCAGGCACATCTCCTGGGCATTTTTCGATCCGCCTCGGCACAGCTCCGCTTGGTTGAAGAGTCTCCAGCAAAGGCTTGTTTGAAGGTAGGAACTGTCAGGGCTCTGGCCACAGCTCACTTTGCATGAGCCCAAGTGTTGCATTGCTTGCAAGGAACAAACTGGATTCAAGAGCAGCGCCCCATTTTTCCAGTCAGGGCGTTCATCCTTTTCGGATGAGGTGTTTTGATCCCGTCAGGAGAAGAAGAGGCAAGAAGAGGAAGCGGAGCGCCAAAGACTCGAGGATTGGCTTCGGCCAACTGCGCTGATCCCGACGACCCAGTTTCCAAGAATGATTGTCCACATCTCAAGAGCCAAGCTCTCGCTCACAGTCGCTTGGCATTTGAAAAATGCAATCCTGATGCCAGGTGGCTTCCCTTGTTGTAGCCTACGGGTTACAGATTAAGATTAGGAGTCTCCTCGCCCATTTTACGACAGCAACAGCATCAGTGCCATGTCTTGTTGGAGCCATCCTGACAGGGTCGGAGTAGCCGGATTCCTGCGAGAGTTCATCCAACACACCGCTTTCTTCAAAGAGATCCTGCAGATCCCATCCCAAAATTCGACCTTAGAAACTCACGCCCTAAATCTGAATCCGTATAGTATAGCTTCTGGGGCCCCTGTGATCCCCTGAAGTGAGTGGTTTCCTCGGTTTCCTATGCTTTGCCAATCTGATGTCATGTTGTTTCAACACGGCTCGGCCATTTTCGGCGGTCCTTGAGCCGGGCAGCCGGTCTCCAGGAGGAGCGTCTCCGCCTGGAGCAAGAGGCAGCGCAACGGCGCAAGGAGGAGGAAGAGAGTCGCCTGGAGCAGGCGACGGGGGCAGCAAGTGGTCCTGTTTTCCTTCCCTTTTGCAGGGGGTCAAGAGCAACCAAGCGTTTGGTTTCCCTTTTAAGCCACAAAAAAGGGGTACATGAGCGCTAGTCTTGTTTGAGATTCCTGTGACCAACGTGCTCCAGTGAGAGAGCACGAGAGAAAGAGAGATAGAGGGGCCTTTGTGGGCTGAAGCCCAGCCGTGTTTGAGGTTTGTTTGAAATTATGTCATATTGTCCACCGGCAGTTGGGAGGGCGAAATCGCGCGCGCGCGCGGACTTTTGTGACTTGAGGGGCCGTTTTGCATGGTCTTTTGTCACTTTCGGTGGATTTGCTAGCGGCCCACTGAAAGCTAGGTGTGTGGCATCAGAGCGGCCCTGAGAAGGAAAGTGGTGGCACGGTGGAAGCCTCTGAATAAATTTCAAGCGAGCTAGCCGGGAAAGAACGATATCCGATATAGAAACATCGGCGGTGTTAGGCACTGGCAAGAATGCGTGTGGTATCCCTATTTTTCTCATTTGTTGACCTAACTATACACTCTGTGCAGGCCATGCTAACCAATCGAGCTACATACGGAGGTTGCTCAAACGGTTTTGCAAGGAGTTATGTATTGGTGGTTATTGGTGTTGGTTTAAATCCCTCCCCGAAGACCACAGACGAGCTCGCGAAAGATACTATTTTTGCGAAATATCGCGTGCAGTTCTCGGAGGTATTCAATACGCATATTTTTGTCGAGCCCGCTCGCTTGATGATCCCACAATTCCCGAGCACGTCCAGGGGTGTACGTCATTGCCAGTTAGCAGTGGGGATTCTCATGGTTCGATTTTTGCATGGTGAACGTGTTGGACCATTGGCGTCACGCATCACGTGGGGATCGGCCCATTCGTTTTGCAGGTGGCCCCCGCTTGTAGCGAGCCAAAGGGCTGTAGAAACAGACGGAACCTGAGAACCTGACAGCAATGAGAAGGAGGAAGCCGCTTGGCACTGGGTAATTTCACGGTGTGCGAACAACATGGCAGAACAGCTGCCAGTGAACTGTGGGTTGCCCGGCTATGACACCTCGTCCAACAGGAACTGATGGCGATTCGCAAGATCATCACTTGCTGTCATTTACAAAAGGTCGTGGATGACTTGCCCAGCTCCAAATGAAGCCGGTCGATTTCAAAGGTACTCTTTCGGCACCACTCCGCAGAGAAAGACAACGCCAGGCCCGTCAGAAGGGCGCGGAGGAGGAGAGGCGAAGGGCTGAGGAGGCGAGGCAGCAGTTGGAGGCATCCTTCCAGGAGGACTGGATGCGCGCCATATCGCATTGACCAATGGATCATAGGATCCACCCAGTGGCTCCATGAGCGCAACTTTGTGAATGGGCCAACCCTGAATTGAGATTGGCAAAAGACATGTAGCATCATGCTGCGCTCTTTTGAAACATGGCGCGTGATGCTGGTCCACGCTTCGCTAAGATGGGCATGCTTTCCTGCGACACGAGCTGTTATTGACAAAGGACTCCCCTTCATCCATACATTTGTTCAGCTAGATGTTTTGCGTTTGGCTCTCGACAGACCGCTGCCATGACCGCGGAGTTTGGGGAGAGCCGAGCTTGTCCAAAGGATTCGGTCAACCAACGCCTTAGCTGCAGAGAGGGCGCCTTCGAGCCAAGGGCCGTTGAATGTTCACATCACAGCCGGGTTCAGGAGCGGACTGCCGCACAACTGCAGCACAACGAGGAGTTGCGCCAGCTGAGGAGTCGGGTGGCTTCAGTGCAGGATGCCCAGGAGGCTGCCAAGGTGGGAGCCAATGAATCAGTCGTGTCCGCTCCTCTGGAGGCTTCTTTTATGTATGGAGGACTGCTTCTCTCAGCTGCTCCTCTTATGCATAGCAGCTGGGACTACTCTTTCTGAATAACAATACGGGGGGGGGGGGGCAGCTCTCCTGACATGTTCTTCGGGGCATGGGCGGAACATTAAAGAGAGCATCACAAGGAGTGCCTGCTAGAGTCAGGAACTTTGCCGTTGTTTTAGGCTATTTGATCAGAAGGGATTGTCAACAGAGCATATGATGGTTTCAGACCTGCAGCGTTTTCTGCTTCTTTTCGGGCTTGTAGCCGCTGGCCAAAACAAATGACTTTGTGCTGTGTGCGTTTCTTGCCACATTTTCTCGAGCCGGCGGGGGGCGTTTAAAGCCGACCAACCGTGTTTGCTAAAGCAAGCCCTGGCCAGTTGACACTATGGAGGGTGCCGGACGACCAAAGAAGGTGACGCATTCGTTCATATCTTAGCTGGTCTTGGGATCGCTCACAAATATGTTTCCTGTGAAGGGCCACCCATGAGTTGAGACTAAAACTTCTTGGTGAGATGTCTTTGAGGTCGACTAGGTGGATGCACTGATTGAGCTGCAGGATTTGATTTAGGCAAGTTGGAGGGTGTGATGCGGTGTGGCTGCAATTGGGTGTGTTCGGTTTTGGCCGGAGTCGTGAAAGCTTCTCTTGGATCCCCGATGGAGTGCCCCATGCTGTTTTGGCCGACTGGTGCCGTTCAGGTGAAACCTCCAAGATGCGCTGAATGCTTCGGGGTTGGACTAGGGGACATCTCATTTCCAGTGGGCAGATGCCAGGTGCAGCAAGATGCCGAGGTGCTCAAGTTGAAGGAGCGGGTCTCAGTCTGTGCACCAGGTGATGTGGCAAGATTTTTATGTTTGCAACCCGGCGGTTCCAATTATTGAATCCAGGGCCTTGCAACATCCTGAGAGAACGTGAGCATCAAGAAAAGCAACTACATGCAGTGTCAAGGAGCGAGCATTTTGCACACCCCCACTCCATGCTCAAAGTTTCCCCCAGCTTGGCCCCAAGCCCCGAATCAGCATGGAAACCGAGAGCGTGGGCTGCCTGGCAGCCAGAGCCACGTTGTCCGAGGAGGAGGTTGAGAACCGCAAGGCCCAGGTGACGCAACAGGCGGGAGGATGCTGCGTTTTGGTTGGATTTCCTCTGACTTACCCTCCCATCAATCCGTGAAACCTGACAGGGACCCGGTCCCTTTAAAGGAAAATTGTCCAAACCAAGACGGACCTGTCAGGTTCCACATGAATCGGTGGGAAGGTACCATGTGACAATGCGACATCTTATGGGGAGGGGGCTTCAGAAGGAGACTTACTGCTTGAAGAGAGGGATGCCTGAGGCACTGCATCAGCGGGTAATCTGAAGCCCTGTGAGTTTCCCGACGGGCTGTGTTTGGCAGGAGGGGCCAGCGCCAAAACGGCGACACGTGAGCTTCGGTGTTTTCAACATTGCTGGCATCTAAACCAAATGGACCACAAAAACAAAAGTACCAAAAGGATCTTTCGATTCAAGCTGAGCACGCTTTGAGGTATACATTTCATAAAGCGGCATAGAGAGCATACATGCTCGGCTTCCGTTCCCAGCGAAGCCGCTTCGGCAAGCGGCCCATATCGGGCCCTAAACTGGTGGGGTCCTTCGCCCAGGAAAGCCAAATCAAGACGCTGGAGGAAGAGCTTCAGGAACGCATCAAGCAACTGGAAGAGGACAACGGGCGTCGGCGGCCAAGAGTCTCAGAGTCTCAGAGAGGCGCCAGGTTTCCCCTTCGCACGGGGCTCCGGCTGGTTGCATCTTTTCGAAGACTTGAATCCAGACTCCAGGGAGGGCGGCTTATGATTCTGAGTCACGTGCCCCTAGGCTTAAGTCGCAGGGGGTGGCGGCCCGGCATCCAAAGCCGCAAGCTCCAAGCCCAGTCCCCCCAAGGCAAACTGACGCCCCTGTTCGCAGCAAGCCGCCGGGATCGGGCCTCAAGAAAGGTTAGGTCGGTCCCGCGGCATGCGTCTAAGGCCTTAAGGCACAGATGCAGGAGGAGTCCCAGAATCATGCAGCACAAATGCAGGCAGGAAGAGAGAGAGAGAGGCTTGTGCCGCCTGTTGCAAGCATAAAACAAACGCATCACTTGAGCATGCACAGAGGCCCAAAGAAGCAAGCTTACACACAGCTTATACTACGGCGTGAACATGAGTTTATTGTTTGGGTGATGTGTCCTTTCATTGGTTGATTTCTATACTTCGGGAAACCGTATTTCACTTTGTTGCATGCACGACCTCCAGGGTACTGAAGATCTACTTTACGAGTGCAGGTCAGCTTTGGATCTGCTTGGACTCATGGCCTTGGGGCTGTTTGTTATGACCCGCGAAATGCATGGAGGACACCTTGCCAAGAGGAACTGTGGCATCCAGCAATGCTGATTCGTATGCACACCACTGCCCGCGCCTTTAGGATTTCATACCTGCTGCATTCCTTTTGGTTTGCAGCATTTGCTGTGTTTGGGAGGGACTCGCTTGGGCTACTGCGCTACTCATGAAGAGTATTGAAAATGCTGCTTTCCTTTGGCAAAACCAACGTTCAGCCTGGACAAGCAAACTCTGCTTAAACAAGTGGAGAGCAAAACACGTATCCAACCAACATTTGTTGCTGGCGGCGGCCCCCCTTGTTGCTGCAAATGGGCCGCCCACTAGTATGGGAGTCTTTCATGGTTTCCCCTCGTGCTGGCACATGTCAAGAGGCAAGAAACTATTGCGTTTGGCTCCAACGGGATTCGGCGGGTTAGTAACTATGTTTCTTGCCCGGTTGGACAAGCAAATGTTGATGCTAACAGAATGAATGTACAATGAAGTAAGGATCCAGCCACATGCTTCAGGTTGTTTCCACTGGGAAAGGAAGTCCACTGGCAGAATAGCGACATGAAAGATTTGGCTGACTCCCTGAAAACAAGCGAGATGAAAGATTTGGCAGACTCGCTGAAATCTGCGAGCCTATTTATCGCAGATTTCGCGGGGTTCATCAACCAGCCCCCTCAAATCTTAGATTTGGATGCAGTGAACAAAGGATTGTGTTCATCCCTGTAATATGGCATACACTCTCCATCTCACTACCTGCTAGACCCACACTTCCAAACTCCATTCATGCATGAAGAGGGCCCATCTGGTTTGTGGGATGGTGTGCGGCAGGAGCTTGAGGAGCAACACCGTGCCTCCCTGGACAGCTCTGCCGAGCAGCTGGAGACGCAGCGTGTGGCAGGGACGCCCACTGGACGTTGGAGTCGGCATGGGATGTAATGGGGGGTCTCTTGGATTTTGTTGGATAAACGTCGGTAAGGTTGTAGCTATGTGGTTTGCCTTGGCAGACACCCCACCCCGCAACCTAACGATTCCTCACACGTTCCTTGCCTGGAACTGGGAAAATAAGCATGGAGGCCCTTGGCATGCGCATCATCACATGTCCACGGCCACGGACACTGCCTTCTGTATCATCCCATATCAGGCTTGTTCAGAAGTGGCATCATCATTTGCCAGTCAAGCCAGGCACGGCACTTGAATGGATTTGTGGCCAGAGTCCTTGTCAATGCGCCTGGCATCCCCAGCGATATTCATGCATTATGTCCTGGGGCCCGTTGGCCTGGTTTGTGCATGCAGTCTCCTCCATGTGGGTGGCGGTTTTCCCGAACTCAACTTGGCCTCACCAGGCGTACGTGCGCCAGATGGAGGAGATGCGGCAGGGCCTTGACCAAGAGTACCGGCAGGATCGGCGACTGGCAAATCGGCGAATCCAGCTTCTAGGTCTTGGCTGCTTTGTGTTTGCCGGCTTGCCGGACTTGGAGAGTCTGCTTTGGTCTCATCAGTTGCTTTGTTGACAATCGGCCGGTTGGATGGCCATCTAGGCCGGACTACCTTGGCTCGGAAGGCCATGGCAAAGCGGACAACACCTCACCACCAGCCGCTTCCAGGAGCAGGATGCGCTGAAGGCCATGGAGCAAGAGCAAAACCGCCGCTTCCAGGACTGCTGCAATAGGAAGGGGTCATCGGCCTTTGGCAGTTGGGAAGGGAGTGGTAGTGACTTGCGTGACTTCGGCTTCCTGACCAGCTGAATCCCAATTCTCCCACAAATTGGAAGCTTGGGGCTTTCTCATCTGTGTTTCTATACCTTTTTCACATTTCATATAAGTTTTCTGTATTCGCCTTTTTTGCTTTCCTTGTGTTTCAGGCCCACTTCCCCGGCGAGCCTTCCCTTCCGCCGCTCCGCCGGCTCGCGGCCCAGGAGGAGCTCCAGCAGCTGAGGGACCGGGAGGCTCAGCAGCGGCAGCGCCACGAGGAGGAGCTGCAGCAGCTCAGGCGCTATGCCGCTGGTGCTGTCGGCTGCGGGCGCAGGGAAACGGAGCCGGATTTCTGATGGGGATTGGATGCGTCGGACATGGGTGGCCCTCAACCACCGGCGCGTGCCCCCTTTTGGAGGGGAAACAGGGTCCCCGAGCTTGACAACCCTCTGGGGTTGCTTTGGACTGGGCCTGGATGGGTAGCAAGCCATTGGCTCGCAGATGTCGGGTCGAGCGGCGAAGCATGGCAAAGCAGTTGTGCCTGCTCCTGTTTGCCTGCAATTTTGTGAGGTCTTTAGCAGTCTCGCCTTTTTGACATGGCAAGGTTGTGGCGGCTTTGGTGACAAGTTCCCACTAGCCGCCAGTCGTCGATATTATAATATTCCTCAAGATGCCCTTGAGTTGCACAGGCTGTTTCCGGCCAGGGAGCGAGAGGAGGAGAGGCAACGTAAGACTCGCACCGAGATGGGTGAGGCAGGCAGAAGACACAGAGCTGCTTCCCCTGCTCTTGGTGAAAGGGCCTCATTATGAGTTTGAGCTTTGAAATTGTGACAAGATTGTGCGCAAAGCGGGCCTGACGGTCATGTTTAAGGGCATGAGGGACCTGGGGGACGACCCAGACATCGGCTATGTGTCAAAAATGGGGGTAACTGCACCAGCAGATTTGGTAGAGTGGCTCGTCGAACGAGGCTTCCACATGACCCCTCAGGCAGCCCCCCCCCCCCTTCCCCTTTTCCCTTTCACCCTTTTTGGCTCGTCAGTCATCATGGCGCCGATGCCACGGTATCCACCTACCAAAGATCATTGTTGGGCGTGTAATCTGGATTGTCAGCAAGCGATTGTCCGTGGACGAATTTCCGAGCCAGCAAGCCTGAAGGAGGTGAGGCAATGTTGCAAGCAGCGATTCCGCATCACATGAGCACAGGAGAGGCTTTCTGTGAAATAGGAAGGAGTAGGTGTTGCTCGTGTTCAGCCACGGTTCCTTATATTTTAGCTGCTTGCCCCTTACATCGTAGCCCACCTAAAGTAAATGAACTATTCGCTGGGAACGCGAGTAAGGCTGTAGGGTCCTACCCCCTTCTCGGGCAAAAACACCTACACTTGCAAGTTGCGAGTTGTAGTTTGACATCAGCATCATCAATGAACTGCCATCTTGAGTTGGCATGCAGGAAGTTAAGTTGCAGAGTGCAGAGTAGGAATCGGAGGTTGGATCTACTTGTTTGAGTTCGCCTTAGTTAGAATCGCTTGAAACCGCCCAAGCGGTGCATGCGAGGCCCTGCGGGACTCCAGCTTGGCTGGCATGGAGAAGCGCCTGCTGGAGGAGCAGGTGACGGAGTCCAAGGTGGGTCGACGGATTCGTGCCTCCCCCCTTTTTGCGTAAGACCGGGCTTGCACCAAGTCAAAGTTATTGATTGCCAGTAAGTTCCCGCTTGAAGTGGATAATTCTTTCAGTTTGACTGTGTTGCCGCATTAGTCTGAAGGTCATGTTTTGGTGGAGCAGTGCTTGGAATTTGCCGCTTTGTTTGCACATGATTGGCCAACAAAGTCTGTCTACATACACACTAGCAGCTATACACATGTTTACAGATATGCATTCATGCATGTACATTTATATACATGCACATACAGATAATATGTATATCACAGTATGCTTATGTGTGAATATATAACCGGTTTGAGAGGCGTGTGCGGGGGCCGGTCGTGACTCATCTTGCCTTATGGTACAGCGTTCCACCAAGACGAGTTCGTTTGTCCTTGTCTTTTTGTGCTGAGTCAAGCAGGTTCTTTTACTCATTTGACGAGTGCTATTGATTATTTTGTTTGGGGAGAAGTGGACCATTGAAATCCAAAGTGGTGAGCGCCCCCATATTACTAGGCTTTTTCCCTTGGAACTACAGGGCACAAGGGTCCTTTGGCAACACATATAGCCGCCTGCTCAATGTCTTGTAAATTGCGGGTGTCCTCTTCCTTGTTGCGAGGCAGAGGTCGAACAGACTCAGCTCATGATGGAGAGGCAGTCAGAGGATCGGGCGCGGGAGGGAAAAATCCGAGCCAGGCTTGCTGTGAGGGAAGGGTGTTTGAGCCCGTGCTGCAACCTTAGAATTTGCTTGTGGGGTAATCTTTGGCCCCGTTGGTCAAAGCTTTTGATGCGAGAGTGGGTGCATGGAGGCCAGACAGCACAAGAGAGAGAGAGAGAGAGATAGCCCTTCTGAATGACCATCCTGCACTTCATTCACTCAATCAGCAGGAAGTCCATCTGCTGGCTTTCATGAACGCATTTTTCCATCTCTTTCCTGTATGCAGGGAACGTTTCAGGAAGGTTTTAGGACATTTCTTCCAGCGGCAGGAGCTCAAGCGCGTTCATCAGCTTCAGGCAAGACGGGTCATGGACAATCCCGCGATATAGGGTTGATGCTGGAAAGAAAGGAGCATTTGGATTCCCCTTGTTGGTTTGCATGAGTCAAGGAACGGGCAGTGACCCACTTGCCAACTGGTGCAAACGGGGGGGTGCGGTGTTTGCGATGATCTCCAAACTGGAGGGCATGAACGGTGCCGCGCGCTCCGTTGGTAGTAGGCGTTTCTTTGGGGCACCCCTGTTTGGACAGACGAAAGGTCCCATATGTTCAATTCAGACAATCCCAGATACGCTTCAAGACTTTCTGGTAGATCACAACTTCCACATGGCCCGTTTTGCCCTTGCACATGCCAACAAGCCAACAAGTGCGGGCAAGCTCCATCTCGATGTGGTTGGCCTCGTTCCCCTACAATTCGCAGGCAGCTGTAAAGGACTTTGTGCGATGATCGTGCATTCTTGTCACATTGGCATCGGCACCTTCCAAGTCCAAACCTTGGCTTTCACCATGTCGTGCGCTGGCAACATGAGATTATCTAGCTCTGAGCGGTTTGTAATCCTGTGCCTCGGAGGGCCACTGCAGCGCAGGAAGCAATGTGTTGCCAGATACGCTCGGTTTGCCCGAACTTGTACTGTACACACGCGCGGTTCTTTCCCTGGGATTGTTTTTGGAAGCGGGTGGCATGCCTCAGCACGGAGCGCCTACGGAACAGAAATTTAGTCAAGGGTTCCTGATTCAGTAGTAATCGGCCCAGATTGAAAGCGAAATGCTTGCAGCTTTGGAGCTAAGCGGGCACAGTTAGCCGTCTTGAAGCTGAAGCAAGACACATCTTAGGAGGTGCAATTTGTCCCATTCACAGCGATCATGTGCCCTAGGTGCGGTGGCCGAAATATTTTGATTGACCAAGGTTCTCGCGACATATTCAATTGATCGTGCCGAGGCCCTTTATTGCCAGTGCTCGCTTCCTCCGTTTCCGCGAACTTTGGCTCAGCATGGGCAGATCAGAGTAGAGCTAGCTGGAGGCCGGGCCTCGTGTTCAGCTTCGGGGTCAACCCCTGGCCACCCTGCAACGAGTTTGGTCGCGGGGGGCTTGGACGGCAAGACCCCCCGTTTGCTTCGCGCACGTGGTCCGAACTGCCCGAGTTGTCTCAGGGGGTGTCCAAGAACCCGTGAGGTTTTCTCATAATTGTGCTTCCCGGCGCTGGCTTATCCGCACACTTTGATGCGTACAAACATTCGTCCCCTTGCTTAAACTTCGGCCCTTCCTTTCATCCTTTCGAACTATGTGTGTGTGACATGTGGGGTTTCCAAACTAGACCATAGGTCAGCCGGTTCAATGGGGTCTCTGAATGCTCCAAGGGGTTACGTGCGTGGCATTTGGCATGCGTTTGGCGCGCCACACCCGGGCTCCGCTGGCAGCCCCGAACTCCCTGACCGCAGGCCCATCGGCATGGGCAACGCCTCGCAGCGGCCCGAAGGCGGCGAAGGGTTGCTTGCGAGATCCGCTTCGCGCACCACCGGTCAGAGTCCCTGGGGTCTGATGATTGGATTCCCCTCAAAATACCAACGAACAATGGTTTCAAGCATGGTTTCGAAGTGGTGCAGGATCTTGTCCATCGAAAGAGAAAGGAAGCCGCAAGGGGATTGCTTTAAAGAAAGAAAAGAAAATCAGGAGGCGCCAAAGCTGCTGGTGGTGGCAGAAAGGGGTTGGACTAACCAGTGGATCCTGTACAACATAGTGTTGTCAGAAGCAGTGGATGACGGCACGGTCTTCGTCGCTGTTTCTCACAATGCGTCCTTCTTGTGACCTTCTTGGTGCTAGGGTTGGTGCGGTTGGAGCTTTTGTGAGCTCAATAGCTTTTGTTGAGCCCGCGACGCCCCTCCCACAACACAACCGACACATTTTGGTAGAGCGTGTTGCTAGAGAGTGCGCGGTGCAAGGAAAACTGCGAGCCTTGTCTTGGGTGTGCTCTACAAGATTCCGCACATCCTACACTTAGGGTCAAGACGTGCTTAGCGCGACGGGGACGCACTTATTGTGCAAAGACAGTTCGGGCATCCCGGCCCCAGCTGTTGACTCAAGAAAGGGCTGCGTGTGTATGTGTTCCGCAGCTTTCTGGTAAGGTGTTCCGCAATGGTTCGTTTTGCTGCACTACAAGGGCCGTACAAGACGTGTGTTGAATCGGAATGGGTGCAGCAGGCTGTGGATAGCATTTGGATGTGAATGGCCCAAGCGTCGCCTGCATTGCCTTGACACAGCAGGCAGACAAGTTGTTAGACCAGTCGGGCCAGCTGGCTATTTGAACTGGGCAGGTTTCGACTCCTTAGGCAAGGCCGGCCCTGGTTGCTTTCACTTCACTGTTCCTGGAATGTTTTCTTTTTGTTGGTTCTGCTACGTTCTGCTCATTTTTAGTGGGGGGCTGCAAAACTAAAAAGTTTGTTGCTTCCATTCCAAGAGTTGTAGAGTTCATGTTTCTCGCGTTCAGGAGCTGTTGGCAAGGTTTGCGTTTGCTTTTGCACAATTCAGACATAACCTTTGACTCAAACATTTGCAAAGCCCACAGCATCCCCAGACGTGCCGGTTGGCCCTTTGGACACGGCGTGTTTGCTTTTGGAACCGCTCAATTCTTCGTGGAAGGCCTTGATGAATTCGACCATGCAAGACTTGCTACTAATGAGTTGTTCATGTTTTAAATGCGCACGGGAGTTTGATCGAATTGAAGGGCGGAACATCAAGTGTCATTGGCAGACTCATGGGGCCTCGCAAGGTCGTTTGAATTACTGCCGCCTCCCCATTTGACGTGTCTGTGCGTGTGCCATTGCTTCACACTCAGATAGCAGGTGGAGACAAGGCAGCGGTCCTTGAGAAGGCGGAGAAGCAGGAAGAGCCCCGCGAGGACTGTGACAGCTGCAAGTGGCTCTTGCTGCTTGCTGGAGCCCAGTGGGGGCGAGTGTCTTTCAGAGACAGCTGCTACAGCCGTGCATGTTTTGAGCCACTTCTTTGAGAAGTGAAAAATCAAGCCACGCCAGAGATGGCGGGGAAAGCATAGGGTGGACAAAGACCATATCCGCCGCTAATACATTTACCTCAGACGCCGACAGGTGCTGCTTCAAGTCTTCAACTAATGGCTAACCTTTGAGATATGGTAAAGTTTCGTGCATGGAATGGTTGCCAACATGTGCCAAACACGGGGCTACCGCAGCTCGCAGTGAAGCCTTGGCTGATACGAGCTGGTTTGAAATCGGATTGGTTTCCGGATGCACCGCTGAAGTTTCTGGAGGATATCCGCGACAAGTACGAGCTCGGCAAAGTGCTGGGCAGCGGCTCTTTCGGGCAGGCTGTGGCGCATTCAGCGCGAGAGACGCAGATTGCTTGCTGGTGCGAGAGACGCAGGGAATATGGAATGACCCCCGAGAAAAGCCATCCAACAACTGGTGGTCTCCGTTTTTCGTGAATCCCCAGGATGATTCCGTCATTCCCTGTTGAGTACCAGCGAGTTCAGCTTCCAAATGGTTCACCTCCCAGAGTTTGAGTCCAAACGTTGGTTGGCAAGTGCCCCCAATTCAGGTTGCCACCTGGCGAGTTTTCCGAATTTGAGAATATTCTTTCGGAGGAATTCGGGCTACCGCGTTCCCACGGCCAATGTGTTGACCCCAGAGCGATCGTTTTGTTGCAGCTTTGCCTGGCCTAGGCATGAATTGCACTCGGCACCTCATAGAATCGGCTTATCTCATCTTGCCGTCACTTCCTGCATCACTCAACATGGGCCTCATGCCGCCGCCTTACTCAGTTCAGGACATGATCGAGGTGATTTTGAGTGGAGCCAGTGGAGCCATCATGCACAAACCGTGTATCCACAGTTGGACCCACCTCAAATGGTTCAAGCCACCTGCCTGGGACGAGCTTAGCTTCGCTTCTGGAGTGCCCACAGCGCAGCCAGGTGAGGGAAGCGGCTCTCAAAGAGCTCCCAGCGGCTTGGATTGGGCTTTGCGATTTGGGGCTAGTTGATTGGTGCCGGTTGACTAACTCAGACAGGTTCGGATGTGGGTAGTTGACGGCCTTGACAGCTGCGTAGCATGCGAGGAAGCAAGAGTGTACAGTGTATTGGCCCTTCTTTTCCGCTGACAGGCTGTCAGCATGAGCCTGAGCAAGCCACCAATGATGTAGCAAACACGTCTAACCCTGAAGCTGACAAGTTCGGGTGCGGCTTTGCTAGGAGCAGGCGAATTGCATGCCCCCCTCCAAACCGGATGATGGCAAAGGCGTGGGTCACCAGCGTGGTATGGGAGGGTACTCGACTTCGGTTTGCGTTTGCCCAAGGCCAAGGGACAATGGAAGTCGTTTTGCCCACCCTCTAAATCAATCATCCTGATCTACTTCCTGGTTTCTGCACGAAAGTAAGTTTCAATCCGCATGCTGACGAGGGCGACTATTGCCTTGCACGCTTCAGCTCACACAAGGGCGGCCCCACGCGATCTAAGGATAAGGTCAGAGCAGTGAAGATCATCGAAAGAGACGATGATGCGGAAGGCAGCGAGTGGAGCTGCTTGCCCGCAGGGTGTGGCTTTCCAAGTGGGTGGGCGCTTGCCCGGTGAATTTTTTTGCAGGCGTCCTGTTGGGCAAGATGGAGGGGCCTGTCTATGTGCGTTTGAGCGCAAACTCAAACCTTTGAAGGGACGTCGAGTTGCTCTGAAGGCGGGTTCGGGGGGGGGGGGCTGCCCAGATTTGTTGATTGTACTTTGACTTTGGGGAGCTGGGATTGGAAGCAGCTCTTGCTTTGTGAACTGGGCTGCCTTCTTCAAACCCTTGGCATATCACCCTCCCTCCCATGGTTCAGTTTAGCCCCAGATAGATAGCCCTCCAGTGCCCTGGGCATAGCCTTGTAAGTAGCCTTACCAATCATGTCCGCGCTGCGAGCGAGCGTCTTGAAGCACTACATCAGGGGCCTCTAGCATACCGTCCTGTTTTTTGGCAGTCACCCCCCCCCCCCCGGCAACCAGCAGAAACCACCGCCGCCACCTTCAGCAGTGTTCTGCTTCGGTTTTTGCAGCGGGCCAGATGGCTTGGTTTGCTGTCTTGCGCCTTTCCTTGGGCCAAGGCAACAGCGCGATGTTCCGACAAGAGGCGCCTGGGCAAGTCATGCGGCCACCTGTGGGTGTGACATGAGACGGGGTTCACAATGCCGTCGAGGGCAAGGTCCGAGCGGTGTGCCAGTGGCATTGCCTGAAATGTGCTTGGCCTAGAGTAACATACAGCCTAGGCTGCATGGAGTTGGGAGCATTTGTCAAGTCAAATGCTGACAGCACTTGGGAGTCAAATTACTTGGGTCACTGACTCGTGGACTCGATTGTGAACAATGGTTGTTTGTTGCTGTCGCAAACGCGGGGACATGCACTCACTATAGTTTGAGTTGGATTCCACACATCCTGCTAGACCCTTGTCGGCGCTTCAACAAGAGGGTCATATGTTGTAGCCAGCTGATTTGTTTGTGATACTTGTCAAAAATGACGGTCGCATGTGCACAGTTCAACAAATTCCAGACATCTTGGGCATCATGTTTGGCTCCTTAATCGGATGGCCCGAGGTTTCAATCGGATGTGGAACGACAGGGCGTTTCACATGGCTTACATTTTCGTTTGTAGCCCAGCCCCAAGAAATAAAACACTGGCCGGCATATGTTGGTACAGGTGGCGCTGCTACAGAACCTCAAGCACGACAACATCGCCACTCCGCCTTATGAAATGTCAAAATGCAAGCCAACTGCAGGTGCACTTTTCTTTTGCTTTGTGGCGAAAGCTAGGGTGAGCGGTGTGCTGAGTTTCATGGCTCCCTCAGCATCCCTTGGGTTGAACGGTCGGCTGTTTGAGCTGTGATGACCCTTCACCCCCTGCTCAACAAAAAGGCGGCCAGCGGAAACTTTAGGAGCGCGCGCCAGCGTTGCAACTCACATCTTTTGTCATTGTTACTTTCTCATTGTTATCTTCACCTTATATAAGCTCTCTTTGATTGCCTCCTGGTGAAGTTGTATCATAGGCCAACCTGAGTGATGCCCGTTTCAATTCGGCCTCATGGTGGCTATTTTCACGGTTCTGGCCTTCTGGGACCGACGTTTCTGTGAACCATTTGTCCCATAATTTGGTGGGAGCAAGGCAAGGATTGCTTGTCGGTCTTGGAGTAAACCAAACGGCAGGGTGGTACTGCCCAACCATATGGCGCGATAAGAGAGCCTGGTGATGGTCAGTACAACTGCAGGGCTTTGGTTGATCAGATGTTTGGACGTCCTTCCGTGCTGAGGTGCGGTTCTGGGATGTCTATGAGGATGTGCACTTTCTGTACGTGGTGCTGGGCTTATAGGGCCAAGTATCTCAATGAGCAGATTACGTCACGCCTCAGCAGTTGTCCAACAGCCAGCTCACTTCGGCTCAGGTGATGGACCTGTGCCGGGGTGGTGAGGTCTTCTCGCAGCTTGGCATGTGCAGTTCGTGGGGAAGGGCGCTGAGCTCCTGTGGCAAAAAGCAGCAAGCTGAGCCTAAAGACTCGGATGGTTGCGAATACCTTGGTCCGTGTTGTGAAGTCCTTGGGCTAAAGGTTGCAACTAGTCCAAGTCCATGGCGCTGGGGCCTCCCCTGCTTTGCCTAAAGGATCCATTTCGCTGTGCATGCGACGGCCCGGCCATGCGACTCGCGACGCCGAGGAAGATCTTGGAGCTCCGGCGCTTCACGGAGGCGAACGCAGCGACCCTGGGCTCCCAGATGCTGGCGCCTGGGCTCAAGTCCCTTCCAGCCAGACGTTTCGTTGGTGGCCGAGGCATCTGGCTATGCAATTTCATAGGGAACCACCTGAAAAGTGGTTAGTGGACATGAATTTTGCCCTAAATTATGTCCACCAGAGGCTCCCTATTTTTTTAACAGTCATAACCAATTGTCAACTGCAATTGAGACCAACCAGGACCAGGCATGATTACCAAGTCGCAACATACCACGTGATGGTAGTTGTCAAGGAAGAGTGACCGTGTGCTGGCAACCAGGGCTATTGGCCTCAACGTGGTTAGGAACAATTTCGCATGACGTCCACCAGGTGAATTGGAGTGAAAAGTGCTCAGAATGTGTGATTGTGCACGACGGCGAAGGCCAAGAGGAAGCAACCACCCATCAATGCCCGTCAGCTCATCACATGTTTGTTTGCCTTCGATGTGTGTGGTACGCAGGGCAGCGTAGGCCTTGCGTACGCAGAAGCCCTGCAAGCAAATGCACGTCTTGCGCAGCCCATCCGCAGAGTCTTTTGCCTAGTCTGCATAGGATGGCGTAGCCTTCGCTCGGCCCCTAAGCTGAAATCCGAAAAATGACTGCTTGCGTTGGATCGATGGATGTCAAGTTTCCTCAGTGAGTTGGCCTGTTAATTACTGGCTTGCTTGTGCAGTAGTCATGCCTTGCCTTGCCAAAGAGTTGGTGTTCAGGGCTGCTTTCCTGTGACAAGCATTCCCCGGGCTGGAGATTGAGCCTCTTAATCTGCCAGCCGCTGCAAAGGTTGGCACAACCGCAAACCGAGTTGGCTTTGCAGCATGCGTTCCGCAGCTCGCTGATTTGCAAAACGCAGAAGTTAGCTGCTTCCTGCCACATCCGCACTTGGCAAGGGTCTTGCTCCGGCTTAGCCGCGTAGCCAGCCTGAGTGGTTGCATGGTGCAAGGGTAGGATGACCCCCTTGGATTGAGGTAGAGATCCCTACTGGATTGCAGTCCTTCACTGGTTTCTGCGGGGTGGTTGTTGGGCTTTCGGATTACACTAAGTGTCATTGGCAAGTACACGTATCATTCCCATACAAGGATAGCATGGCTTGTTGTTGAGCCACTACCCATCTTCAACAACTGGATTTAGTCGTGCCTGATGTTCTTTAGCTGTGCCCTCCATTCAGCCACTTCCTTGCCTTTGACCATGTTATGGGTGAGCCTGGTTCTGTTGAAATGGAGTGAATGGCAAGGATCAGGCAGATGGATTTGGCATGGATTTGGCCTATAGGCTCTAGCGGCACAGGTTCAAGCGCTTGACAGTGTAACCTTTGGGACGTTCAGTAAGAATCCTGGAAGCATGGCTGTGGCCGTGGCTTCTGGGTTTTGGGCAAATTGTGTGCTGAGCAATTGAAATGCGATGCCTTCGTACGAATGTGTGGTGGCATTTTGTCATGCACCTGTGAGGGTGTCCAGGGTGTCCCCTCCAATGCGGGGTGCGTGGGCAGCGAACCGTGAGTTAAATCACCGGCCCCCTAGAAGTATTGCACATCTCCGATTGCACATGCTCTTGGAATGGGTGAGCTACAAGCACTTCTCAGGCGGCCATCGCCTACATCCACACCAAAAGCATCATGCACAGAGACATCAAGGTGCCTGTGTGTGCTTGACCCAGGCTTTCTGGTTTCGCCTTGTGAGCGCCTATAAACGACATTGCTAGCTTTGTTTATGCAAGATGGATCCGGGCATCGCCCAACTTCGGGCTCCGTTGGGCTTTGGGCTTCGCGGTGGTATTTTGTTTGGTGGTGCAAGGTGTGGTGACTGGTTGGCTGTGCGGCTTCCCACGGGGCTCGAGATCACGAACCGGTTCGTTCTTGCTAGCGCCTTCCTGCGAGACAAAGGGAACCCGAAGTGCGCGTTGCGTGTTGGACGGTTGGCAGCTTGCACTCGCTCGCTTCGCACCATGGGAGAGGCACCAAAACACCAACTTTGAGAAGGCTTGAACTTGTTTGGAGTTCAAAGCCTGTTCCGTAGGCGTCATGCAGGTTCAAGCACGTTCAAAACATTTGGACTGCTTGTGAGATGTACCGTGCAAAAGCTGCGATCTGGGCGTCATAGACTTCAATTAGCAGTTGGTGCTTTTTGGAGGCTTTGCGACGATCTCAATGCTAGAGGGCGGCTTCATGCGACTTTAGGAACTAGACATTCATGAGCGAGACCTTTGCAGGAAACGCGTCCCTGTCGGCTGAATTGGTAGTGGCGGTGGGGATTAGTTCGGAAAGGACGCTTTGAGGTGAGACAGAGAGAGAGAGAGATGTGTGTGTGTGTGTGTGTCAAATCTTGCCTATCTACTATGACAGTACGGCGTGTCTGCAACCCCATGCTGGCTCACGGACCGGCGGCCGCCAGTGCATGCAGGCAGAGAACTTCTTGTTGTCGGACAAGTCTCCCACGTCGGTGGCCAGAGACTCAGCAGGGCGCGCACGTTTGCATACTTGCTGGTTTGGAAGTGAGAACGCTGCATCAGCTGCATCCAGGCTGATTTTGCTTTACATATTGATGGCTGGAAGGGGTCAATTTGATAGGCTGGAGTGCCTTCTTCCACAAATCCACAGCTAGCCTACTGCAACGGGCTTTTGGTGACAAGGTGCGGCAAGCGGGGTGGGCGGTGCCGGGCTGAGGTGAAGATGATTGACTTCGGTATGGCCGTGAAGTTCGACCACGGCATTTGGTTTAAGGCGACGCTGCAAACCAGCTCATCCGCCAGTTTTGGAATCCGACCTGTGGCTAGTAAACAGCTTCGCTTGCCAGGAACAAGCACGCATGACGCATACCTGTTCAGCATGGAGCAAGGCAAATGTGTTGATAGCTTTGGGTTGCAGTGCCTGGGGCCTCCTGAAACAACTGCAACGTCGGAGTATTTTGAAAGACTAGCATCAGTACTTCAAGGCTTACCGTAGTTTGACGCGCAATGGATTACATTTGCACACCCTACAAGGTTTTTTCATGTTCAGGCCCTATAAGGTCCTGACTCGGTCTAGTGGACGTGCCGCGAACCAGCTGACTTCGCAACCAAAGATTTCAGAGTGCTTTGGTCAGCCGGGGCAGGAGATCTGTGGCTCGCCTCACTACCTGGCTCCGGAGCTCATAGGACAGAAATCCCAACTGCAGGATCCACGTTCCCTTTGACCAAGCACTCTTTGGATGCATGTGAGCACCGCCAGGGAGGCTAAATAAAACTTTAAGCAAGCTGCTGCATGTTCGTGCCAGATGTCCTGCAAGACAATCTGAGAGTTCTGCGTTGGTTCCTGAACATTGCACGGCTCCGGGCCCCACAAGAATTTGAGTGCTCAGTTGTTCGACCATCACTTTTAGTGAGCTTCCATGCCCGTGTTTTCAGACCCCCCCGTCTCCCCGGTCAGCTTTCTATAGAGTTCTACGAATTCTGATTTACGACGACTTCTGGGGAGACGACTTCCGGCTGGTCGGGATGTGGATGCAGCTGTCCTGAGACGGAACTACATTCGTTGGTGAGCGGGGGTTGGCGGGTTGTGTACTCTTTCCCAATGGACTGCCCGGGGTGGTTGTGCAGTTGCCCCGGGGGTGCCACCGGAGGCAAGTTGATGTCAAATGCCAAATGTTTCTTGTGCAATTGTGAGAAGTATATAGAAATATGGCCTCAGCTGCTTTGCCATTCTGTCAAAGGAATAGGTACCAATCTGTTGTGCAATTTGAGTTTGATCATGCATGGCTTGGAATCGGCGGAGATGGTTGCATGCTGATTTGCATGGAGGCACGACAGCCAGGACAGAAGTACAACCACATGGTGGACATGTGGGCCTTTGGGGTTCTAATGTACCTCTTGATGTACGGGCACTACCCGCGACTCGATTGGCAACGGGTCGGGCCTGGGGCGTACCTCGGGGCGCCCGCTCTCGGGCGGAATCTGAGAGATTCAGAAGTTGCATCCGCCATTCCGCCGAAGAGCATGGAGCCACAAATCAACCAAGTCAACTTGGATGCGTGCTGGTGTTTCCAAGCATGCCTCAGTATCAACCTTGAAGCACATTCAAGCTAATACCTGCCCTTAGGTACGACTCGAAGAACACCAGGGACATCATGATGAAGGCGTGCTTCAGTCACCGCGTTCCCAGTTTCGGAGCCGCCCGCTTTGTGGGTCACGCAGGGCTTCGATGCTACGAAACCAGCATGGATCAGATCTGCAGTGCGGCGTTAGTCGCTGGGTATCCTAGAAGGACAAGCATGGGTGAGGGTATGTATGATCCAATGGCCCATTGTACAAACCGCCAACTTGGATGCTGAGCGCAGCAAACATTGAAGGATTCACCTGGGATGCCAACCAAATTGCTGTAGGCACGTGTTGCCAAACGGCAGGCGGAACATAAGCCTCACTGATTCGATGGAATCCTTGAAAGCCAGCCTTACCGCCCTGCTTGCGTCCCTAAACGAGCCCACAACCCGGATTCTAGGACTCTTTGCTGGTTCCCGGTCGAATGACCGTTTGGCGAAGGGTGAACTGCCCATTGCCAAGAAACGTTTGGGGGACTCAAATGCTAGTTGTTTGCCATTGTTGCCATGTTCTGTCTCTGAGCCTGGGCCCGACCAGCCAGAAAAAATGACACCCATGCAATCAGGCTTTAACCTTGCAGGGTGTTTAAACTGTCGTTTTGCGGGGAGGGTGGCACTCGGCACCTGGGCGATGCCAGGTGCTCACAGAGCCCATCCGGTGGCAGACCAAGGCCAAGCTTTCCCAGCAAACGCTGCTCGCAGAAGTCGGGGCTGGCGCTTGGCTTTCGGCGATTCGGGGCTGGGGGTGTCGGGGCTCTGCTGGTTTTAACGGCAATGCCCCGTGGCGATTTACATTTGTATAAATATATGTTAAACTATGCCCTGCACCTTTTTTCCCGAAAAGCTCAGGCCCCCAGCCGAAGTGAGGATGGGTTCCACCGCCTGCCCCATGACGTGCTTTTTGCTATTCTTGCCTTGTGCTGAAGCCACTATTGTTGAACCCCAGGAAGAGTAGAGTTGCATTGAAGCAAGGTACTTGCGATCAGTATGTAAGTATGTACGGTTGGCATCACGGGGCCAGACAGAGGCAAAGCGAATCCGTAGAGTTTCAGTCATGTGCGTCCTGACGCACAGCCAGCGCAATACGTTGCGCGGCATGCCTTCATTCAGAACAACACAACAACTTGTTGAGGCTGTCTCACTTTGGAGAACGAACAGGCTTGCTGACGGGTTATTCATGCAGATTCCTTTTTGGGCTGGTGATTGCTTTGCTTGTGTTTGCTTTGGGTAGGTGGTAGCTCTTTTGTCGCGAGTTTTGGAGCCGCGCTTTATACACATGAGCTGCGTGAAACCAACCGGCAAACAGGCGGCTGGATGCTGCGTGACATGTCGGGCCTCGGTGGCTCATGGTAAGCCCAACCGAGCGTTCGCCTTAGGCTGGGCTTTCTGAAGCGTTGCCTCGAGCCCTCTGTGCGCAAGAGGATCACTGCAGAGGAGCGCTCAGAATGAATCACCGGGATGCTACTAGGAGTTAGGGGGCTGTGTTTCCCTCGGGTCGGAGCCGTGCCTACCTCCCAGGACACGCAATGCGTGAAAGACAGTAAGAGTTTTGGGAGGGCATGAGCGAACCAGGGTCCAAGCTTTACTTGTCAGCAAGTTACTGGCATTGTTGGAGCTGGCAATTGGTGACGGCAACTGATATGCAGAGTGTATTGCCATTGCTTAGCCCGCAGTTTCAAGTAGACGGGCAAGGTTGCCTGGTGACAAGTCGCCGGAGCGGCCGCCCATGCTTGCACTTTCTGATTACCCACGCTGTTCGGGGTTTCCTGCTTGAAGCATGCCTTGCTTGGAGTGGGCTGACCTTTAGGTTGGTCGAAGCAACCTCAAACCCTGTCTTCGCGGAGCCCCGGTTGGAAGGGATTCAACGGGCGGGCGCATCCGCTCGACATCATGAGGTTCGCTCCAAGCAGAGACACCCTGGGCGCCAAATAGCAGAAAATCATGTTTCATTCCCCCTAATTTAGGTAACAAACAATAAATAATTGTTGACTGTGTCCAGGGCCCTCTGTTCACCCAGACAAGTCAGACCGATTTTGGAGGATGGCCTGAAGCACCCCTGGATCGTCAACGCCGCGGCGCCGGACCCCGAGCAGAACCGGGAGGCCACGCTGAAGGAAGACTCCGAGGTGCGGAGGGGGGAGAAACGGAGCGAGGCGGCTGCTTCCTGTGCCTCGTCCCTTTTTTGGAGAACCGGCTTGAGCCTCAATCCTTTGATTCTCGATTCTTCGATTCTAAGTCTACCCTCCTTTGGGTTCCCTTCCGGGTCAACTACAAGCAGTGTGCCGGTAGCTTTTGAGTGATGCTAGGATGTGCATGTTGCTTGCTCTGTTTGAGTCAGCTCGAGCTCAGTAGCTTTGAAACAAGAGTCCGCCCCAGATTGAAGAGGTTCAACAGCCCAAGAGATCTGGGACGTCCATTTGCGGACCTTGTTTTGGATAAAGCCAACGCGACGCCTCAGTCTGGAAAATCGTGTGCCTTGGTCAAACCAGTCGAGAACATCATAGTCAAGCCTGGGGAGGCCCAGCCAATTTTTTCAGCTTGGAGGCTCAACATGAAGCGCTGTTAGGTCATTCGCAGCCGGAGTTTCGTGTTCCAGAATTCATACTTCTTAAGCGAAGGATGACAGAGACTCAAATGGGGTCACTCAAATCGGGTCTCCGTGTTCTTTTGCGCAGGAGTTCCCGTAATAAGATTGGAGGAGAGGTTGGTGGGAGAAATCGCTAGTTTGGTACTGGCTTAGAATTTAGCATTTGGCGCGCCAAGGTTGTGACAAACATATATTGTTTCATTATGATGGGCCATACATTGTTGATTGTCGCAGGTCTTCAGAGTTCTTGCGAACTGCTCGGGGTGTTTACTGATGTCATTTGGTTGCAACGGCTGGGCGCCGAATGTTTGTTGCCACCAAGGATCTGAACGAATTCGTTCGTGGCTTGGCTGCATTTTGAAACAAGGTCGTGGCACGGGCGCAGCTTGTGAGACTTGCATGTCGTACATGCTAAGAAAATGCCAAGATGGCCACAGGGACATCCATCTCTCATTGTGTTCCTTTGTTCTGACCTTTCTGCTTCCACATTCTGATCCCTCCGTGCTTGCATTAGCAGAGCCACTCGGCAACTTTGCTTTTCAGAGATACCGTGCACCAACGGGCCATGACAGCACCGCATTTTATTTCATTCCAAGCTGTCAATAATTCTTTGCAGGAGTGGTGGTTGTCCGGCTTGACCTTTTTCAAGCCACGAAGCACACCATTGTCCTTCTAGGCAGCTTAAGCAGACACAGTTGGCCCATTTTTTTTGGCTCCTCACTCAACACTGACGATTTCTTGACTTTGTCTAGGGACTTTTCAGGTTGAATTGGATCTCAAGCAAAGTAACTTGGCACATGCGACATCAATTTGAATCACACAAAATAGGAAAGCATGGCGATCAGGTGAAAGAACCTGTAGACTAGAGTGTGTTCCAACGGCAGGGGTGGCACGTGAGTTGCCTGAAATGCCTGAAAGGGCCTTTCACAGTGGGCATTGTTGAGTTGAAATGGACCGAGCTGGTAAATTATTTGGGTGACAATTAAGCTTGGTACGGCAACCGCCGCGCCGATATTGCAAAATCCACATAATGCCCGAAGTTATTTGACTGCCAACCGTGTCAGTGCCTTATTGCCTTTAATCATTGTGCAATACGGTGTATGTATGCTTGTTGGTTGCAGGGCTACACATTGCGCCCACATTTGCGCACTGAGAACGGGAGGAAGGGGTCAGGATTTTGGTATGACGCTCAAACTCCATTTCTTTGTTGGTCATGGAACCTCACAACATGCGCCCGACGCATGTGCGATCTCAGGCAGTGCTCATCGGAAGGTCACCTCCAGCAGGAAGCAAGTGGATCAGGAGGCACTGCCCCGTCGGCAATGGGAGCGGAAGCCAACTGACCTTAAGGGTCGTTGTGGGGGGTAGCTTCCGTATCAGCCTGAGGGCCTGACGCCAGCTCGCCATCGACCGCGGAATGCCAAACACCTGATTTTGGAGCAGCTGCTCATCACATGTGATCATAAAGCGATGGCTCGTGGGTGACCTTGGCCAGGTTCTGCCCAAGGGGTCGCAAGTCCTTTGCGAGCAGAAATCTCACACAATCAACCTGCAAGGCAATTGATTTGGTTGAAATGGGCATTGTCAGTTTACGCCTCTTTTGCGTTTACGACGTTACCTTCTTTGTGAACAGAAGGTGTGGCTTAGAAAAGGGAAAGGAGCTTCGACTCACGAACCCAGGTTTCTTTGACAAGCAATTGACCTATAACAAGGAGCTGCCCAATTCGCAGGCTTCCGGTAGGAAAGACAACATCGGTGAAGCAGATGTTATGAAGTTGCGGCGGCACTGCAACCCTAAGCATCAGAAGGTCAGGGTACCTGGGTTCTTCTCAGGGCGGGGTTGGGGTGCCATAGGCAGCGAGCACGCGACCAGCCCAGCCTTCGGGCCGCACAGGCTGAGAACCGCAGAACCGAGATGCTTGAGAAGATCAACAAAGACTTTGAAAAGGGGATCCGCGACTTGGCCAACGCTACCCAGTCAGTCCCTTTCACTAGGAATGCAGAACAAAGAGGAAAAGGCTTCATCGATGCGCAGGTGTGAACAACTTGGGTTTGAGTTATTACATTCTACGGTTACGCGGTAGGAACTAGCTACATAAATGCGGCTGAATCTTGCGGTTTTCTTTTTTTGCAGAGGTGTCTTCTGAGGACATTGCCCCCTCCCCAAAGCAAAGCAGGCGATAAAAACAGTCACCGCGGCAAATGATGCTTCAGTACAATGCTGAACATGCGCGAGGATCGAGTGGGAGGCTGAATGTTAAGTGCTTGTTGAAGGTGTTTCCTGCACCATGCAGCAAAAGATTCTAAGAAGCAAAGCGCGCATTGGCCTTTGGTTTGCTCATGGCCGCTACGTGCATTGTTCTTGCTGCAAGCACGCTTCCAACTAACGCCGCGGCACTGGCAGTTGCACACACAAGCATGGTTCGAGGGGCTTGGTTGAATTGCAGATTTTTCCTGTAGGAATTCCTCGGGTCAATGTGAAGAAGTGAGCTTGCGTAGTTTGACCAGCAGACGTCTCCAATCCAAGCCATGAAGGTGAACATTCCTGAAAGCTAAGCTGTTTGATAACTCGGTGGTTCGCAACCATCACCTTGGCTTTTTTTTTTGTGTTTAGTGCGGATGTCCATTTAACAACTTTGGCGGGGGA